GCTAACCTTTATACGTACTGTATTGTGTCCAGATGGCGCCAATTGGATATGAAGCTACTCTTGCTCATCATCATGTAGAGTCTTCCCAAGCCGTCTGAAATGTTTCTTTCTCCATTCCATGTAAGGCTGCACTCGCTCTTACTCGCTTAATCATTAATTAATGACCCTCTAATCATTCTAAACTGTCTACATGTGAGGCTGCACTCGCTCCTACTCGCCTAATCATTAATCGATTGTTTACTCTATCCCTTCTAACAGCCGACATATGAGGATACACTCGCTGTACTCTCTTAATAATTAATTGTTTGTTGACTCTTATTATTCTAAACAGTCTATAAGTGAGACTGCACTCTCTTACTCGCCTAATCATTAATTGTTGACCCTCTTGTCATTCTAGACAGTCTACATGTGATGCTGCGCTCGCTTGCTTGTATTAATGGATGCAATATTATTACTAAGAGTAGTAGGATATTATATTTGTAATGTAGTTGTTTCGTTTGAATGAAATGTCTTTGTTGTGTCGATGTCGTCCGTTGTTGTCTAGAAAGTGAATAAACCGCGCCAACTTCGAATAGATTCGAATAGTCTGTGTGTGAGTGAAAATTTGAAATTTATTTAACTGAACCGTCGGGTCGGATGTGAATCGGTTTCGGTTGAACTTCGAGTCATGATATGTGAATAGGAGCCCTGCTGGCACTTCATGTGGCTCTATGGTCGATGATGATCTCATTTCTGAAACAGAATTGTAAGGTACCAAACTTGTTGGTGAGTGGAAGTTGCTGATCAAACCAAATATTCGAGAGTCCTTGATCCTGAGTTGAGTGATTGGGGTGCCAACTTTGGTAAGATAATTGTGTTCCATCTTATGTCGCAATTTGACATTCTGAAGGTGAGCTGGGATGGTCTTCCTATCCAATCTGATTGTTCCACAACAATTGTTTTGTATTGAATTGAGATACTCAAGTAGACCAATCGTTGTGAAGTAGTTGTCAATGTACAGCTCTCGCCAGTGGTTTGCATCAATGCCCTCCAACATCTCCCTAACAACCGACTCACCATGAGTGTAGGTTGATGCTTCAGCCACTCCTCTTCTACCTTGGTAAATTGAGAACTTGAACAAGTATCCATGTTGATCCACCAGTTTCCAAAGCTTGATTCCCCATTTATCAGGCTTGTTCTTGATATATTGTCTCAATCCATGTGCCTTGTTCTTGGTCGGGATTATTGCTTCATCTATTGAGTACTTCGCCCCCAATGACCATTATCCTTGATATCTGCGATTTAACAATGAGATGATTGGGTCTATCTTGTATAGACGGTTCGTTGGATCCAACTTATAGTTGTCGGCAAAGTGAAGGTTTGTTACTAAGAAACGGAACTGGTCTCTGGTCATAATTCTTGCCACTGATGGAAGGAAACAATCACCATCCTCCCAATAGTCCTCATACTTAGGTATTTCAACAACTCCCATTGTGATGACCGCAGCAAACATTTTGAATATTATCATTTTGTTGATTGGATGTCCAAAGAACAATTTCTCCAACTGCTCCACTCTGCCCATTTGATGAATATAAATATTGGTTTGGTCGACAATGAGTTGGACTATCTCGTGGTCAAAGAATTGTTCGAACACCTGCAACTTGGTGTATGCTCCTCGATGATTAACCTCTTCAACATGGTATCCCCCCCCCGACCCAACCTGGGCTTTTGGTCAGTCCATTCTTTCAAAGAAATATCGGGCTGATCATCGAGTAGAATTGCCTTGATTGCTTCTTTAGTTAGACTACTTGATACTTTCTTCTTCTSTKTCTYTGCCTCTGCCAACAACTCAACTTTTAACATCCTATTGTATCATCCAACATCAGGATCTACAACAAATCATTGTTTGAATTAATAAACAATACCCCAAAATCAATCATTTTGTGGTAATAAATTACCATTCTGGTTGGCCTCATCATGGATACTAGGCGCCGCACTAATGCTGACGGCCATCTCTTCTTCTTCATCACTATATACATCACATTCATCTTCCGTAGTTCCCTGTTTACTCTTTGTTAGTGACATAATAAAATATTCAAATGATATTTTATTCAATGTAGATATCAATTATTATATTAGTTGGTATATCTGTTGATTGTTTCTGATTGATCACCAACAAACAATCATGTCGGTACTGTTGAATTGTGGTGTGGTTATCTCTCACAGAAGTAGTCCAAACACACTCCCACCACCACAAGTAGAATGACAATAGACTTGACATGTTACATTATTACACGCGCCATTACAATAACGTTATTTGATTAGATCAATCAATCATTTAATCCTATCTTCCCCAAAATACATATCAAAACTCGAATAGTTCGCGCCTTGAGGGTTAATAATAATTTAATTAATATTAATAAGATGAAAAATACATTATTTGTTTTATTATTTATTGGTTTAATAATGGTTACAATGACAAATGCAGGTCAACTCAAACTCTGCGCCGTAGGAACTTTTTCGTTCGTGTCCAGGAAGACCCCTTGCCAGAAGGATTCCAACATGAACCTCTCAGACGCGGCCAAGATTTTCCTGTCAAATGTTCCAAGTTCAATCAAACCACTGATGAATACCATGAGTTCTTCAAGAAACACTCTTTGAAATTCGATCACTATGTAGGCATAAGTTTCAGGTACACCAACTGTGAGCCTCAAGAATTCAAGGCCGGTGTCTGTCATGAGAAACCCCAGAGGTTTAACTATGAACAAACTGGCTTCGATCGCTGTTATTCCTACTTCAAACCCGGATGCACTGGTGCAACTAGAGTGGTTAATAGAAGATATGATATGAATGGTATTTCTTTTGATTGTTTCTGAGATTAATAAACTATTTTGGACTTAGAAATCAATCCTATTGCTTTGGAATCATATAGAGAAAGTTGCAACTTGTATCTAATATTATAAATAAATTTGGAAATGAAACAAACATTATTGATAATATTATTTATTGGATTAATTGTTTCAATAACCAGTGCAGGTAAACTCAATCTCTGAACAAAAGGAACATTTACATTCGTGTCAAAGATTAAACCTTGTCCAGATGGATTCAGACATGCTCCCGTAAGACCGGGCCATGAATTACCAGTCCAATGTGGCAAGTTCAATACTCCTCCTGACGAATACAAGCAGTTCTCAGAGGAACACTTTAAGAATTTCGAGAGTATTCTGGAATTCACTTCTCGTACACCCACCGTAAGCCTCAAGTCCGACATTTGTTATGAGAATCCCCAGAATATGAACTATCAACAAACTGGCTTCGATCACAGTTTTTGCTACTACCCATGATGTGACGGTATAAATACTTTTGTTAATAGAAGAAGCTTCATTCAAGGTGTTTCATTTAATTGTTTCAAAGATTAATAAAATATTTTTGATTGTGTATCTGTGATAACTCACAGCACCTGGAATCACTCCACAAAGGACAGATTTTATTTTTATTTTTTAATCCCTACTTAGAACAATAAAATTAATATTCTATTAATTATTTAAATAATATATATAACAAAAACATCATTATAAACATATATTTAATATTAACAAATGAAACAATAAATATTATTTTTTTTTGTATTAATTTGATCTGTGATGGTACCCATGTATTATTTAGTTGCGTACTCTGTAATAATGTCCTCCAAAGGCCATAACAATTGAAACGGACATGCCGACTCCACTGGCCATGATTGAGTACCACAAGGTTTTGTTGCGCAGTGAGTGGGTCTTGTGATCGTTGCGACCCAGTAGGTAGCGACGTGAAATGAGGTAGTTCGAGTAGATAAAGTGGTAGAACATCATCGATGAGAGCATCGTGTAGTATGGATAGAAGATGTAGGGGAAGTCCACGAGTGTGCTGTGCACCAGACGGAAGTTGGCCGCATAGGTTGGCAGCCACAGACGTGGGAGACGGGTGGCCGACGTGTGCACAAAGATGCCGCCAGCCATCAGATGACTGGAGATCTGGTTCAGACCCCATGGCGAGGGCATCTTGGACTTGGGCTCCACCTTGTCGTACAGCTCCTCCTTGTTCTTGATCACACGAATGAACTCTGCGCCACTGACAGTGAGATGAGTGAGGACGGCACCAACAAGCAATGGCTCGAACCACCTGCTCTGGTAGAATGGTCTGAAGAAGGCCAGCAAACCATCGAATGCCTCTGGACCCCAGTGAGCACCGATCAATGATATCAAATGGCACTCATAGTACGTGGCAATCACTCCACCACTGACGGCTGTTCATTCATTCATTCATTCATTCATGTCCATTTGAATGTATATGTGTGTTAGTTGAGTTGACATCTAAACATGGACCATCACCATCATAGATGATCAATGAAGATGGTCAATCAATCAATCAATCAAACACATACCTTGGATAAGCTTCAACATCTCTGGCTTTGTGAGTTTCTTCCAGAAGTTCTGGAACCATGAAGTTGATGGTGCAACTGCAGACTCTGCTTTGTTATTACTATCTTCACTGTGTGCCTCCATTGTTGTGTCTTTGTATCTGTGTATGTATAAATGTATGTATGTTCAAGTGATTGATTGATTGAAGAATGATCTGCACACATCGGGCCACTCTAAAATAGATCAAAAAAATGAAAGGTTTGAGCTGGTCACAATGACAGCAAATGGATGACATGTCATCCTATCCCAGGGTAAAACCATCATCGTCATTATGTGACCATTCAAATCTCCCCAATACTTATATAAATAGAATATCATTATTCTCTTTAAATAATATATGTATCTCTTTCAATCAATTGTGAAACAACAACAACAACAACAACTCTTTCATTCATGCATGCCTGCAATCAATCAAAGGAAAAACGATTGATTATTTTAGGTAAAGGATAATGCAATGATATTCTGGAATAACATAAGATGGAGACTCTCACCTTGAGGGCTATTTCAAGATGGGAAAACAACATCATGGTCGACCTAACAAAGATATTTTCGAACACCTCGTCTTCTCACTTGGGTGGGTTCATCGATCATCAACAATCTTCACAAAAACGAACGAACGAACGAATGAATGGAATGGATGGAGAGCTCGATGAATCATCAAACAAACAAACACTGACCATGCACTTATAGAAGGTGCAGGTATTAGAGTACCATGGTCTAACTTGTTGAACACGACTAATGAGCAAGAGTATGATCGAAGAACTCACGAAACCAACTGAACTAGCACCATCCAAAGCGTTGACAAGGGGTCACCAATGAAGAGTTAGTATTGACGCGTTGCACCATGGTTGATTCATTCATTCAATCATTCATTCGAGACGAAGTGTGTGGGGATGTGATCAAAACGACCTAATGGTGTGTGATTTTATTATTCTTAATTAAAAGGAATTAAATTTTATTTATGAAATAGGTTGGGACTTTGAGGAGAGGTGTGTGATCGTGGGACCTCCCTTGGCCTGCCTCTCTCTCTCTAACTTTGTTGTTGCTTGGGAGGGAGGTGGTGAAGGCCACCACTTACTCTTGCAATCAGTTTACCACCTCCTCATCATCTCTACATATATATACACAAACAATGTCTGCCACTGTTCTCTTCACTTCAGAGTCCGTCACTGAGGGACACCCAGGTATGCATCTAAAGTCTAGACCTATAGCCAGCCAGCCATAGTTAGTAGTAGTGTAGCAGTATAGTGCAGACCAGTAGTAGAAATATCTTTCGACGTCATTACAACAATGCTATGTTTCCGAACAACAAACGAATGAGCGATTGAATGAATGAATGAATGATCGAACTGAGCTCACACATACTGCTACATTATCATGCCTACTTGGACTTGGACGGACCAAACGAAACATTACAGACCTCCTCTAACATTAACATTTAACATAACAATCAAAAACAAACAGATAAGATCTGTGACCAGGTCTCTGACGCTGTTCTCGATGCCTGTCTGTCTCAAGACCCAGCCTCAAAGGTTGCCTGTGGTATGTATCATCTACCCTCATTCATTCATTCAACCAGTCAACCAACCAATCAATCAATCAATCGTTCGTCTTATCAACAAAGAGGCACTACAACATTTTGTTTGTCGTTGTCACTCTGAGGACCAACGATGCTTGACTTGAACCTTGCACACGTGTCCCTTGACAATCACTTTCGTCTTTTGGATATTTTTGTTTTGTTTTTTTTTAATTCCATTTCAAAGTCAATCAAGTCAACTCTCGAGTCAACAACAACAACTAACAATATGTCAATGAATGAACAACAGAGACCTGTGCCAAGACTGGTATGATCATGGTCTTTGGTGAGATCACCACCAAAGCTACCGTCGACTACCAAAAGGTTGTCCGTGACACCATCAAGAAGATTGGTTTCGATGACTCCTCCAAGGGATTCGACTACAAGACTTGCAACGTGTTGGTCGCCATCGAGCAGCAGTCGCCAGACATTGCCCAGGGTGTTCACATCAACAAGAACCCAGAGGACATTGGTGCCGGTGACCAGGGCCACATGTTTGGTTACGCCACCAACGAGACCCCAGAGTTCATGCCACTGACCCATTACTTGGCCAGCGAGCTCGTCACCAAGCTCACTGTTCTGCGCAAGGACGGCACCCTGCCATGGGCCCGCCCAGACGCCAAGACCCAGGTCACCGTCGAGTACCTGAAGGAGGGCGGTCGCATGATCCCCCAACGTGTCCACACCGTCGTCATCTCCACCCAGCACGACGAGAACGTCACCAACGAGCAGATCCGTGCCGACCTCAAGGAGAAGGTCATCCAGGCCGTCATCCCCGCCAAGTACTTGGACGACCGCACCATCTACCATCTTAACCCATCCGGACGTTTCGTCATCGGAGGTCCAATGGGAGATGCCGGTCTCACCGGTCGTAAGATCATCATCGACTCGTACGGTGGTTGGGGTGCCCACGGAGGTGGTGCCTTCTCTGGCAAGGACCCATCCAAGGTCGATCGTTCCGGTGCCTACGCCGCCCGTTGGATCGCCAAGTCGCTCGTCAACGCCAACCTGGCCGACCGTGTCCTGGTCCAAGTGTCCTACGCCATCGGTGTTGCCCAGCCCCTGTCCGTCCACGTCGACACCTACGGCACTGGCAAGAAGTCCGATGCCGAGCTTCTCCAGATCGTCCTCAACAACTTTGACTTGAGACCCGGTGTCCTCACCCGTGAGCTCCAGCTGCTGAGACCCATCTATCACAAGACTGCCTCTGGCGGTCACTTTGGAAGAAACGACCCAGACTTCACCTGGTATGTATCCCGACTCTTGACGTCTGGACAGACACACTTACTAACTCAATCACATCACTTAACTTTACAACAATCACAGGGAGACACCAAAGACCCTCAAGTTTTAAACAAATACTCTGTTGACGACGCTCCATCCACAACTAACCTTATAACCATAATAAACCTCGAGTTGGAAACCTACCTCTTATAACTTCATTTGGTTTAGAAACATAAGGTGACTGACTCTTTGTCGTCTCACTCTCACTCTCCTTCTCTCTCCTACCCACCCAGTCCATCACTCCACTCCATCAATCAATCAATCAATCAATCATATTCAAACTATTAATCGATCGGTTATGTTTATAGAGTACCAGAAGGTAGGTAGTTCTTCATCCAGGTGTGATCCATGATTAGGATGAAACAACTGGCTAGGGTGATGCCAAGTGTCGTTAGAAGAGCTGCATAGTTGATGCAGACCTCGCGATCTTCCTCTGGAATCCTCTTGTCGTTCAATATCAAGTAGAATACATTGACGTAGGCTGCTCCTCCAAGCAGTCCACAATAGAACATTAATACAAATAGTACCCATACCGACTCAATCATCTTGTACTAATATTATGTAATTGATCAAGTGAGTTAGTGATCGAGTGATTGGGATTGTTCCACCAGGGGTATACATACTCTTCCTTGGATCAGCCACAGGGCCATGTTCAATCCTTGTAGAATGGTAAGTATACCAACATGTTTAATCTTGAATAACTGCAGCGATGACCTGGACATAAGGACACCAAGCTGGATGGAGGTGGAAAGTAGAGAAGTTAGAAGCGTGACTTGGACATTTGGCCATGACGATCATGATGATGATGATAGTTACCTGATAACAGAAGCTAAGGATTGGATATGCATTCCTCTGGAACCAGTTTCCATTGAGGTTCTTGATGGCAGTGTCTGCGCCACCAACAGAGACGACGTACTCAAAGAAGTAGACTAGCATGAGGTTGACAGAGTTCCACCAGACTAGCTTGGCGCAACGAATGTAGCGACTCCTACTGGTCTCGCCATATGGTCCTGTCACAGGCTTGATGTCGTCATCTCCACCACTGTTGTCAATGTCCTGAATGATCATTCTATCATCGCTTGTCGTGTTTACATTGTCATCGATACTTGGTTGTGGTTCCTTCTGCTCATTTTTCAATGGTGAATAGGCAGCATCCTGTGGTACTGGTGGCTTGAGGCAAACAAAGAACAACAGTCCATACATTGCAACTGTTGGTAGGATGATGAGGAAGATTGTTCTAAGATGGAGTGAGACAGTGAGTGAGTATGTTTGATCGATTGATTGATTGAATGAATGAATGATACAATACTGGTTCTGAAGATGAGCCAATCCACTGAGTGCAATGTAGAATAGTGATCCACAGACACCTGCTACACCGGTGCCAGATGCCCATCCGTTGACAAGGTCAGATGGGTATTGTCTGAGATGTACAAGCATGACACTCTCACCAAATGACGAAGCGATACCAATGAGTGCAATGCATGCTAGACAGAACCAAAAGTTGACGTATACCGACAATGCCACACCAATCAATCCAGCGGCAAAGATCAAACAGTTGACAAATATCTTTGGTTTAGAGCTGACACTTTCCAAAGCGAATGTATTGAGTACTATTGCAGTCGAGTCGTAAGTGTAAGTCAACTCATTCATTCAATCAATCATTCAATGATATACATACATCTTGCGACAAAGCCAAAGGCGATGTTTGCCCAGAGGATAAGACCTATGTTCTTTTGATTGTTGAAGAAGTCTGCAAGTGATTGACCAGCAGCATTTACAACACAATATGAGAAGTTGTTGATATTGCCCAGAAAGTGGAATGCCAACCAGTTGCGCATATACCCTGGATCCTTTATCAATGTCATTGTTATTATCTCTATCTATATATATGTATGTATTTGAATGAATAAATGAAAGGTTGACCTGTTTGTGATATTGATTGTTTAAATTTACAAATAATAATAAGTATAATAATAATAGGTCGTTAAAAGATAGTATTATCTGTTGAAGAAGTAATACATCAACTTATCTTTACACAAACTTTATGAAAGTTCGCGCAACATTCTGCGGAGGTGGATAATCCATCTTCACCCCTGTGTTGGCACGTCCTTCCCTCACAACAACACCCCACACAAGTTGTCCAACAACCACTCTATCAAACAAAGGATATTTTCGAAATTGATGGTTTCGAGCCGTATTTTATACTCATCACATCTTTCGTCCTTGACCAGTTTTGGCCTGGTAATGATTAATGAGGTGTTGAACAAATGTGTCTTGGGATACAGAGTCGGGTTTTGTAGGATCAACCGAAGATATTGCATAGTCAAGTGGAGTGGCACCATAGTTATCCAATACATTGATGTCGGCTCCATTATCCATCAACAACCTTGTAATGTCTTGATCATGTTGTAATGTTGACAAATGAATCAATCGTTCTCCAACCTCATCCTTCAGGAACAATTTAGGATCACCTCCATGCTTGATCAATGACTTGATGATCTGTTTGGTTGATTGATTGATTGATTGATTGGACGATTGGGCGAGTTAGTGTTATCGATCGATTGATTGATTGATAGAACATACATCTAAATCACCTCGTTTGATTGCAAGATGGAATGGTGTCATCACTCGATACTGATTGATTGGAATCATTCCAGAGTGTGTGGTGGGGTTAGAAAGGGATCATTCCATTCGTCTTGAGTTGAGTCAAATCCAATACTTACGTATTCCCATCCATTGGTCCTTGGATTGTCTTGGATGTTGATGCTTGCACCATGTTTGAGAAGTAGCTCGATGAGTTGGAGTGAGTGTCCACGTTGGATACAAGTGAAGAGTGGTGTTCTGCGCTCTGTTGTCTCTTGATTGACGTTGGCACCATGTTCCAACAATGTTTGAATGATGGCCATGCTTGGATTCGGCCTATTCACAGCCAGATGCAGAGCAGACAATCTTAAGAATGGCTTCTTGTCACGTGCATTGACATCGCACGTACCATCATTGGACAACAATGCCACGACTGATTCCAAGTGACCCTGTTGCACGGCCACGTGCAGTGCCGTGACGCCATACTTGTCGCTGGGGAACAGTTGATCGCCAGTAAGTGCATGTCGCTTCCTCTGTGCCAACACAACCTTTATCAATTGACAATGGTTGTATAATGCAGCCCAATGCAACACATCCCATAACATCAGTTTAGTCTCATTGGCTGTAACCTGTTCCACTGCATCCTGATACCTTTGCAACAATGCTGTCTCGTCAACACTACCCTCAATAACAAACTTCATCATTATGCTTTCATCGATTGATGACTTATAGTTTAGATTGTCTTTGTTGTTGTTGTTGTTGTTGGCTTTGTTGTTGGGCATAGTTGTGGTGGTGCTAGAGTATTGGACTCGATGTTGACTAGCTGGTGTGAACAGCATTGTGAAGTTGTCATTGATGTTGAAGTTGAAGTGTGATTGAGCATGTGACCAACATGATGTTTGATGTTGTGTTGGCAACAATATCTTCTTTGTTGATGTTGAGGCAAGTGCTCTCCTACATGCTCGCTGAACCAAGTGTATCATCATGTCGTTGTTGTCTTGAAGTAAGTTTACAACTTCAACAAATGAGTCGGACTTGGAGGATTCTGCGACTCGACAAACCCAAACTTCCAATTCTTCAAATCACTCGCTTATTCATTCATTCATTGATACACAATGCAATGTACTCACTTATAACAATTCGATCGTGTATATATAGACATGCAGCGATCAATAACATAACATCAACATTGTTACTTAAATCAAGTTTGAGATATACTTCAAACTCATCTTCCAACCCAACATCAGCGACATCAACGACATCAACATCAGCGACAACAGCAGCCATATTGGATGGAGGCCGAACAACTCAAAAGAAGAGGATAGAGATAAAGAGGAGTAATGATGATTATATAAAGTTGGAGTGGAAGTTGAAGGCTTCGGAGGAATTGGAGTTGGTGGAGGGTCAATGGGGAGACAAGTTCATTGTGATCAACAAGCCAGCAGGCTACCCAGTGCAATCAAATAAGAATCATTCAATCGAAGCAATGGTAATGGTCAAACTCAGACAAGAGTTTGAGTCACTCAGCAAGTTGTGTGAGGCAGACTATACAGAGCGCAAGGGCAGACAACGCAAACGCCTTCAGAACCTAGAGGCATTCTTTGAGCAGTCCGCCAAGTCTGGACGAGATCCCTATCTGTACTTTGTCAATCGTCTGGACAAGTGGACGAGTGGACTGGTAGTGATCACTCTCACGCCATCACTATGTTCAATCATGGCTCAATCAATGGGCACGTGGACCAAGAGATATAGATTGATCACAGATGTTCCATCATGTCTTCAATCAAATGACAACAACGACAGCAGTAGCAGTAGTTACAAACAATGTTGCTTTGTCTCGCCACATATCAAGGGCGACAAGATAATCAACACAAAGGATGGCACAATCAACAAAGAAGGCACGCTCAGGAGCTTCATTGGTCCCAAGCTTCAGCCATCACCATTCTATCGATATGCAGTCGACATCCCATCCCCAGTCCAGGAGTCGGACACACCTGTCTCCTCCACGTCCACCGAGACATCAACCCCAACGCCAACGCCAACAACATCAACACCAACAACATCAACATCAATAGAGGTGTCCACAAAGAAGTCATGTGTGGATTGTCGAGAGCGTGGAGTGGTCAAGCAGTTGGGTCATCCATTCGTTTCATCATTCTTGTTGTTTGGAAGCTCGCCACAGAAGGGAGAGAACAAGTTTGGTGCTCGTGATGCAAGGACAATGTACAAGTTGGTGGCCATCGATAATAAGTCATCAACAAGACGTGCAATGTTTGAGGCGACATTATTAACAGGACGAACACATCAACTACGTATTCACTTCTCTGAGAGTGGATTCCCTGTAGTTGGCGACCCTTATTACAATCCAATCTTTATCAATAAGTTACTTCAAGAGAAGAACAACAATAGCAGCAACGTTGTGGAGGTCAAGGATGATCAGACCCAGGCCGAGGCTCAAGACATGAACAAGGACATGGATCAAGATCAAGAAGAGGAAACAGGAGAGCACAACGAGATGTTACTTCAAGCATATTATCTCAAGTTCCTACATCCATCAACTCAAGAATACATGACATTGATGATCGAGCCTCCTACATCTTGGAAGTCAGCAATGGAGAACATGGATTGATAATAAAGTAACAAGAAGTTCGTGAATGGATTCACCCAGGCCGAAGGTCCAAAACGAGGCCTGGTCTCAAGGCCTAAGGTGAATCCACTCTTTCCAAAATCATTCTTGTTCATATCTTCAATCAATCAATCAAACATGTACACAATTGATGATCGTCATCAATCAATCATACATGAAGTGTTCCATAATCAAGTCTTGTGCAGACTGATACTACATCATGTCAGTGTAATACATAGACAATGGATGAACATACCTTTTCAATCAATCAATAATGTTACCGATAGCACCAATAACAACAACCACAACAACATCCCCAACAACATAATCTCAGTGATCAAAGGTGCCGCGCTCCACCAAGAGGGCAACCTTGAAAAGATGCTGCGGTACAATGCCACTCACATGTATATCCAAACATTCAACAGCGTTACATATGACCTAGTTGGGCAGCCTTCGCCTTCGCCTTCGCCATCGTCATCGTCATCGCCACTACCATTGATCAATAGCGTGTTGCTGGCCGATACAGCCAAGTATAACAATACATTGGCATTCAAACATTTGTGTGCCTATCCCAACATGTTCATGTCGGTGCAGTCCATGCATCTACTCAGCGACATCTGTCGTCATGGCAATGTGGACATGCTCCAGCTCTACCTGAACATCACTGGACATCACACGCTGGGCGAAGACAGAGTTCACCTTCTTATGGCCGCCATAGAGTCAGGCAATGAGCACTTTGTGCGTTTACTGCTCCATCACCTCTCGCTCGACCAATTGATTGCCGAACATTTAATGAACATTCATACCAACCCGCGGCGAGCCGTTAACGTACGAGTTCTGAAGGTGCTACACGAGGAGTTCAACTGTCTCTTAAGACTGGGCAACCTTAGCGACGTGTTGCTTCAGAGCTCTGTTCAGTTTGGCGCGAAGGAGAGTGCCATATACATCATGAATCACTTGCATATACCCGACTCGATGTGGTTGGTCGAGGATTGTTTCATCTTGTGCACCGCGTCTGGCAACATTGACATATTCATGGCACTGTCCCGCTGGCCGCCTGGCAAAGAATTCCTCAACTCCGAATCTGGTCTCGTCCGGATCATCAGTGATGCAAGAGATCGAGACCATGTAGACTTCCTCCTACAACTGCGCGACAGAGTTGATACCATGGCACTTGCGCCCAATCAAGACACACTCGACGAGTTGAACGCCATCCTATCACAATACTCATTGCCCTGGGGTACACCGTCCAATCTTCTAAAGGCCATTCTTGATGATGACTTGGGCGCTGCAGAAGCGCTCATCGACAAGATCGATGAGCTTGATGAAGACACATGTGAGTCAATGTCCACAGCGATGGCAATGAGTCTATTCCGCCCTCGCTCGATTAGTGGTCGCCTGGTCTTACGGGGCAACACTCTCAACAACATGATCAAAGCGATTGGTAGACGTGGCAGCTCAATCACCGGCGACATTGTCTGCATGATGATTGACAACTGTGATCTTCCATCGCCCTCCCACACCAAGGACTCACTCGTAAAGTCCGCGAGCATATCACTGGCATTGATGGAGCGCATTCACAACAAGTTCAACGTGGACTATAATGGCAGATGTCTTGCACAAGCTCTGATCAGGAGGAGGTGTAACGAGACCCTGCCTACGCTGCTCCAACAAGTTGTCAATGATTCGGATCGAGACGCGATCATGATGGAGGCAAACGCATCTCTCAGATCAGTGACAATCGAGGAGTTCAATATGTTCGCGAGCTTACTTCCATCGATCGCCAGCAATCCAGAGACATGTTTATGGGCATCAAAGTGCGACACAGTCGATGTGTTTGCACATCTCATCAACAAGTTCACCTACCAAGAGATGTCCAACAACAGATTACTGGTGAGGATTGTGGAGGAAGCATATCATCTTGACAAACCAGAAGTGATTCGGTGTCTTGAGCTTCAGTATGTTGGTCATGACCTGCCGCGGCCTACTCACTCAATGCTAGAGGAAGCTGTAACGGCCAACTGTCTTGATATACTTGAGTACTACTTTGACATATCATCATCATTCAAGTCCATGTCCATCTCACATCGTCTGCGTACCCTTCACACTGTCCGATACCTTGGATACATATGGGGCACGACCAGAGTTATCAAACTCTGCAATGAACGTATCAACATGGTCAAGTCAGATACACCAACGTAGGTCATCCACTCAATCACTGGAACCATTCCAATCACTCACTAACACTAAATCATTCATCCAGGTTGGAACACAAACCAGATGTGACGACCAATATCACCTCATCGTCAATCATGGATGTACCATTCCATCAGGTGTTTGGGGATGGTATCCTTGGCCCATTGATCATGCGCAATGTTGGAGAGATATATCGTTCACTTGGATATGGAGAGGATCAGCTGATCAAGGGATCTACACTACTGTCCAATCATAGTCTGTTGCAATATATCAAATATGGTGCGACGGAATGGTTCCTCAAATCATACTCATTGGTCTCAGACAAGTTCGTCGACACTCAGAACGATAATTTAATGTCAGCAGCATTCGAGCGATGTGACAAGCGTATATTGGACATTTTGCTTGACAATCCCAACATGACAATCAACTCGCAGCCACCATGGTTGCCCAAGGATTTCGTTCGCAGCGTATCAACGTGCACTCATCCCGACTGGGAGTGGATTCTATCCGAGTACCTGATGATCAAATGCCTGGCATCGACCAACCTCAGCAGCTTTGTAATTGATGGCGATATTGTATCACATATCATTCATCCATTGTTCATCGAACGGCTCATCAACATTGGCATCACACTTACACAAATCCCATACAACCCATCCTACATCAAGGCTGTGGAACAAGGCTGGCTCAGCAAGCCATGGGCATGTGAGATGTTCAGTCTCTTGCTTCAGTGGGACTTGATGGAGGACCGCTTCATGGATGCACTGCAGCCTCTGGTTGTGGCCCATGATCAATTGGAAATCTTTAAACTATACTTGGAGCTCGAGACACCATACTTTGACCCAGATGCAATCATTCGAGAATGTTGCCAGCATGGACGAGTCGAGATGCTCAACTTGCTCCTATCTCGTCTTAAAGGTGATTCAGAATACTCAATGATCATGAAAAGGATTGATTGGATTGCATGTCTGAGGCTGGCGACCGAGTGTGGATCACGACCATTGGTTGCCAAGTTGCATGATAAGTTGGTCGAACAACAAGACAACTCACTCTATGCATTGAGTGCGACCAAGTTGGCATTGGACAAGGACCACTTTGAGATGGCCGACTATCTACTTGACATCTTAATGTCTGACCAAAGGTACCATGGCTTAACAATCATGATCAACAAGGTCACTGGATCATTGTCCAAACATGATGAGATGATGGATCGATTGAAGGCACATCCCAACATTACCTTAGTGTTGACAGATCTAAAGAGCCAGACGTCAACACTCTCCAAAGCATTGGCTGATGGTGATGTGGACGTTGCCAGACAGATCATTGCGGCCAACCCTGGATCAAAGTTGGACATTGGACGTCTTTGTAGATTGATGGAGTTTGTTGGATTGCCTGGACCTTGCAAGGTGACTGAGGCCGATGTCTTTGAGTTTAGCAAGCTCATAACAATCAGTCCACATGACATCTTCAACAACACAATCTTTCAGGTTGCCGCCCAGAAGTCATTGTCACTCCTCAAGTTGGTGGTCTCACTCTGCACGCAGCCACCCACATCTAGCCCTAGCCCCATCACAATGCTGGACTCATCGGATATCAAGAAGGCGATTGAGTCTTGCGTCAAGAGAGGCGACACTGATTCGATTGAGTATCTTGTCGACCAGGCACGATCACATCATTTACCAAGTGACATCATACCATTGGAGATATCAAATACTACAGTGTTAGCATACATAATGGCCAGAGGATATCGCTTTGTTGTATCAGATACAAAGTCGAATGCCTTGGGTAGGTTGGTGGAGTGGGCATGTCTTGAGGGACATGTAGATGTGGTGCGTCTTGTACTTGGGCGTTGTACAACAGATGAACAACAAAGAAGACATATGCCATCATTGTCATGTATTATCCAAGCCACAGAGAGGAATCAACATCAGCTGATCAAACAACTACTACTCCTTGATAGTGATGCTGTTGATCAATGGATGCACTTGCCAATCATACTTAATACCATTCGATTCTACTCAACTAAATATGGAGCGCTAAAGATAATGTCGACAGTGCAGTTATGATGCAATCAGTCAGTAAGTCGGCAGGCCCAATACAACAAAAAGTTGGACAGACCCGTCCCATCAGCAGAGCTCATAGTTCATTTGTAAGATGGCAATTCATTGATATGAGTACAGTCCAGTCCAGTGACTAGATCACATCATTGCCACATGTATAATCACATGGGATATGAACATGAACTCATGTGACCTTTGTTGTAGAACAAGGCCATCGATCGAGGGACGCGTGGTAGACTTTCCAATTACTTGAGAGGTTGGTTGCGGATCTGTCTGTTTGAAGGCCATTGCATTAAAGTTATGCCAAATTTGGAATAATTCCAATCAAATCAAAAACATCAGGCCTCTCGTTTGGATCTGAACCTTGCTTGGTGGTGGAGGCTCAACCACACTCTTGTGCACCTGGTGTGGTTTCATTTGATCAGATCATAAATTGGAAAGATATGGAATCAATTATCATAACAAATAAATATATAAAGTACCTCTTATTATTATATTATTCATTATTCATTTGTTCATTCATACTTATACATTCTAATATATTATATTTATTTATTACATTAATATTATTATAATTATTATTATTTACATAAAATGTCAGGTATCACAATTGTTAATTTACCTCCACCAAAGACTCTTCCACCAGGAGGTCTACTCCCAAATCCAAAGTTGCCACCAATGGTTGTCATCCCACCTGGAGGTGTATTCCCAAATCCAAAGGCTGATTGGATAAAGAGTACAACCGAGAATTGCCAGAGCATTATTTTGGCCAACAAAGTTTCTACACCATCGAACGAATCATCCTGTCCTCTCTACACAATCCAAGCCATCATCACCTATGGCCTTTCTTTGATCCCCGGTTATGGAGGCATAGCAAGTGCTGTCGCCGGTGTTACAGTTGGATTTATCAATGACAATGCCAGCGCAGTGGAGAATGGCTACAAGGCAATGATGAAGGAGGTGGCCGGAGACGCCATCATCATGAACGACATCGAGGGTCTCAAGGCCAAGTACAAGTCCTACCTCGACTTGCACAAGTACTACATTGATGCTTTGAAGGCTTATACCTCTCATGGCGATGTAGGAAACTACAAGTCCGAGGTCGTTTCCAAGTGGAACTCATTGGAGGCTTTCCTCACTGTCTTCATTCATGATGCGTCGGTTGTGGGCAAAGAGGTCCAAGAACTGCAGATGTACACCATCTTCACAACCTGCTTCTTGTTGATCTTGCGCGAGAAGTACATCCAGGGCAAGAAATGGGGCTTTGATGATGAGCAGCGTGGCGCAGTCTTGGATCAGATCAAGAAGCTCCAATCCACCTCACTCCTGTATTGCCAAACTACATATCGGAAAGGAATGGATATGATTCCACGCAATCGCCGTCAGGTTGATCAACAGTTTGGAGGAGAAGTGGGATTCTACAACGACCTCAACACCTACCGCAACGCTATGATACTCAACGTGTTTGACGTAGCCAACTACTGGGAGTACATGATCCCCGACGAGTACCCCAACTATGCCATGGTGGAGAATGTCCGCTACCTCTTCTCTGACATTGCCGGAGTGCCAATCAACAAGAATGTTGCCGATCTGGATTCAATGGCCTACTACCAGAACAGATACATCGACCTGGCCAACTTGATGGAACTTCATCAGGCATACCAGGGCAAGCTCAACATGGTCAAGATCAAGTCTGGTCCGCTGTATCCTTTCAAATACAAGGGAGGCCCACGCATTATGAACATCTACAACAACTATGTCGATGGAGGCGGCCAGCTTATTGAGAAGACCTTTGGTGCACCAGTACGTGATGACATGGTCACTGAGGTCACCACAACATTTTCCAGCACACCGAACGTGGTCAAGTTGGGCTACGATGTGACAACAAAGGAGGTGCATATTGGTAGTGACACAAGCAAGGTCATTGAGATAGACTTTACAACATCGGTCCCCATTAAGAAGGAGTCGGACTACTACTACCAAGTGGTGACAAGATCACCCTTTGTCCTAGGTGCCAACATTCCACGTGCATTCGACACTGTCGACCTGAAGGACCACAAGATTTCTCAGGTCTTCTCTCTTGGCATCAATCAGAGCATCATTCCCGAGTTGAAGGATGGTGGCATTGTCGACTCTGTAGTGGTTGGATTCCTCCCTGTCAATGTCTTCCCCAACAACATTCTCCATCACTTGGCCAATACAATTGTCAACCCCCAGAAGTATCTATCCTACACTGGGACTCTGCTGGTCTTCAAGGACAAGCTGACCATTGGCAAGCATGTTGTCAATCTGACCGCAGGCTCGTCTGTCACCTACCGTCTGGAGCCATACTATCTTGGATCAAAGATGACACTCAAGTATCAAGTGATTCTGAAGTGTCTGGCAATCAACCCAAATGGCTACAAGATTGATTTCACCTACAACAATAAGACCAAAACATCTGAGAGCAAGGTTGGAATGAAGATTCCTGCGAAGATATACCTTGCCCTTGATTTCGTTGTAGAGACTGATGTAGCTATGGAGAAGAACCACTTTACTCTCGCAACAACAAACAATATTTTCCTAATTGATCTAATCTTTGTTCCAATAGCATGATCAATCAATCAATCAATCCATCCTTAATCACCTATTGGTCAATAGATCAATCACTCTTTCAATCCATCAAACAAACAAATAAATATATACTTTCAATCATACAAATAATCAATCCTCCAATTCAGTTTATACCTTGTTGTTTAATATATAGAATAGAGTACAAGATCATTCAAAGAGAGATACCGGAAACTCGGCTGGGACGGTTACTTTGATGTTCAGTTCTACACTCTGGGACATTTCCTCGAATGATGATATTACATCTGGAGTCTCATCATCAAAGAAGACAAAGTATTTAGCATCCAATTTGATGGTAAGGATCGCAGATGATTGGTTATGGATTGGGATGTCCAAAAATAGTTGACCATCTGCTTTCATTAACTTGGCGTCGGTACTGTATGATGACAACAAGTATTCGGCAGGCTCACTTGAATTCAGCTTGGCCATGTCATCCATCCAGTAGTCATTGATCTGGCCATCCAAACATGAGCCTTGCCTGGCTTGACAGAAATCGGGCTGCAACGAGAAGGTCTTGTAGTCAATTCCAATTTGATTACAAAGGGTGCCAAAGTAATCAGCTGGTAGGAGCATTGATTTGTCTGTCAATGGCAAGGTGTGGCGGTGGTTGTTGGTGTCGGTACTGGGGTCTGGCATGACGAACTTTCTGTTCTCAAAAGAGTAGGGTGGGACAAAGTTGCCAACGAGCTTGATGATCAATCCATCGGTGGAGATGGTTGGATCATTGGGGGATACTACAAACTCTTTGGACACCTTGATACCATTGTCATAAGTGTAGGTGAGGGAGGTGGTAATGTCCAGATGGTAGAAGGGATCCTGGATTGAGAAGGCATTGTACATAAGCTCACTCTTTCGGAGGCAACTAGTGCGATGCAGAGTAGCCAAGTAAATCACACTTTAGGTCAGTGCGGCTGTAGTAGATGCTATTTGGAAAGTAATCCAAAAGTTTACAGGTGCAGACTGTTCCCTGGCTGTAAGGTAATTTTTTTTGCAAAGCTGGGTAGCGTCATTGATGTTCATGGTCATGATTGAAGTTGCTAATCCCAGAGATGTTGGATAACAATTACTTAAATACAATAAACATGTTTATAAACACTGTTAGGATGTTTATAAACTTAAAGATATTTGTAATAAGTTTACCAGTAATCTTGAATGATTTCTAATTCATAAATTTCTTTGTCTTTGATTGAACTGTCGACAGGTGATATTACTTTTCCATTAAGTTTCAATCTTATTAATGATTCAGGACTCAGTTTAAGTCTCGAAAGTATGACTCTATTGTAACCTTCAGGGTCCTCACCGTTCTGTATTGTAATTGTCTCACATCTTGACATAAACATTGATTTGTATACAACTGTGAATGTCTTTGTTGGTATAACTGCAATGTAATCACCACCAGGTATTGAACTATAATTGATCAGAGGTGCATTGGGAATGTCTTTCAATCTCAAACCAGATGCAATAGTTCTTTTAAATGTCTTTAGATAAATGAATATGTTTGACCATCTCTCTCCATTTGGAAATGTATCAATAGGATCTTTCATATTCATATCATTATCAGGACTAAATATTCTAATCACTTGAAGATTACTCGACATCATCTCGTAATAGATAGTTTAGATAGATATTATTATTATAAGTTATAAATATGAACAAGGATGAATGAATGAATTAGTGAACAAAAAGTTGGAAACTAGTTTGAATGGGATTGTGGTCCAAGGTAAGAGGTGAAGCAAGAGAGGGGCACATCTCAATTCCAAAAATAGAGGTTATACAAAAGAGAGAGATAGAGATGAATGAACATGCTCGCGAGAGTACAATACATACAGTATTTCATAATAGAGTATTGTGTAGACTTATACTCAATCATATTACAGTCATTCATCATAGATGGTGTAATGATGTTAAAGATGATGTCAATGAAGTGATCTCGGTGATAAAGGGTCGAACACTACTCGACTCTGGTAGTCTCTCAAAGATGCTACAATACAATGCCACAGCGATGTTCATCCAAGCATATGACAACAGTATGTCCGCTATCACTGCGGCGTCGATACGACCAAAACTTCCAAACTCCATGTTGGAGTACGCAGCACATTATAACAACACGGTGGCCTTCAAACATATAAGCGATACATGTCAAACGAGTTTGTATATACCGATGATGATGAACAACAACGATCTGTTGCTACGCATCTGTAAACATGGCAATGTTTATATGCTCCAACAATACTTGGCGTGGACCATGCATCGACCACTGTCTTGCAGCAACCTTGTATATTTGATCAAGGCTATTGACGCTGGCAACGAACAGTTTGTGCGCCTGATGCTCAAGGAACACAACAAGCGTACTTGGACATATGTTACTGCATGCGACTTTAAGAGACCTGGCATTTCAGTTGGCATGCTGAAATTGTTGCACGAGGAGTATGATATACTCTTTAACGTCGAAGTCGGTCTATGGAGCAAGGCACTCATTTATTCAACTAAATGCAATATTATGGAGAGCGTACAATACATCTTGGCCAACATATCAACGGCATGGAGGGAGAGCCATGCTGATGAGGTCGAACAGACGATCATTAATTGCATGGTTCAATGTGTGAATGATGATAACATACCCATGCTTCAATGTTTAATCGACATGGAGCCAACTACATTCCAACAACACTGTGAATACATTAATCACAGGGCGATCCAGTTTGGCCATGAGTCAATCGTTCGGCATCTCCTCACACTTCAGCCCAACAACAACAAGATCTTGCTGGAGCTGCCGTCAGGCCCATGCAGGAAAAGGTTTGCAGAGACAAGACTTCGCAATGCAATTCTAATGGATGATGTTGATGAAGCAGATAGCATCATCACTCTGATGACATTCGAGCTTGGCCCTGACCTGTGCCAGAGTATGTCCGTAGCAATGGCAAAGAGATTGTTCTCTCCACGACAACGAATTCGTCTTATCATGTCTGGCGGAACACTCAGCAACATGTTGAATGCAATTGGCAAGCGAGGCAGCTCAATTACAGTTGACATCATAAACATGATCATTGATAACTGTAACCTGATATCACCGTCTGGCATCCAAAACTTATTGTTGTGGACATCAGGCAAGTCTGCATCGTTGATGCAAAAGATACACAATCGATTCAACATACCCTACAACCTAGATTGTTTGGCAATGGCGCTGAATCATGGTTGTCTCGAAACACTGGCCATCCTCTTTGAGCATATGGAAGTGCCTGTCACTGACATTGAGCCACCATTGGGCATAAAGAGTGGACTTGAAGTGTTTATCAAGGCTGCTTCGTTGGACAATGTCATCATGGTGCTGGACAAACTGCCTTCAATCAAAGTCGATCAAACAATGTGCCATCACTCACTCTTCAATCCATCAATTGATGTGTTTGTTTATATCTTTAACAAGTTGGAGTTATCAACAACTTTGTTAACAGAGTTAGTCAAAATGTCCTACAATCTTGACAATCTTCAAGTGTTGAGATATCTTCATCAACATGTCCCCGCATCAATGATGGCCACGTGTCTAGAGCCATCACAAAATACATTGACGACAGCTGGCTATGACAATTGTCATCATGTACTAAAGTACTACTTTGAAGAATCAACAACCTTCAACAATATGTCCATTCCACTTCGACTTCGCCAACTCCATTCACTTCTTGGCTTCGTACAACATCTAGGAGCGACCAGGTTGATCTCCCTATGTACAGAGCTTATCAACAAGTTGATTGAGTTGGATACCAGGTATGATCACCCTTCACACTCACTCATTCAATCAATCAATCATTCAATCAATTACTAATCAGGCTATACCATCAATAAGTGAACGACCACAATGTAGATTGATTGATCAGCCATTACATATCAATTTGGCAATGAATGATCCTTTCCACAAGGTGTTTGGTATAACTAGTATTGGCAAGTTGATCATGGGTCATGTTGGAAGTGTACACAGATCACTTGGTATCGAGGATGGCAAGCTGATAAAGGGTGCAACACTTTTGGCCAAAGACAGTTTGGTACAATATATCAAATATGGTGCCGTGGAATGGTTCCTCAAATCATATTCTACATTCTCAAACAAGTACAGTACCAACAATGCCGTTCTGCTGGAGGAGGCATTCATTAGAGGGGACACACGTATATTGGAAGTGTTACTTGCCAATCCCTGCATGACATTGGATAGCGATCTAAGCCTCAGCCTCTCCAAACGATTTGTCAGCAGCCTGTCATCATGTACTCATCCGAGATGGGAGTGGATTCTTTCAGAGTACTTGACAATCACATGCATCTCAACGCCGTCCCAAATCAACATCAGGATTGATCTCGAGTTGATGGAATTGATCAAACACCCATCGTTCATCAAGAAGCTCATCAAACTCGGAGCCAAGCTCACACCACTCATTGCAAACACACGGATGGATGCCTGGTTCGATTGTCCATGGGCTTTGGAGATGTTCCAGGTGTTGTTTGACAATGATCTCTTGCCATCTGCATGCATTATCAAACTACTGGGCATGGCTGCCGCACAGAACAACTCCACAATGTATCATCACATCTTGACCACGAGCATACAGTACATCGACTTTTTCTTTGAGTTCTCACCAGAGGTATTGATTACGCCTTGTTGTCAGTATGGACGGATGGATATTCTGAACCTGACGTTCAATCAATTGGATATACATCGAGACATCATTGTTTGGAAACCTAATGATAACAATTGGATGGACTGGTTAACAATTGCTGCAAAGAATGGTCACACTACAATGGTCGTATACTTGTATGATCACGTCAGAACATTGATGTATGCACCGAATTGCCTATTGGAGGCGACCAAGGTTGCACTGGAAAATGGTCACATGGATGTTGTTGACTACCTCCTCGAGATATTGCAATCATTTGATCCCGCCGAACATATAATAACCCTCAACAAAGTTCATCAAAGTATACTATCGATTGGTCTTCTTGATCGTCTGGTTGCACACGCCAATACCCGTCCAAGATTGGACAAAGTCATGAAGAATGCGGTCAGAGCACGCGATAAAGATGCGGTTACGTACATTATTAAGGGCCTCAAACTAGGTCAGTCTTCGTTATCATTCCAAAAAGGCTTGTCCATTGCTATAGCACTCTGTCAGTTGGACTTGGCATCAATGATCAAGGATCAGTTCCCATATTTGCGTGTCTTGGCTCCAGAGTTAAACTCAATGATCAGATTTGTCGGCTCACCAGACTGTCCAATAAGCGAAGAGGATGCTATCAACTTTGTCAAGGACACTAGATTGGATCTCAACCCAAACCAGCTCTCCAAGCTCATCATATCAGCGTCAACCAAGTCATTGGCATTCATTCAGATTGTGGTGTCCAGATTCACCGCAGTATGCTCAGGTAATGGAGGCCCTTTTGTGGAGATCAAAGACGATGATATGAAGGAGGCCATCAATGAATGTATCAAAAGATGTGACCTACAATCAATCGACTATCTCATTCGAACTGCTCTCAATCTAGACAGAGCGTCTGGGACCATGAAGACAGTATGGTCGCTACCCCAGGAGATCATCCCATCCAATATCTCAGACCCAGTAGTATTGGAATTCCTCTTGGACAAAGGCTACCATAATCTGAGTGATAGGTCAGGTGAGTTGTCCAATCTAATGAATTGGGCATGTGAAGAAGGACATTTGGAAGTGATCCGTATCGTTCTGGAACGATGTACAACCATGGAGCATCTACTCAGACATATGCCAGCGACCAATATGATCCTAAAGGCTTCATCAAACAACCATCACCAACTACTCAGATATCTCATTGACTTTGAATATATGGTTGCCGGAAGGACTCAACTCCATCGCGATTATCTGGAACAATCACAAGTACAAATCATGCTCAACTCCATCGTCCTTCAATCACTCGACAAAGGGCACATGAAGATTCTGTTCATGTGTGATCGATTATTAAGTTCCATCAACTTCAAAGACACAATGAATGAATGATTGACTCGAGACTCCTACAGTACAACCCCAACCATGATTATCATATGAGGCTCAACAATCTTTATTGATGTCGAGGCTGGAGAGAGGTAGACAACTAATGTCTATTGGCAAGGAGCTGGTAGAATGACTCATGGTTGGAGTAGAGACTGCTCTTCTATCCAATCGATAAGGACTATATCGTTGTTTTTCTGATTTGATGAGAGCCCTGGACCGTTTGAATTCCTCTGTAGGGTTTGGAACTGCCTGGGACAGGTTGTCCATGAGGTCAAGAATGTCGAATAGAATAGTTGGATTAATTGAAATAAAGTCTTGAAGGTGTATGTTAGTATTGAATGAAGACACTGAGACTACGTTGTTTTACCTACCCTCTCTACGAAGGTCTTGAATTTGGAAAGCTGAATTAAGAGATATACCTAGTGAGGTTAATGTATCTACTGTTGTTTCAGGATGGAGAAGAGCTTGACCGGTCACATTCTTTAATATAATTGGAATGTCTTCAAGTGGTAACTGGTTCTCTGGAGTATTCAATTGATCAACAATCTCCTGGGATGTTGTCTGAGCAGTGAGGACAAAGGGGTTGGAAAATCGTCTTCCATCTTTGAACAGAAAAATGATATGTGAATGTATGGTGAAGAGAGAGAAAACAGTGATGCACAAATAATAGTAAATAAGATAGTAATATTCATTCATTCAATGATTATATAGATGGATGGTGTTGTTTCGAGGAAGTTTAATTAAATACTAATAATTATCATTATTTCTAGTTTGCAGCAGAACCTTCCTTGTAACCCATTCTTTGGTCGATCCAGTTGAAGATATCGTTAAAGACAATCTTGAGAGCAAACATGTTAGTTAATCTATCAATAAATCATCATTATTATATAATGTAACTTACATGTGACTCTGGCTCGGATGTCAATCCATGCCACATTCCTTCGTATAGTTTATAGGTCTTGTCTACACTCTCGGCCATCTCATAGAGTTGCTTGCTAACCTCTGGTGATGATACACGATCTTCTGAACCGTGTTGGATTAGAAGTGGTACTCGGACACGTACTAAGTTGTCCTGGAGATAGGAAGTGACACTCATGATTGCCAGACCAGTACCCAGTCTGACTCTATTCTTATAAGTGAGTGGATGTCTTGCATGTTGCTCACGCTTGGCTGGATCCTTGATATTACGATCAAGTACATTGTCACCTGGTACTATTGGCCATGTAGGGATATAATTGCCCAACCATGTCAGGAAGTTTACAACATAGGCATTTGGTACCATAGTGTCGTCCAACTTGATCAAAGGTGCCAACAATATCAGTCCATCAAGTAACTCGGGTTTATGAAGTGATATCAACATTCCAACTGCACCTCCCATTGAGTTCCTAAACCAAACACAAACAGAATGTCGGTCAGTAAGATGGACTTGACATGAAGTACTCATGTAAGAGTATACATACGAAACAATAAACCTCTTCATTTTTGGATATCTCTGTTTGATAATCTCAATGTATTGTATTGAGTCATCTCGCAGGTCTTTAAAGTCTTGAACATAACATTGAAGTCCTTCACTAAGTCCATGACCTTGTTGATCAAACAAGAATGTAGAATAACCTTGATTGGCAAATATCCTTGCATCATCAGCCAATGATGATTGTCCATGATCTCCATAACCATGGATTATAATAACTATTGCTCTTTGGAACATTATTAATATATTAAATTGATTGATGAATTGAATGTTTTGATATAATTACATACTTTGGTTCAACAGGAATCCACTCCTGACAAACTAACTTATATTGGTTCTTGTTTACAAAGTAACCTTGTCTGTATTGTATATCTTCGCCATATTTGGACTCTGATTGGAATACAATATCCTTATGGAATGAATCTATCTCTGGTTGTTGTTGTTGATGATGTTGGATTGGTTCCGACATTGCTGGGACATGAGCTACCATCCTTAATAGTTTATAATACTATAAATAATTAATTAATAATTATTAATTCTTTCTTTCTTTTTGAATGAATGAATGAAAAATGTGTTTGGAATATATATAACTAATAAACTAGGTTACAAATAACAAATTAATATTATGTAGAATGACTGTCGATTCAGGACCGTCGACGGTGTAAGGGAATCTGTTGTTGCTGCCGGAACTGGATGGCTGACTGACTGAATAGATGACTGAATGACTGAATGAAATGATAAATCTGAGTTATATAGTTTTAAATGTTGGTCGTTGAAATGACTGGCAATATTATGTCTTGTGGGTACCAAATGAAGAGGTTTGGAAAAGTGTTTAGATATAATATATGTATATATAATGAGGATGATGAGGATGAGGATTAGGAGATAAGAGTGTGAACTGCTACCCTTTGAATCTGACCTTGACTTGACTGACAAGTTGTAGAACTGACACTGCAGACTGACTGAGCGAGTGTCAGTGTGTAAGTGTATCTGTTTGGATTGGGGTTCAAGTCAAAGTGTGGTGTGTCTCTGTGTTGTATCTGTTTGTTTATCTGTAGGGGGGGTTTGAGGTGTGGAGGATGGGGAAGTGACCAAGTGAATGAAGTTGAGGGTGAGAACAACGAGTAAGCGACGAGTATGATGTGTAATTATAACTACTAATATATATATACATGTACATCAACGACGTATATGATTCAAAAGAACAAATAATAATAATAATAATAATGTCTGTGACTGTCACCAAGGCTGATAAGTGTTGTTAAGGGATGAAGAAGAATGAATGAATGAAGGGGAAGTGCACTTAATATATATCTATTAGATACGTATTATTGTTAATACACATAAGTTGTTATTAGAATGGTGAAGTGAAGGAAGGATCACCTGGGAAATTTCATCTTGTACATAGATCGATTCTACATTTGGTTAGACTTCCAATAATGTTAACTGGATTGCATTGTGTGCAATGAGTGGCGAGGAACAAAGGAACAACATTGGATAACTGTGTAAGGGCGAGGATGACATTGTGTGTGAACGAGTGAATGAATGTCCCTCTTGAGGACTTTGTTCGGATTAGGAAACGAGTAACTCAAGAGGGGTTACCTTGAACTTCTTGAACTTGTTGAGGTTGAAGTCGAAGTTGAAGTTGAAGTCGAGGTTGAATGAATGAATGAATGAACATTTAATATTTGTTGTTGGTCGTTCCATCAATCTACGTTGGATGCAACAAACATCATGACTAAACATACGAAATGCATTGGGAGTAAGATTATCAATGTTATCCTGATTACTTGGTAATTTTGAAGATAGCACATCATTACAGACTCGACTCAATGTCGATGTATAGTACTTGGTGTTGTTGGCAAGGTCCATTAGACGTAGTTTGACAGGAAGTGGTGTGGGTGGATGGGCTCCACTTACTCCAGAAGAAGTTCGGCAATGTCACCGGTCAAGAACACTGGGTAGGTCTGTGACGAGTAACGCTTGACGATCTTGCCTGTCTTGGATATGAGGAACTTGGCAAAGTTCCACTCAATATCATTGTACATGACAGGTGTCCAGCTGACGTAGACCGTGTCAAAGAGTGTTGGTCCCGATGGGCCACAGGCACTCTTCAACCAGGCAAACACTGGATTGATCGTTTCGACTGGTCCGTTCACATTAGACTTCTCAAACATCAAGAAGTTTGGCTCGAAACCACTGCCAGGTGTAACGTACTTCAAACAGTTGTATATCTGTTGGAAGGTTGCGCCTGGACACTGGTTCTTGAACTGTGAGCTTGGGAATCCGAGGATGGCAAAGTCTATATATTTGAATGATTGAATGAGTAAGTGATTCATTGGTCATTCATGCATGAGATATTACCTTCGGTTCCGAATTTGTCAACAAGCTGATTGAGCTGGACAAATGTATCGTTGGTCATTCCTCAGAATGATGCTGTGTTGAGCACGAGGACAACCTTGCCTTTGAATTGATCAAAGGTGATGGTAGTACCACCGCCCAGTGTGCCAGAGAGGTCATAGAATGACGTGGCAGGCTGTACACAGGTGACATTTAGTACCTGTGCAGTGGACCTAGCCACACACAACCACAACAGAGTGTTAATCAATAAGAATGCCTTTTTATTGAACATTCTTATATCACTTTACACTTTGATGATGTGCTTGTTATATATTTATCTGTATCTGTATATCTGTTTGATTGAATTGAATGAATTTCTGATCAGGGCTCTAACTCATGTCCTACCATTGGATGGTGTTTGTTGTGATGTGGGTCCGAAAGGAGAAGATTTTTGTAAAACTTGAGGATTGGGACAAAGAATCTTCAAACGAATGGTCCAATTGAGATTAGTTGTACATTATTATATTCAATTCCAATCAAATTGTTATATATATAACAATCAAACAAAGTTATAACGGAATACTATATTGTGTATCTATTCCTTTTTTAGAACTTGTCCAAGGATAGAACTTTAGATTATGGTTTCAAACATTTGTGAAACAGCAAAAAATGGCGGGAAGTTTGATTAATTGGACCAAGTGTCAATTTGAAGAACATGTTCTTAGTTTGTTGTTGGCCTAGTGTTATAGTTATAACAATATATAATACAATGATGTTAAAAGGAATTGATAGACAGACTTATTACCTGAGGTATATAAACTCAACAACAACTACGACGACGACGACGACGAATTCATCATCAAAGACACAACAATCAAATAGTGATGATGGTGATAAGAATGATAACAACAGGTTCTGGTTCAACTTGGTAGAGATGTTACAATATCCTAAATATATAGATAACAACAATAACAACAATCAATGTATTACAGCCGAGTTATTACTCAAACATTATCGACCAATTACAAACTACACCATTCATTCGTTGGCACATGACATGCAGGCGGTAGTCGAACGACACCTGGAGTTCATGTTGATTGAATGGTACTTTGGTATGATATCTCTAGCTGTTGAGTAGCTACACATACTAACAATCAATCAATCATGACAGAGGACATCAAGCATTACCTCAACAATCACCTCTCAATCGAGTTCTGGTCACACTTTAGACGCGAGGATGATGATGATGACAAGAACAACACAAACTTTATAAGCGCCATTGATAAGCTACATCAAGTGTTCACACTCTATGCCAATCAACTCAAGTATCTCTGTCATGCTCTCAACAAAAGGTACCTTTTGGACTCGAGTCCGTGCAGGTGGAGACCACATGGAAGGCGAACTAACATCACTCCCCTAGTGCTCAACTGGAGACATGGATTGAGAACTTACAAAACAACTTGATTGCATCACTCATTGTGGAGAGTACAAAGGCCAAGCGATTCAAGACTATTCTGCTCAGGTTCTTTGAGCGTGAGTTTGTCTCATTCTCAAAGTCATACATTGGATCAATCAGGAATCGTGATGACGATGATGTTGATGTAGACGATTACCAACACGATGATGATGACAACATAATGGACATGTCACTCAATGAAAGCTTCACTGATATCAATGTCAAGGAATCATCATTCATGTCACTGTGCAACAAACTCAATCAACTCAATTTTATCATTGTGTCTGAGGAGATATTCACAAAGATATTGTTGTCCAAGATCCTGGAGCACATTGAGACAAAGTGTCGTGACGTGTTTGATCGTCGTCTGCTGTCGCCCATCCTGCGCTGGGCCGATCGCATCATCTTCAAGTGGCTCTACATGATCCTCTCGCCATGGAGCCACACGACGTACGAACAATGGAAGATGCGCATCGAGTTCTCCATCTACGAGTACTACTCGGACCAGCGCATATCCGAACTGTTCAACATGATCCGAATGTATCCAGACAGCACACCAGCACTGCACGACCTCGCCCTGTGCTTCCAAAAGATCTCCATCCAGAAGCCATTGGTCAACAGTCTAAAGGCGGTGTTCAATCAGCGACTGCTCCACCCTGGCGCCAACACCAATGACATCATCACGACATACATCAGCACGATCCAGGCGATGAAGATCATTGATCCCACGTGCTTTGTGATGGACCAGGTCGCCCAGCCTATCAAGAACTACTTGGCCAAGCGTGATGACACTATACGCTGCATAGTGTCCAGCTTCACAGATGAGAACAGTGAGATGTACCAGGAGTTCTCGCGTGGCATTGATCAAGACGAGGACCCTCAGACAATGTTCAATGCAGGCGATGTGTGCGATATCTACTTGGACGATGTCGATCCCAATGATGGTCTGCTGGATCTCAAGGCATTTGAGGCTTGGCAGCCGGCATCAATTGAGTCACAGCCCAATCAGAAGATCCAAAAGTACCGCGACAACATCAGCAGTCTTGTCAGCATCTACGAAAGCACCGATGTCTTTGTCAACGAATACCGACTAATGTTATCCGAGCGATTACTCTCAATGACCGACTATGATATTGATCGAGAGGTAAGCTTATCCCGCGACCAAGGCAACCTGGCGGCCCATCCACTAACCTATCCACACAAACTCACAACAGATCAAGAATGTCGAGCTTCTCAAGCTGAGGTTTGGTGAGAGTAGCATGCATAACTGTGAGATCATGATCAAGGATATGGCCGACTCCAAACGTTTGAACATTCAGATCGCCAAGGAAGTGAAGAACAAACAGCAGTCGGGCGATGGCGAGGAACAGATGCAGTTTGGCTCATTGATCTTGTCCAAGTTGTTCTGGCCATCATTCAAAGAGGAGCAATTCACATACCCACGCAAGATGCAGAAGCAGATGGAATTGTTTGCCAAGGAGTACGAGGCTATCAAGGCACCGCGCAAGCTAGAGTGGAAGCAACATCTTGGATTCGTCGAACTGGAGATTGAGATTGACGGCCAGCTCAGACCGCTGACCGTATCCACCTTGCAAGCGGCCATCATCACAATGTTTGAGGACAAGACTCGTCACACACTGGAGGAGCTGGCCACTGCATTGGAAGTCAAGGAGGACTTCCTCAAGAAGAAGATGTCGTTCTGGATCGGTCAACAAGTGCTGCGCGAGGCTGAGCGCGGGGTCTACGAGGTGGTCGTGTCAGCGCCAACCGCGGACGATCAGAACAATGAGATGGTGGTCGACATGGAGGAGGAAGAGGAGCAATCGGCCTCTGACCGACAGAAGGAGGAGCAGCTCAAGGTCATCGATAACTTCATATTTGGCATGCTGACCAACTTCAAGGCACTCCCAATCGATCGCATTCACAGCATGTTATCAATGTTCAACGCAGAGATCTACACGCTCACCATTGCCGAGCTCAAGACCTACCTTCAGAAGCTCCAGAATGATGAGCGTATCGAGTTGTCTGGTGGCGAGTACAGGATTAAGAAGTAGCCAATGTTATAAATATATAAATAGATAATATTGCAAGGATTGTATTATTACTACATGATCATGATGAGGCATGGCATGGCATAGGCGTGCCCTTTTAGAACAGCCTGACACCAGTCTTCTTGAGAGTGTGCTGTCCAAACTCCTCTTTGGTCTCCCAGGCACGCTTGACAGCCTTCTCGTCGGAGCGAACTACACGGACCAGCCTTCGGTTGGCCAGCATTCGCTGAGTGGCCGTCAGCTCGTTCTGTAAGTCTTGACACTTGTCCACCATGTTCTGATACTGCAGCTGAAGACTGTCGTTCTCCGCCGCCATCCTCTCCAAGTCCATCTTTAAAATATGTTCTCTATCCTCATGTATCTTGAACAACTCATTCGTCTTGCTTGATCTAGAATTGATTGATTGTTTGTGAATGAGTGAGTGATCGTGATTGGAATGGAATGATTCCCATTGATACTTACATCTCAATCTGTTCGTTCTGGACCTTCTGTTTGTTCTGCTTCTCGTTGTGAAGCTTACTCTGCACTGACTGGACTTCAGCCTGCAGATTGGTGATCTGGCTGTATTGGAGCTTGCTCTTCATGGCAGCGTCCTCTTTGAAAAGGGCAAACTCTTGTTGGACGACAGTTTGTCCACTCTTTAGCGCCTTGATTTCCTGCATCAGTCTTAGTTCTCTCTCTTTCAGTGCTGAGTTTTCAGACTGAAGTTGCTCGTTGTATTGATCTAGACTGCGCTTGTCCGACAGTGTGTGTTCCAGCTGTACGCGCAGCTGCTTGTTCCTTGTCTCCAATGATGTGCCATCGGGCTCGCCATCGTCCAGCAGCAGTTGTAGCGCGGCTGCGTCGTCTCCACCCGCATGGTGGGCGCCATTAGTGATGACAGCTCTTGAATCAATCATTGACTGAAGTTTTATCTGTAGCCCGTTGCGCTCCTTCTCGACGGTGGCCAAATGAATCTGCAACGAGGTCAATGATGCCTCACTGCTCGCCAGGTCGTCGCTCAACTGCTGTTGTCGCTGCTCGAGCTGCGCGATGCGATTCTGCAGCTGCATCTTGATCTGCATGCTCAGCAACTCCTCCTCGGAGAGGTTTCTTATAACCTCCTCGATGTTGATGTCTTGGAGAGTGTCGCTCGAGTAGGCGCTGCCGTCGTCGCTCAGCGACGTCGACGAAACGCTGCGACACAGACGTCCCTCATTGCTGTTGGCGTCGCCCTCGAGATAGTCGGTCTGTTGTTTGCGGTCCAAGTATTGTACCACCTGTGATGCCAGCAGCTGCAGGTCCTCGACCTGCTGTGTGAGTGTGCTGACCCTGATGTCCCTGTTCTGCAACTCCGTCGTAAGATTGCGCTCGGTCTCTCTGTGCGTCTTGGTCTCTTGGCCAGTGTGCTTGGCCAAATCCTTGGCGGCTTCCAACTGTGCGCGCACCTGGATGAGCTCCTCGCTACGATACTCCATCTGGAGTGTCAGCTCTGACAACTCGTCCTTGAACTTGTCCACAAGCAGTTGGTTCTCCTCCTTTAGTCGATCGATCTGCATTGTCAGCTCCACCATCGCCATTGGGTCGTACAGCGATGGCACATTGTTCTCTGGCGACTGTGAGCGCGACGAGTTTGAACTGTTATTGCGACTGTGTTGGCCAACGAATGGAGAGCCCGCGCCCAACTGTGATGGTGGTCTGGGCTTGGTGGTAGCACTGCTGCTGCTGTTGTTTGATTGAGTGGCTGAAGGTGTGGACGATTGGAGAGTTGGTGTGGAGGTCGAGCTGGATGGGGCCAGAGTCGCCAGCTCGGGCAACGGGCTGCCAGGCACGTAGTCGGGAGAGCGCATGTACTCGATGCGCTTCTCCAACGACAGTGAGTAGTGCTTGAGACTTGACAGCTCGTTGGTAAGCACACTGATGATGGCCAGCAGTTCCGCTGCCGACTTTTGCTGATTGATCTTCACGTTGTTCTTGATGGTCTTGGCACGTGCGCCAAACTTGAGCGTCGATATCGTCTCCTCGACGTTGGAGATGTGCGGCGAGGCAGTGACCATCAGCGTGGTCTTGGTGTTGCCACCCAAACTCTCCTGAAGGATACGTGTTAGCTTGGAGTCGCGGAAGGGGATATGATCACGCTTGGACTCGGTGAGCGCGTGAATACAATTGCCCAACAGTGACAGCGATTGATTGATCTTCTTGGCCTCCTCGAGCGTCTGGCCCTCGGCGCCTGTCTTGGCCACCTTCTCACTGCCAGCCAAATCGACCAGATTGAGCTTGCCTCGCTTGATGGAGCCGTCGCGCGACTTTTGTTCGATGGTCAGGATGAGCAGCGAGTGGGAGCGCGACGAGCGCTGGTTCATGTTTGTCTTGCTGACGGAGCGCGACTGCTCGCCCAGCGCGATCAGGTCGAGGATCTCCTGGTCGTCGCCGACAAACTCCTCGGTCAAGCCTTCGATCCAAATGCCATTGGTCTTGGACTCCCTAATCTTGAGATTGGTGTTCTTTGGATTGAGCAAGTCCTTTATATTCTCCATGTATATCTCAACGAATGAACACTTGATCGTGAACTCTGTACCAGTTGTATCATCAGCAATCCTATTGAATATATGTACGTTTGTTCTTGGAATGATACCAGCAAACTCTGGTTCCTTATCATCTGATCCAAACATTGTGAATGTCTATCATATCATATCATTTGGGTCCGGTTAGTTCCATGTTCCATTCAATCAATCACTGACTTGATCAATCAATCATACCTTTCCCGAACCTGTCTGACCATATGCAAAGATTGTGCCGTTGTAACCATTGAGTACGTCGTCTACGGTGCTTTTGACGGTCTCAAAGATCTCCTCTTGTTGTGTGTCGGGAGGGAACACTCTGTCGAATTGAAAGGGCACTTGATTGCCATTGTTGGTCATAATGATCTGTGTATCCTGTGGGAATTGACATACAACCTGGTCCTTCTCCTGTGCCTTCTCCCTCGAGTTAAGAGGTCGGAACCTATTGATTGTTTGATTGATTGAGTGAGTGAGTCTAGCGTGATGACTTGGTCATTCTTTCAATCATTCATACCTCGCGATAACTCTGATGTTACAACTTGTAGCCATTGTCAATGATTGATTGTTTGATTGATTGATGACGATATCCTCCTAAGGATATATCTTCTTTTTGATATATATATCTTAATGTTAAGTTATACACCTGCTGCTGTTTAAGTTGCTGATGCTGTTACAAGATGAAATATAATATGTATTATACTAGTACTACTACTACTTTGGTTTGGATTAACAAAGGACAACGCATGCGTCGGTCCGCCCGCCTTTGATGAGTGACTTAACTTCTGTTCAAGTTGGCGCGCTAACAACAAACAACTGACAATTAAAGAACCACCTGTAATGTTGTTGTTGTTATAGTTGTTGTTTGATGTACGACTCTGATGATCTGGCTGAGGTAGATGAGTTGAGTGGATGGATAGAGATAAAGTAATAATATGTGTTTGTGTGTGTGTGTGTGTGTGTGTATGAGTGAGTGAGAGGGTGTGATACTTAGTGTTGTTTGCTCGCGATACATTCATTCAATTCTGATTCCGTTGCCAACAACAACACCACAACCACCAACACCAACACAAACACACAAAGCACGCGTACCTGAAACCCTAGTTTGTTGTTGCTTACCCTCAAACAACAATCATTCTTTTGATTGACCCAACATATAATAATCTTTTGAATTTTCGTTTCAGATTTATAAATCAAAAGGGGGTCTATGACATTGTCAAGTAATCTGTAAAGCCACAACTCAATCAATTAGTATCTTTATAAATATATATAACATGAGAAATAAAAGTACTCATCAAGGGTGACGTCACTTGAGCTCCATGTCTAATAGATGACAAGTCATTCTTCCCTGGGGAGTGAGACAGCCAATTCACAATAATAATAATGTAATATAAATATTTTAACAGGAACAGATAAATGAATAATGTCAATACATATATGGTAATAGATCAAGCCATTTGGTTTGATGACGTGTGTTTTGTATATTTGATCTATTCCGACCTATGTATCCTCTGGTGGGAACAGGCCAAAAACCTTCAACTTTCATCGAATCGGCATGACACAAACATGTGAGATCTCAAACAAGGAAATATCTCCAATTCAATGACTGGTTATTATTTATTAACAGTTGAAAGAAGAACTTACAAGTAAACATATACATAATATATTTATACATACAAGTAATAGTTGTAGTAACAGTATACACTAAAGAGTTGGAGGTATGAATGAATGAATGAATGAATGGATGAAAGACAAACAAACTTACATTACATGACAACAAACCAAAACAGTTGTTCAATCAACATCAACATTGTAATACTGTATGATAGATAATAATAAGAACAATGGTGGTGCCTCAAGCAGCAGCAATAACATTGATGTAGCCGTTACACCAGATAGAGACACATGTAATAGCAAGGAAGAACAATGTATACTGTTCAATGAGGTCTACCATGATCATGGAAATGAATGTTGGCCCGACCACATTACATCAAACATTGTGTTGGATGATGTATCACGTTTGAATGCCACACGTGTCAATGCAATGTATCAAGTACGTAGCGTGGAGGATGTCCAGCGTGTGCTGGAATGGGCCAAGAAGACCAAGCAAACAGTGTCTGTGCGTGGCCAGAAGCACTCGATGGGTGGCCACACACTCAATCCAGACGGCGTCGTCATCGACATGCAGTACATCAATCACATGCAATTTGATCGCGAACGCAATTCAGTCACGGTTGGCACTGGCGCGCTATGGTCCGACCTGATCCAGTATCTCAACCTGTTCGCCAAGGCACCACGCACACTGCAGTCTTACTCCAGCTTCTCGATCGGTGGCACTCTCAGTGTCAACGGCCACGGTATCACCACCGACTACTGTCTCGCCGAGTCTGTGATTGAGTTCCGTTTGGTCACAGCCGACGGCGCCATCATGCGTTGTGCGCGCGACGCCGAGACCGAGGAGGCACGCCAGCTGTTCAGCCTGTGTATTGGTGGCTACGGCCTGTTTGGAGTGATCTACGACGTTGTGCTCAAGATCAAGGACAACTACCGTCTCCAGATGGACACAGTCACCACCCAGCTGCGCGACCTTCCCCACGTCTACGAACCAATGATCGACGCGATGCTCGCTGGCGAGATTGAGATCAAGTTGGCGCGTATCGATATCACCAACTTTGAGTTAGCCGACATCTACATGTTCCGTCGCCACTCGCTGACGCCAACCGTGTCCAACCTGCCAGCAAAGCCCAAGGAGATGACCATGGCCTCAAAGACCATCTACAAGTGGTTCGCCGGTCCCCTGCGCGAGCTGCGCTTTGCCATGGAGCACCAGCTTGGCGTGGCACTCGACTGGAGCGAGGTCAATGACTCCAACCTCCTGCTCTTCGAGTCTGCCAAGCCCCTGGCACAGCTCTACTCGCCCTGGCTATTGATCGACGACACATTCATTCTTCAAGAGTACTTTGTGCCCAAGGAGAACTTCAACACTTGGATATCTGCCGCCAAGGACTTGGTCGTGGGCCACATCAACAAGGAGACCAAGCTGTCCCTTCTCAACATCACAATCAGATACGTTCATCATGACACGGACAGCGCGTTGCCATATTCTCGCGCACCAGGTGGCTCCTTCGCCTTTGTATTCTACTTCCGCATTCGTCGCACCAAGGAGGCCGACGATCTCTTGCACAGCTATCACAACAAGTTGACAGAGATCACTTTGTTGGAGGGTGGCACATTCTATCTGCCCTACCGACACCATTATTCACATGATCAGTTGCTCGCGGCCTACCCTGGATTCACACAATTCACTCAGATGAAGTCCAAGTACGATCCTGATCAAAGATTCTCAAACCTTTGGTGGTCACATTATGGCGCAAACACTACTCCCACCAAGCAAGTACCACTCACTGTCAAAGAGAATGAGCTTCATGAGGTCCCAGCGCTGGCATCAATGGACGACAAGATCATATCGAAGGAGGACTTGGACAAGCTTCTGGATCAGACGTCCATCCATAGACTGGGATCATTCCGCGCGTTGCTCAAGGACCCATTACTCAGACATACATTCAGCGACACGTTCCTGGTAGACATCCTGGCACTGGGCAGCCGCAATGAGTTGATGCGACTGATGAACACATCGGTCTGGGACAACCGTCTCAAGGACGACAATGACATCTACGAGAACCTGGTACGATGCTTGCAATCCAAGTCGGGCCCATTCGGTGAGATCGTCAAGGTGTGGAAACAGGTCAAGCAGTTGTCCGATCAGCGCAAGGAGTTGGTACGCGAGACTGTCTCGGTGCTCTCTCACGTCGGACTCGTGGGCAAGGTACACGATCTGGTCTCGATTGGCGACCACGGCAAGTTGGTCGCGCCACTGCGCAAGGCTCTCAGAATGCAGGGCGACACGTGGATCGTGCATGATGTGCAGGCTGATGACTCTGACATTGGCGCTACACTGGAGCGTGGTGTAATCAATCAGAAGGAGCTGGGCACTTTCGAGCAGATCGACTATATGCACGTGCGAAAGGATGGACGCGAGTTCCCCAACATCCCCGACGAGAGCTGCGACCTGGTTACGATGAACCAGGGTCTGCATCATCTGCCACCCGCACACATCCCTCACTTCCTCAAAGCAGTCAATCGTATCCTGCGCACAGGTGGCTGTCTAATCATTCGTGAACACGACTTGGACGACAACAAACATCTGCTGCCAATGCTAGACTGCGCGCACATGGCGTTCAATCTGCTCACTGGCGTCTCATCTGTCGATGAGAAGCGTGAGATTCGAGGCTTCCGCTCAGTGATTGAGTGGCGCCAGATCGTGGAGCACTTTGGATTCCGCGACACCATGGTCTACGAGATGCAGCCACACGACCCCACCGTGGACATCATGATCTGTTTCAGAAAGGTCAGTCCAGTGGACATTGCTTCACTCACAAGTCCCAAGCAGATTGTAGCCGCCGCGCCCAAGCCCAGGAAGGTCTACTCGGACAAGCTGTACACACCTGTGCCCCCATCGCGACTAAACGCCGCTCTCAATCAGCTGCCACACCTCACGCTTAACCTGATAAAGGGCGTAATCGAGATGCTTCGTGTCAATATCCCGCAGTTCCAGCAGTGGCTGGCCAGGATCGTGTCGACCATGATCCCCAAGTCGCTGCCAGGCTTGGCCGACTCGGCAGAGATGATACTCAAGCAGTACGTCAACCCCTTCCTCACGATCCTCGAGCGTTTCGACCCGCTCACTGAGGCCGCCATCCCCCAAGCCAACACTTCCGACAACATTGTACCTGATGAGCTCTTCCTCCTTGTGCATGTTTTGCGCGCTCGTGCCAAGAAGGGCGGTGGCATCTTTGAGACGGCCATCATTGGTATCATCGATCAGCTGGTTGGCTTCAAGAATGAGGTCATTGCAGAGGTGACTGACGTCATCAATCAACAACCGGCACAGCTACCACCCGCATTGAGTCTTCTGGATGACGCTCACCTCAAGGAGATCAAGGATGAGGTTCACCTGCTGTTCCAGACAATGCCCGAGTTGGCCAATCTCGAGCACGTGGTCAAGAATGTCGGTCTGTCAGCTCGTGCTACCAACCTCATCGGCACGCTACTGCCAAACGAGTTTGATCAACAAACCTTGGCAAGATGGATCTCGGAGAAGTTGGACGTGCCCGCTTGGGTAGCACTCAAGTCTGCGATGATCGATGTGCGGTCCCAGAAAAACCTGCCCACAATGGACCTCATCAAACTCAAGGGCTCACCATGGAACCGTGCGATCAGCACAATCATGGGCGCACCATCAGTACAGTTCACAGGCTACCAGGAGACGATGGCAGGCTGGGTTGGTCTTGGCGATGTAATCACCTTGTGGAGGAAGGCCCAGAAGAAGGCCACAAAGAGGAGAAACTCCACTGCATCAATGGGCACGGCATTGTCTCAAGAGATGCTGGAGCACCTCGAGAAGATCAGTCCACTGGCCAAGTACGAGGGCAAGGCAACACGCTTGGACAATGTCCTATACATCGTATCGGCATCATTCAAGCACTACTCTCTCACCAAGCTACTCAACAGCGTTGTGGTGGACATCACGGCCGAAGCCAATGCGGCCATCGATGTGCAGACCGCTTCACTCAAAATGGCCGACATCAAGGGCTATGGATCAGGCTTCATGAAGGGCGCCAGTCAGTTCAGAATGGGCGATCACAAGTTTGAGATTGTCTATCGCACGATGCCCGAGGTCAAGACAATGCGCATGGACAAGACACTGTCGTCCACAATCAAACTGTCTCACCTCCTTGCCAAGCAGGGCCACTTTGACGGCCGCCACCACGCCAACAGCGACTCTCTCAATCACTACAAGCTGCCAGAATGGATGCAGGTCGAGATGGTGCAGGTGTTTGGCAACTTCATGGAGCACACACCATGGTATCGCTTTCCCTTCATCTCGATGCTCAAGGTGTACTTTGATGTCCTGTTCAAGGAGTTTGGCCTGGTGTCCCAAGAGCATGGTGTGATGGCCGCACTCTCTGATCAGGGCTTCCTGATCGACCTGGTGCCAGGTATCGTCATGTCGGTCATCCTCGGCCAGATGGCCTTGCTCGCACTGCCCCTTCGCAAGATGCTCGGCGACACCTACGACGATTCACAGATGTACGAGTCCATTGTCGTGTTGGCACCATCGAGTGTACAATGGCAGACGATTGATGAGAGGATCATTCCAATCAAGTCACTGGACCATGGCGTGCATGTACTCCGCGTGCCAACATTCAAGCCATTCTCAGAGATATTGCAGACTATTGCAAAGAATGCTCCAGCCGTCACTATACTCCAGATCTCCAACAACTCATCATTGCAAATCAAGTTGGAGTCCAATGTCGAGCATCTCAAGGTCACACTCAAGGCACTTGGTCAATTCGAGGACTGCAAGATCAACTTCAATTACAACCTATTCCCAACAACAACAACAACCAAACAGCCAGCACATCCAGCACAGACAACAACAGGTAGCACTGTTACCAAGCATCCAGAACATCTACTTCCACAACAAATCTCTGTTGATGTACGTGTAATCCATTTGCTACCATTCATCCGACATGTAAATACCATCACAACCGTCAAGATAGTACAGATATACGATTACTATGCCTAGGTAATAATGTCAATAAATGTATGGACATCCATCACGTGATGTCCAATCCAGTCACGCACTTCCAGTTTCCCAACACTTTCGCGAAAGACACCCCACACTCTATTCCTCGTTCTTCTTGTTTGGGGGTTCTTTTGAACAAACAACAAGCTCATTCAATCATTCTATCAACATCATCATCAGGTGTATAACATATAATATAACTATGTCTGATACTATTACATCAAATACAACAGCATCGACTACAGCAGAGAAGGAGATATGCTCCACACCTAATTGTGGCAAACCAGCCAATCTGCATTGTCCAACATGTGAGAAGCTAAACCTGAAGCCAGTCTCTAATTTCTGTTCACAAGACTGTTTCAAGTTATTCTGGCCAATACATAAACTGTCTCATTGTAAGTACTCTTGATTATTGATTGAATGGATGAATGATTGAATGAGTTTGCTAACTGATTGAACAAATACAGTAACAATTGATGAGGCTAAACAAGTTTCTTCAGCATTTAATGGTTTCAAGTTCACTGGCAAGCTGAGACCTTACAAGATTACACCACGTCGTACTGTACCTGCTGGTATTCAGCTGCCAGATTATGCAATCGATTGTATGTATCATCTGACATTATTAGCCATGTAGTTGATGAACAGAGTTCAGCAGGATCAGCAACAGCAATGAGATATCATGGAATGAAGGAAGGAAGGTTGAGGAGTGACACAGAGTGAGAACAAGACAGATACAACTCAGACAGATTGCACGTCATGAACTAACAATCATCCAATCTCCACCTCATTTGACAGCGGTGCCACACAGCGAGCGAGCAGCAGACAGACGCAATACACCAATCCCAATTCATAATAAGGAGGAGATTGAGATTATGCGCGAATTGGCGAGAATGTCGAGAGAGGTGCTTGATCTGGCGGGACAGGTCGCAAAGGTGGGCATGACAACCGAGGAGTTGGACATCATCGTGCACAATGCTATTATTGAGCGTGGAGCATACCCTTCGCCACTCAACTACTGCGGTTTCCCCAAGTCGTGCTGCACCAGCATCAACGAGGTCATCTGTCACGGTATCCCCGATCTGCGTCCACTGCAAGACGGTGACATCGTAAACGTTGACGTCACGCTCTATTGGAAGGGCTTCCACGTCGACCTCAACGAAACCTTCCTTATTGGCAACGTTGACGAGGCTGGCCAGAAGTTGGTGCGTGTCGCCTACGAGTGTTTGGAGAAGGCCATGGCCATCCTAAAGCCTGGTGTCATGTACCGCGAGCTTGGTGACGTCATCCAAAAGCACGCCAACCAAAATGGACTGTCAGTCGTCAAGAGCTACTGTGGTCATGGTGTTGGCCGTCTGTTCCACGGCAATCCAACCATTCCTCACTATGGAAGTAAGTTAGTTCACTCACTATACCTGCAATCACATTGTGAACTAACCAACAAATCAATCAAACTATATTATAACAGAGAACAAGGCAGTTGGTACAATGAAGTCTGGTCATATTATTACAATTGAACCAATGATCAATGAGGGAACGTGGAATGATGACATGTGGCCTGATGATTGGACTGCTGTCACCAAGGATGGCAAGCGATCAGCACAGTTTGAGCACACCATTCTCATCACCGACACTGGCTATGAAGTTCTAACCAAGCGTACAGTTGGATCTTACATCGACAGGTTAAAGAAGGAATAAAAGTTGATTGATTAATTGTGATTGATTGTGATTGGTCGATTGTGATAGATTGATTGAGTGAGTGAATGGAATGTTCCAACGACTCTATTCTACAACAAATATATCTTACAATCCCCATTGCATAGTCGTATGATCAGATTCGTTTTGGATATTTTGGATGACGTTTTGATCACAATGGGGCTGAAAAAGCATGAACCCGAGTGATGGGTCGCCTTTGTTTGCGAGTCGCTCAGCAAAGGATCATTCATTCAATCAAAGTTGTAACATATACACATATTTATTTATTTATTCAATCACTCACTCAATCACTCATTCAATCAATCACCAACCAACTTGTTCAGAATGATGATGGACCGGTCGGTCAATCAATCTGGTGGCCAAACATCCAGTAGCAATATAAACAACAGCATTAGCAGTGATCCATTGACTTCATCAATGTTAATATATATAACAGTGTCACCTTGGGACGACCGCCAGTCAATCAGTGGCATCAATGTACATACTCTGATCGGTGACATACAGGTGTTCTTCAAGCAAACTGGACGAAGCATTAAAATACGCGAGTTGGACAATTATGCATTGTACAAGTCGTTGGACTATGGCACACGAGCTCATCTACCGTCAACAGTTGGCGACGCCCTGCACATATCGATGGATAACGGACTACAGCAACACAAGACCACAACGCGCATCAAGCTGAAAGGAAGCGGGCACTTCAAACGCCGTCTGCGCATGTCAAACAACCAGACGCTGCACACATACAACATTAACGGCGGCACTCATCTTGAGCTCCGCCAGGTGTCTTCCTCTCTGGCCGCTGGTGGTGGGATGCCCCGCTGGTTCTACAAGACCATCGTGCCGTCCAATCAGCTTGAGACCTTGCTCAAGGAGTCGGCCACCGCATCGAATCCCAGCTCGCCCACCCAGCCACACCAACATCGTGGCTCATCAGGTGGCGTACAACTCGTGGAGATCAGCAACGATCGTGGGAGTGGTGGATCGTCTGGCGGCGGTGGCAGCAACAGGTCGGCATCGCCATCAATCTCGGTAGATCCGCTAATGGGCAGGTCTTTGCGCAACGTCTCAGACTTTGTGGACACAATCAAGACAAACAAAATAGTGATGGTTGAGTCGCCCAAGCGATCTGTTCGTCTCTGGCGCTTCGCCACACCAACACACAATCACAACAAGCGTGTGCTCGACGTTGTCCAGCGCATCGAGAACCACTTCCCCTCGATCTTACCCGAGTCACAACTGCCCAATGTGCAGGACACCGAACAGCCCCTGATGGACGACCGATGGGAGGCGCGCATCAGCTCGTCCGACGACCTGGTGTCCAAGTGCCTGTGCATGGAGGACAACCTGGGGCAAGAGTCACTCAAACAAGAGTACATCGAGTTCTCCCTGCGCTTTGAGCAGCGCACATCACTTCTGATTGGCGTGGATAGTCGTGTGCTCGTGTGGATCGATCCCATCGAGACCTACTTCACGCTCTGCTTCAGCGGCACCAACACGACAGTGCACGATGCCATCACCTTCATTGTACAATATCTCTATCCCGCAGCTACATCAACTACCGCCATGCCTCAACATAGTCATGGACTTGGACTTGGACTTGGGCAAGGTAATGGACAATCATCGCCACCATTGGTGCCCGGATCTTCTTTGGCTGATCTGATCAGTGGCTATGGACTGTATCTTCATGAGACTAGCGAAGCCAAGCCCATCGCACTGCAACACAAACAGTTATTGTCTAATTGTAAGATGGGCGGCAAGTTGGACATGGACGAGGACATCACACTCATGTTTAAGGCGCGCCATCAGCGACGGAGCAAGAAGCCGGCGTGGACAACCGAGTCCCCTTTAACTGCACACCTGCCTCCGCCCCCGCTGCCATCACTTATCGTCACTGATATCGAGGAGGACAACACTTCAAACAGCGAATCAGACGTCGGCGATGACATTGATGAGGATGGACTGGACGACGAGGAAGGCCACAACCTGACTGTCCTATTCCCTTCGCATCAAACATATCGCCAGTTCCACTTCAACCCCAACCGCACAGTCAACGAGATCATACAGTATATCATCGACTCGACTACATCTAGCAAGCAGGATGACCTCGATAGCAGTGGGAGCATCGTCAGTCCGAGCACGGAAGACGCCTCAACATCTGGCGCCACCACGCCAATGCGCCTGAGTCTCTCGTCCAACCGACACAGCTTCACGACCAAGCCAATATCGCCCGACGCTGCGTGTGAGCAACGCAGCATATCGACCTTTAGAAACAAGATATTCAACAATGTCAGCGAGACTGACGGTCTCTGTCTGTACCACCAGAAGGATGGCGCAGGTGTGTGGATGGAGGGCAATCGCACGCTACTCTCATACTGTCTGCCGCGTGAGGTTGTCGTCGAGTTCAAGCAGCCGCCCACCATCAGCAGGATGACACTGGTCGAGGGCATCAGGAACACGATCAAGGTGCACTACAAGCAACAATCATTCATCGTGGTGTATGGTCGCTACACGATGATCAATGATCTACGCGACCTCCTCCTGGAGAACTGCTGTACCTCACCAGAGGAAGAGAGGGAGGTGGAGTCATGCGAGATGTATCTCGTCAAAGCCAGTGGACTAACAATACCACTCAATCACATTGATCGATTCGAGCTCATCCAAATTGACACACAGGTATGTGGCCATCACCCCTGGATTCATACCAATCACCCACTTACCATTTCCTCGCCCCACCCCAGGACATCATTGAGTTCCGACCTACATTGATTCAATCCATGTTGATTAAGGAGTCCCTGCAGGACTTTGTTGGACCACAGACATTGGCTGTGATTCCAGGCGAACATATTCTACACAAGCGTAACAGCGAGAGGGTCGTGGGCGGCCAACACAAGAAGGGCATGATGTTCCTGACGAACTACAGGTTCATCTTCAACGCCTATAATCGATCTTCTTACGACGATGCTGGCACTAAGGACGACTGCGACCTGCCCATCACGCTGATCCACCGAGTCAAACACTCGAGCAACACCAACTTGACCGAGCTCACTTGCAAGGACTTCCGAGTGTGTGTCTTCCCCACGGGCGACATGGCCATCTGGGACAAGCTGCGCTCATACCACGAGTCTGGCGACATCAGCAAGACATTCGCTTTCTCCAACGCCGAACCCATGGACGCCAGTCTCGACACGGTCTACAACGTGGTGGACGAGTTCATCAGACTCAAGTTCCCCATCACCGACTGGCGAATCACCTATGTCAACCAGGACTATGGCATGTGTCCGACGTACCCATCGCAGTTCATCGTGCCCGAGTCCGTGTCGGACGATCAGCTGAACAAGATCGCGTCCTTCCGTGAGAAGGGCCGAGTGCCCGCCATTTGCTGGATACACAGTCTACACCGCTCGACCATCTCACGATGCAGCCAGCCACGCGTCGGCATCTTCAAGTCCAAGTGCAATGAGGACGAAGAGTACCTACGCGTGATCACCAAGTCCAACACCAACTGCAAGATACTCACAGTGATGGACTCTCGGCCCATGGCCAACGCCAAAGCCAACACACTCCTTGGCAAAGGTCACGAGGACACCAATCTCTACTCCAACGTTGAGCTCAAGTTCTTGGGTATTGGGTATGTAACTGGCGAGCCTCCAATGCCTCGAGCGCTCAATCATTCTAACGTCAATCCATTAGCAACATACATGTGATGAGGGACAGCTACAAGAAGCTGTTCACAGCCATCCAATCACCTGATACCAACCTTGCTTGGTTGTCATTGTTGGAGGACTCGCAGTACTTGCAGCACATACATCAGTTGATACATGCAGCCAACATGGTGGTGGACCTTGTGGATAAGAAGGGCGCATCAGTACTCACACATTGCAGTGATGGATGGGATCGCACCTCGCAACTCGTCTCTCTGTCACAGCTGCTGCTCGACCCATACTATCGCACAATCAAGGGATTCCAGGTGTTGATCGAGAAGGAGTGGCTGAGCTTTGGCTACCAGTTCACGTTGCGTTGCAACCACATCACGCAGGGCAACAACGACGAGGACTTCTCGCCCATCTTTTTGATGTTTATCGATGCCGTGTGGCAACTGACCAACCTGTTCCCGACGACCTTCCAGTTCAACGAGCGATTCCTCATGGCCATCTTGGACGCCATGTACAACTGCAAGTACGGCACATTCCTGTTCAATAGTCAACGCGAGCGAAACATACAGATCAAGTACAATGGAGCACTTGCTTCGCTGTGGACACAGATCAACGCGGACCTCGAGCAACACACCAACTACTTCTACATCAACAATCCCAAACCACTATTCCATCACTACTTCCCTGCCGACATCCAATTCTGGAGCAACTACTATCTGCGATGGAAGGACAACTACGAACCAAGGATGCTCATCGACTCCACAATCATGTCGAGTGTGCTGGAGACAAAGAAGAGTGTTCTTGGTGCTACCAAATCAGGTAGTAGTAACAAATAATATTCTTTGGCAATTATTTTGGCGATTTATTAATGATATGGGATTGGAACTATTCCATGATAATTCAGAAATATATATTATTGTTTAGTTTTGTCAAGTTTCTGGACTATGTGTGTTGTTCCAATGAATGGTTGTCCATTGGACTGAGTGTTTCCAAGTTTCTTAAGATATAAAAGTTGGCGAGAAATATTAAACTATATTGTGATACCTTTATGGATCTTGTTGAAGAGTGATGTATTGAAATGAATAATGTTGTTGGTGAGAGATATGACCTTGTGTTAATTTACCATCTCCACCCACATCTCGAAATAACTGATAGTGTGTCTCACGAAAACTAACAATTTGTAGTTTGATTGATCAATCTATAAATGAATCGATGAGTAATTATTCAAATCTTTGATTATTCAGATTGCCTTGATACTCAACTCCGAGTTGTAACCGATCCTGTCACCTGTTTTTTTGAACACCAAAGTTAATTTTACAAAGATTATAAAAAAGTAAATGATACCGTTCATATTGGAGCAAGGGTACAGAAGATTACCCATTGTCTCAAGTAATTCTACCCTTCAGACTCCTACTTATGTATCCCCTTTATTGATTGGATCAGTTCCAAAATATCTTCCCTTTTGAAATGGATAAACCCTCAACTTAATACTTCATCTCTAATAAATTAATTATTGATGTACCCTACCAATAACAGTATCGAAAAGTAATAATTATGCATTTATAATAAATATATTAGTTTGACTTTTGTTGAAGATTGATCATCTGTAGCTCCTCCTCTGATTGTTTGCCAGCTAGGATGGTTGGATATTTGGTAGTGGTCTGATCGTTTTGGAATGGTGGCAACACGCTCAGCATCTTGTCAGAGGCAACGTGTCCGAATAGAGTGGACGAGATACGCCACAGTGAGCGACCCTCATCCTTAGCCTTCTGGACGGCGGCGATAGTCTCCTTGGTGACGACAACCTCGTGGAAGCCGGCATGAATGTCGCCTCCTGTGATCCACTCGAGCTGCTTGCCTGCCTGCAGCAACAGACATCCAGGTGGCACGCGCACCAGCACACGAGTGCCGTCTCGCAGCCAGATGTACAGGCCTGGGAAGCGGCTGCGACCGTGGATGGTGAGCAGGTTGAAGTCGTAGTGGAAGCCGGCAAAGATCTGGTCCAGCTCGCCAAAGCGCTTCAGGTCCGAGCCGGTTGGCGCCAGCAGATGTGGGCCGTTCTTCATCAGCTCGGTGATGGTGTTGCGCGGCAGACCGTAGCCGACGGCGATCATCTCGGACACTGTCTCGATGGAGGACAGCATCAGCGAGCCCCACTTGTCCATCACTCCCTGCCAGTGAGGGAACTTCTCGGGGATGACTGGTGGGCAGTTGAGCTCGGGGTAGGCGGTCTGTTCGGGTCTGTCACCGATCCTCCAGAAGAATCGCCACTTGGGGTCGGCGCCACGTGGTGCGTGTGCGGCGTACTGGGGCTTCAGACTCTTGATGACATCGGCATGATCTCTTGGGTGCTCTGTGAACTCTGGTGTGGCGCCCAACTGGTAGCTCCACTCTGGATGCACGTCCTTCATCAACATCTCTGTTGGCTGCTCATAATACTGCTCCATCATATCGAGGAATCTTTAAAATGAGTGTGTGAGAAATGACGTCAGTGAGTGATCGATCGATCAAGATATAAGATGATCATTGATTGATTGTTTGATTGATCGGTATTTGCAGCATGGTGATTGATGGGGCATGCATGTAATATGAATGAACATACCTGCTGTTCTCTTCATCGTTGACTCTTGGACTCTTGATTACCAGACAGCTGGTCTCTTGAAGGGTCTTTACCAGATCCTTGCAATCTTGGATGGCTTCGGCCGACTCGGGATTCTCCAAAAATCTTCCAATGTCAATAATTGCTGGTCCTTGTTCCATTTGTAAAGTATTGTTCTCTTTATGATGTAATGTATAAGTGTGAGAAAGAGAGTGTGTGTATATGTGTGTGTGTATCACGGCTAAATGTCGGTATTATGTTTGGTTCGGCGGCGCGGTGTTGTGAAGACCAAGAGACTCACTCAATCCCTTTGCTAAGTTTGTTTGGTTGCTTGCTTGCAAAAGGGTGTGTGGAGCCCAAAATTTAATTAAATTTAATAAAAATAAGATGAAGAATCTTGACGAGATGCAGGATTAAGGTGATGTATGAGTGTGTGGGCATGGGTGCATGTAACGAGTGGATCATTTGTGTCTCTGATCGTCTCTCACAGCCCACAAAAGTATGTGCCAGATTGACCCGGGCCTCGATAACTTTGTTTATGATGAACATTTTCAAATATCCATGTGACTTTGAATTGAATCGAATTGGATTGTTGTTGTTGGTGTGAGGTTGTCTAAACAAACAACTCTGGTTCATTCGTCATCAGTTGTTATGATCTTCCACCTCTGCTGCCCTTGCCTGGGCTTTGCATTCGTTTCTTTGCAGCTACTGTTGAGTTGTTGTTGTTAGTTGGTGTTTGATTGGATCTCTTGGGCGGTACAACATTCCTTCCAACCTTTTTCTGATTGACTGCTCCTCCACCTCTACCTCCTCTCTTGTTGTTGGCCTGTTTTCTTTTGTTGTGATGTACTTCCTCCTCCTCCTCCTCCTCCTCCTCCACCTCATCATCTTCGGACTCAAGTTCCTCCTCATCTTCATCTTCATCTTCATCCATTAACTCCTCGCCTTGGTCCTCATCCTCTTCCTCTTCCTCCACCACTTTTTGTTTGGCCGCTGCTTTTCTACTTGATGTCTTTGCATTTGAAGTTGATGTAGCAGCAACAGCAGACTTTGGCGACAATGTAGCAGTCTTGGCAAACATTGGATATGACTCCAACTTGTTGTTGGCTATCAGATTGGCCAGATGATCGCACATTCTTATAATATCCTTCCTACTATCACAATTGAATACGAATTCCTTCAACCTAGAGTCGAATATGAATGATGAGTGAGTGCATGATTGAATGAATGAGATGAGACAGATACATACAACTTCATATCACCTTTCTTCTTGTGATAGAATCCCAATAGTTCTTTCTCTTCTATGCTCGATACCAATGATCCACTCATCTTCTTCTCCTTTTCTATATCTTTGAAGAAGTCATTGATCCTATCCTCAGTCAACCTTACAATATCATATTGTTTCAGCCATGCTTCATACAAGTCCTTTCCAGAGAATCCTTCCAAACTTGTACTACATTATATGTTTGATTAGTTAGTCGATGAAATGATTGATTGATTGAATGAATGATATTTGAGTTGAAACTTACGAATCTACATCACCATGCTCATCATAGAATTGTCTTGACTTTGGATCCTTTAATGTATTATATATTCTACCAAGCTTTTGGAATTGCTCTTTAGCTTCCTCCGATGAATTCTTATCGGGATGTACCTCTTTGGCTAGTTTATAATATGCACGTTTGATCTCAGAGTCTGATGCAGTTGGTGAAACACCAAGTATCTCATAGAATGTCTTATCCTCATCATCTACAACTGACTTTACTCTTTGTTGTTTATTCTCAATATTACTTGACATCATCATCTTATTATATTATATATATATATATATATTATCTGTACAAGTTATTATTACAAAGATGAATGAAATAAGTAATGAAAAAAGCGGGAAATGAACCCGATTTGAATTTGAGTATTGAATGAACTTCTTCAAATTGAAGCAACAACGTTACACACCTTGTTTGGATGATGGGGTTGTGGGTGATTGATTGAATCACACTCCAAGCTTCATTCAATCTCAAGATTGAGTAAAGTGTAGTTGTAGAGATAAGATATATATAGTTATAATTATTGTATATATGTGTATATAGATATATATTTATTGAGAATGTTAAAGAATAATGTGATGCAGGATGGTGATCAGCATCATGAAGTTACTACAACTACAACAAGTAACGTTGTTGACGACGACAATGATACAGATAATGATGAACAATATGACGATGATGATGATGATGATGACAACGAATATGATCTAAAGACTTTAATTGAAATGGATAGACAACGACAAAGACATAGACAACCAAATGAAGATGGTGATGGTGATCGTGAAGGTCATCAACACCATGATGATGATAATGGTGATTGTGGAGACATGGATACGAACGATGCCATTGAATTGTTGATTAGAGAAGTGGATGAACAGTGGTCGACAAGACCACCAGTATGCATTGACAAGGATGAGATTGACATGTTTGGATTCAAGTTGGATGCACATGGATTCGGCGTACCCACCACAAACAAGGAACCATTCCACAGTCGACCCATCCAACCTCTACTCAATCAATCAAAGAGTCTCAGCAACCTACTATATCTACTCGAGGTTGAGATCGTCTTTTTCAACAGTCTCAACAATCCACCGCCCTCCCTTATCTACTCTGATCAAATGTAAGTCGGTCCACTCGCCAAGACTTGATCAATCACTCGCTGACTCAATCATTCAATCGCCAGCTCGGAGAAGTCCACGCTCAACATCAGCCAATGTTTGTTACGCTTGCCAACTGGCGTGTTGTTCTGTTTGTTGACGGATCACTTGACAAAGAGCTTCTCGGGCTCGGGCTTGAGCAGCCAGACTGACATATTCAAGGCTTGGTTCAGGACTTATCGCCTGTTCTCGCCCGACTTGAACTTCCTCCTGATCAAATGGCTGTGCTATCCTCTGTTCCTCAGCGAGAGCGAGCGTTATGAGCTCGTGGAGTTCATCTTGAACGAATGTACACTATCTTCACACGCCAGGAAGCAGCTACTGACGCGACAGGAGCCCTTCTTCCTCGCCCGGCCGCCCACCGCATTGGACCTTTTCACATCGCGCTATCATACATCGACACACATGCCCCTGGCGGCATACGCCGCACTCTTTGACAATGCCAAGTTGTTCAAGATACTGTTTCATCGCGAGGAGCACGACGCTTCATTCCCAACACTGTTGGACATCACCTGCATGCGAGGTTCGTCCGCCATGGTCGGTCACATCCTCGCCACTCAACCCAAGTATCTTGCGATGAACCCAAGTGCGATGCCGTTGTGGTCGGCTGCACACAGCGGCAACCTGGAGGTCCTCAGCCTGCTGAATCATCACACCGAACTAATGAATTGCAAGGATCATCCGCACCAACCCAACGTGTTGGAGTGCTGTCTGCTGCTAGGCCACACCGAGTTCCTCGAAGCATTGTTTAGCCATTGCCCCAACATCAATAGCAAGTTGATTGTCGAGCAGGTCAGTCAAGATCGCGCGCCACATACTCAGCCCGACAAGAGCGACTGCTCGACGCTGGGCATCCTAGTCGCCCAACACAACATCAAGTCGATCACATTCATTTATCGTCACCTCGACATCAAGCAAGCGCAATGGCAGCATATCTGCCCTGGGATTCTGCTGCGTCTCGTCAACTCCTCGCAGCCATCAGCCTACCAAGTGCTGCTCCAGCTGCACACGATGGGCCACACGATCGACACGTTTGAGAAAGGACTACCCTATTCATTCTTTGCGCGATCCACACTCAATCTTGGCTTCCTGCTATCGATCAATAACAACACACATGTCAATGTGCATGTCGATATGAAGACATGGCTGGCAGTGTACAACACGTATCTTGGCCCTGGCTCTGGCTTTGGCGACCCATTCCACATCCAGCATTTGAGTGCCACGCATCCTTTGTTCCACGCAGATAGATACAGCCTGCTTGAGCTGTTCCTCGTGCTGGACCAGGAGGAGCTGGCCATGTACATGATCGGATCGCACAGCAAGAAGGTGGACATGGGCAAGTTTGGCCAATGCATTCATCATCTGAGTGCTGAGCGCCAGGACAAGTACAAGGAGGCGTTCAACAATGCCAAGTACAGACCAAAGTCACTAGAGTACAAGGGAGAGGAGATTGATCAAGATATCATTCACATGATGGAGGACCTTATCAAGGAGGAGGAGAATGAGAAGTCCAAACGTCGAGCAAAGTCCAACAAGAAGAAAAAGAAGCAGCCTACCTCTGCTGCAACAGTTGGCACACCAACCAAGTCACCAATGAAACAGTATCCCCAAGTACAACAACAACAACAAGAAGTCAATCATGATGATGGCGAGGATGAAGAGAAAGATGATGATGACTTTGTGTTGACACTCAATACGAATAGAGTGACTACTCCTGCTACTACTACTTCAACAACAACAGCCACGACACAGAGCAAACCAAGACAGGTACCAACAAGACAGAATAGCAATGGTAGTCTGAGTAATGGTGGGGGATCAAAGGATACGCCAACCAAGCGGCCTCCACCACCAACAAAGAGACAGAACTCCAAACAGAACTTATTATCTCAATCACCAACATCCACAACCACGACCACGACTACGACTACACCATCAACAACCCAACATCATCCACCACTGACTATTCAGACTCAATGGCCATCGATACCAACCAACCGACAACAACAACAACCATTAACTCCACACAAACAACACACACAAGCGACAACACATAATGGCGATACCCTACCATCACCAGGTGGACCACCAAAGATCGTATCACCAACACAACTACAATCGATGACAAGACAGACGGTCAACATTGAAGAGTTGGAGTGCAAGGTTGGCAAGTTTAGATTCAGCAGGAAGGAGTCACATATCATTGGCAGAGGCAGCAATGGCACGCTGGTATTCCGGGGCATTTGGAACGAGCGGATACCAGTGGCCGTCAAGCAGATGCAAAAGGCATTCAACAGCCTTATCTCCAAGGAGATACAGGTGCTGATACAGCTGACCGACTCGAACTGTCCAAACATCGTGCGCTACATCGACCAGGAGGAGGACGACATGTTTGTCTACCTCGGCATCACGCTCTGCGATCTGTCGCTGCAGGAGCTGGTCGAGGACAGCCGCCACCACCATCTCCTGGCCAGTCTGAGGCAGGAGCAGATGATCAGCGACATTGTGGAGGGCGTGCGCTTCCTACACTCGCACAACATTGTTCACAACGACTTGAACCCGCGCAACATCCTCTTCAAGGACGGCCATCTCCTCATCTCGGACATGGGCCTCAGCAAGATGTTGATCGACTCGTCATTCACCTTTACGCACTCGCCCTCAGGTCAAGGCGGCTACCATCCCGCCGAAGTACTGCTACAACAGCGCAAGACTAGTGCCGTGGACATCTTCTCACTGGGTTGTCTGATACACTATATATTGAGTGGCGGTGGACATCCATTTGGAGACAAGCTATTCCGCGTCACCAACATCCTCATGCACCAGCACATCCAGCTCACGAGCCAGATACACGACAACAACATGGCGGTGGACTTGATCACCACGATGATTAGGAAGGATGCGGACCAGCGCCCCACCATCACGCAGGTGCAGAAGCATCCGCTCTTCTGGACGGTCGATCATCGGCTCAAGTTCATCGACCGCGTCAACCAAGCGGTCAAGAAGTATCCATTGAAGTACCTCAACTATAACTACGCCACTACACCACTGGTGGGCATTACCGCGCCATACCCTGGCGACACGTGGGACAGCGCAATCGATGCACAGCTGCTCAAGGAGTTGACGCAGGGCGTGGCAGTGGCGTACAAGTTTGACATGACCAAGGACTTGATTCGATGCATTCGCAATGCTATACATCATCATCAGGACATCTTTGTGGACAAGATCAAGCGACTACATTACTTTGACACTGAACAAGCTGCCTACCAATACTTTGAAGACCGACTCCCCAACCTACTCCTGTATCTCTATCAACGACTTGGTCAAGTTATCGAGCTAGTTGGCTCGCCCTATCTATCCGAGTTCTATGTATAAAGCAGCAGCCGTGGCGGCAGCAATAGCGGCAGCATATGTTTGGTGCGCGCCAACCAAGACTTCTTGGATACCGACCCGTCTAGTACCTCTTCTCGAGCTAATGGCTTAACTGAATGAACTGCCTATGTGTGTCTCCTGGTCGCCAGCGGGATACATTGAACAATGGAGTGTGTTCACAAACTGACAAAGAGTTCGTTGAACTTAACTTGGACGCGCCAGAAATACCATCCCAGCCTATCCTCACCTATCTATTGTTATCTGAATATGGAAGTAGTCGGGCTGCGGACTGGGAGGATGTGTGGACCCACCACTAAACCCAGGAGATGGCTTGAGTCCATCGCCCTTCGGGTAAGGAAGGAGTTTGTAGTTTGTGTCTTTGGTCGGTCCACAAGGTCTTTGCAGCATTCTTGAAGATGGCTCCATAGCAATGGATGGCGCATTGCAATTGTAGACCATTGTTGTGAAATGCTGCAAAGCTTGCATCTATTCATAGAGGCCCTGTGTGTCTCCCCATTAGGCTTGGTCACAGATCTAGATGAAGAACAGGGCCCCCCAAAAAAATAATATTAATGTGTTCTCCTTCTATTTTTTTTTTATAAGCCCCGACACACTTTCCTAATATATCCAAATAATTGGAGGCTTTGGACTCGAGGTCCCGACGGATAAGTGTGGGTCGTTATTTTCCCCCCCGATTATTTCAATAATCTGTCTTGAAGTTAGTGTGTGTTAGTGTGAGTGTGTGGTGTTATTAAGTCGATGGATGAAGAGAGGAGGGATGAGAATGTGGGGGTTCGAAGTCTAGACGATCACCCACACACCAACACACTCAGATGTGTTCCAGCCATCTTGATATGTTACACACAGGTTCATTGGTCAAATGATAGCCACCCCCACAAGTGGGTTGCAATTCAATTTCCAGAACTCTCGCGACACCCACACAAACTCACACTCAGATGTGATTCATGTACTAATATAGACGGACGGCCAGGTTGTCATTGACGAAAGGGGGGTAAGCCGGTATAATATATATTATTAAATGAATAGAGAGAATGAATGGCATGGCATGGGAGGGTCAATGTATCAGATTATGGAGTGGGTGGTGAAAGTGTGTGTTACGGCCAATGAAGTTGTCCCGTTCATCGGTCTCCGCATGGATGTGGTTTAAAAGTCCGTATCCACTCATCATTTTCATTTCATTCATAGTTATACAAGATATTCAAACATATACACATAACCAACACCAACCATCCATTCCATCCCACTCAGATCTCAATAATACCTCCAACTTTACAATTGTGTGTTTATACCAAAGAGTGTGTGTTAGTGATAATCAATCAACTATTACTATATAATAACCAAGTCATCAACTTGCCCATCATTGACATTGTAATTCACCCCACCACCTACCATCCAACTACCCCAACCCTGGATACATAGTATATAATATTATACATATCACTGTCCAACTGTTCAATCTTGTAATCATACTTGTAATTATAATATTTCCATCATCATCATTATAAAATATTTGTATCTATATATAATCAATAACAATGGCTATTGATAAAGAACAACAACACCATGCCGCTGCAAATGCCGATCATAACCCTGAACTCCCCATGGAGAAGGAGACTTTCTCATCAATGGAGTATGAGAAGGAGCTTGACCAGGTCCCCGACGACCAAGTCCCAACCAGCGATGTCAAGATTGAAAATAGAAAGTTGCCAGCCTCCCTCAAATATATTATGGGCAATGAGATTTGTGAAAGGTATGTTTATCCCATTAATATTATAATATTAATTCAATCAAATTAGTTAAATTATTTCTTTCACTAACTCAATTAATTAAAATAGATTCTCATTTTATGGACTAAAGTCTATCCTGTCACTATACTTCACACTGTTTATGGGTTACAGTGATGATACTGCTACAACAATTATCCATTCATTCAACTTCCTTGCCTATGCTTTGTAAGAATTTTATTCAAACTCATTCAATCAAACTCCAAAAATATATACTAACATTTATTAATTCAAAATAATATTATTTAGCCCACTTCTTGGAGCCTACCTCGCCGATGCTCGTCTTGGAAAGTTCAGAACCATCTTGTACTTCAGTTTGATCTACTGTGTTGGTGGTGTGTTCCTCTCGGTCAGTGCCATCCCAGGTGTCACTGGTTCTGAGCCAGGCCATCACTCTCCATGGGGCATCATCTTGGGTCTCGGTCTGATTGCCGTTGGTACCGGAGGTATCAAGCCAGTGGTGTCCGCCTTCTGTGGTGACCAGTTGGGTAACGATCAAAAGTCCCTCCTCCAAAAGGTCTTCCAGATCTTTTACTGGTGTATCAACCTCGGATCATTCTGTTCCACCATCCTGACCCCACTCCTGAGAAAGTACGTTGGATACTGGCTCGCCTTTGGTATCCCCGCCATCTTGCTCATTATCTCCACCATCATCTACGTCCTTGGTCGCAAGTCATATGTCCGTCGTCCAACTACCGGAAGTGTGTTGCTCGACTCTGTCAAGATCATTGGCTGCGGAATCCGTGAGATGTTCAGATCCAAGCGTTCCGGATATGATGACCGTTACTACACAAACAGCTGGTTGGACCGTGCGAAGGTGTCCCACGACTCCAGAATGGTCGACTCTGTCAAGGCTGCCCTCAAGGTTATCGTTGTGTTCGTCCCAATGCCATTCTTCTGGGCTCTGTACGATCAGACCTCATCAAGATGGACCCAGACCGCCGAGAAGATGGACCGAACAGTTGGAGGCTGGACCATCGAGCCAGACCAGATCCAGGCCGTCAACCCACTCCTCGTCATGATCCTTGTCCCAGTGTTTGAGTATGGTATCTACCGTCCATTGAAGAGAGCCAACATCAACTTCTCGCCACTCAAGAGAATGAGTCTTGGAATGTGGTTGGCCATTGCTACCTTTGTCCTTGCCGCCATCATCGAGATGAAGATCGACGACCAGCCCGAGGGAACCGTCAGCATCTTCCTGCAGCTGCCCCAATACTTCCTGCTCACCTGTGCCGAGATCCTCATCTCCATCACCGGTCTCGAGTTTGCCTACTCCCAAGCCCCACGCTCAATGAAGTCCATGATCATGTCAGCCTGGTTGCTCACCGTATCGATTGGTAACGTCATTGTTATCGTCGTCGTCGAATCAATCAAGATCACCCCACAATGGAAGGAGTACCTTGTCTTTGCCTCCATCATGGCCGTCTTCACCGTTGTCTTCATGGTCATCGCCTACAGATACAAGCCAGTCGACCCATCCATCTACGACCATGAGGAGGATGAGTCTGAGAAGGAGGCCAACGAGATGTCCGAGAACTACACCAAGCCCGAGAAAGAGGCCAACCAAACCCCTTCCGAGCAGATCCCCAAGAACATCCCATTGGACACCTCCGTGGACACCTCTAACTAAGAGTAGTTTGTCCAACTGTGTGTGAATAAATAATCCCATACAATCAATCAATTAAGTAATTAAATTATTTCCAAAATGATCACTCAATCAATCAATTAATCAATAATTTAATTAATATTTAATTTATGAATTATATCTCTCGAATATACTAATTAAGCTGTCTAGGAATGGTGGATATTTGGACTTTAGGTCTAGGGTTGTTCCATATTTGTCGTAGGCAGAGAATGTATATCTATATGCAAGTGATGATGATCCAGGTGTGATATACTTTGGGTCCAACAATTTGAATTGATCAGATGAAATTATATCCACAAGGATCTTCAAGTCATCTGGAGTCATCCGACCCCTTTGATTGACCTGGTTAAAGAAGTAGCCTGTCGACAAATCAATCTCCAAGCTCTTGTATTCTCCATTCAATCCTCCTGTTCGCGTGGCTATGAACTTATCCTAAATCAATCAATCAATCAATATTAGTATGTTACATATGAGTCTGAGATTTGTCTCTAACTTACATATCCTGCTTGTACATGTGAAGGCTGCCATCCGATCAATAATATGCTGTAGACTAGTACGACAAGGACCAGGTGAAGTACTCGATTATCCATTGATTGCTACAACTAGATAGTTTGGTTAATGGGGCACGTGTAGTGTAGTGGTGTCAACCTGTCTCTCTACCTCTATACTCTATCTCTATCTACTACTACTCCTCTTAACTTGCTCCAATTGGTTGTTCGTCTCCCTCACTCACTCCCCTACATCCTGCTGCTCCCTCTACATTATTGTTGTACCGGAGACAGACAGGACCAGTCCAGCACGACTTCGTCATACCTGACCATTGACTGGGGGTCTGTAATAAGAATAGGTGAATAGGCTAAAGAGACACAATATTAAATGTGAGTCAGCGCTGTGTCTTTAGTTCCGTCCAGCCAGACAGCCAGTCAGCGACCATGGATGGAGCCTGTTCGTCCATCCATCTATCCAAGAGTCAATATTGAACAATGATCGTTGCTGAGCGACAATAGCCGACCGACTAGTAAGTCGTGAGTGTGTGGTCATGTGGTCGTGTGTTGTCAGTGAGTGGTTCGTCTGTGGTGTGGTCGGTCGGTCCAACCCACCCAAGCGATCGATCCAACCATGTTCAACCACGCCAATGGATGGTTGTTGGCAGGCGAGTTCCAGTTTGAATGGATGATATTTAATGGGTCATATCTTTCGATGTTGACGCGATGAGGTGACTGTATATTCATTCGATTGGCTGTTATGTACATCATCAATATTGGAGTCTACTTCTCAGAAGTGGGTGGTAATGGTTGGTTGGTAGTAGTAGTTGTTGTAGTAGCAATGTCATCATTGCAAGTCAGACAGTAGACATCTTCATCATTCAGATTGTGTTGTTGTTGTCTGTTGTTGTGGTTGTTGGAAACTGAACAGTCCATATTCATTGTTCAACACAGTGCCATAGTCTCCAACGCTACCAATTCCCAAGCTGGGTGAGATGAACTCTGTCGGCTGGATGTTCATCGCCTCAAATGTCTTGTTCAAATTGTCTACTTCGTCCCATGCCAATGTGATACTTTGAGTTTGAATGAGTGAGTGAGTGTGAGTATGTGTTGTTGATAACAACAGCCAGCGACAATGACAATGACATCTTTGATCCGATGATGACAGGTTCGTGTTAACATCATCCAATCATACATACTGTGGCTGGAACTGAGAGAACACGTTTGGTGAACCATAAGTCTTTATCATCGCTATCTTCTCTGATCGCAATGGCTCTGGTAGTTCATATACCCATTCTAGACAGACAGGACAATGGTTAGCGAATGGTCAATGTCTTATGATTGATTGATTGGTGTGATGTTGATACATACCTGGTATTGGTTGATTAGGGATTATATACTTGTAAGTTGTGTTTACTATTAGGTCTGACATGTATTGAAGACATTCAGTGATCTCAATGTTCCACATTCCATACTGTCCACTAACGACCACTTCACTACAGTTAATATGACAACTCAATGCCTTCACTGATAGACTACCAAGAATACTTTGAACTCTTTACAAGTAGAGTTAGTCAGCCACTCACTCACTCACATCAATCAATCATATGTGACTGACTACTACTTACTCTTTTTGGATATCAGATATGAATGATTGATTGAACTCTGTAAGATAGAGAGTGATGTGTGGAAGTGATGTCTTGCCTAGGTTGATTTGATCACTTGGCGCAAGTTGATGTATCTCATTGTTGTATGCTATTACCAACTCATAGGTATCATTATCAAGTTGTAAATGAATGTCTAGTGATATTCCTGTTGTTGGTGTAGGTGTAACTGTTGGTGTAGGTGTGACTGTTGGTGTAACTGTTGGTTTATGTGTAGGTTTATGTTTATGATTGAGATTGATTGTTGTACTTGTTGACAATGTTATAAATAAACATAATAATGTCAATAACGACACAATCAATCTTATTCTATATGATGATATCATATTTATTTATAAGTTATAAGTTGTACGTTGTTATAAGTAATTCATTCAAATGTGAATTGAGATAAAGATGGAGGTCTGCATTGAGAACATGCGAGCTTTCGTTTGAATTTTCATTAAGGGGGCCATCCCAAGATATTTTCTTTTATTGATCGGTCATCAATTATTATTATCTTTGACATTATTTCCAATGAGATGGCGATGATCATTGAGATATGTATTGTCGGGATCAATCCTTATTGCTATTGAACTTCAAAATTTAATAAAAAATGATTTAAATCATTATTGCCAGTGTGATGGTAATGATCAAAACAATGATGATGTGATGATTACGAGCATTTTGGGATCGGATGATTGAGTGGGATGATGATGGCCTCGGTGTTGTTGGACCTCCACCGTATTGACATTGGTTTCCAGTCCAAGTACATCCATTGGCTTGTGTACATATTAACTCTGTGTTGAATGTTGGACATGATGTTGTAGGCTCCAACATATCCATTGGGACATTGACATATTTGTGTTCCAGGAGTGATACAAAGTCCAACATTGCTGCAGTTCTTGAGGCATCCCATCACTGAACAGTTGGCGGCCGACTGATAATAGTCTTCACATTGACAGATACCATACACACACATTCCATGTCCATAGCAATTGAGATACTTGGTGCATGTGTGATCGAAGGTCAATACGATCTGATTGTTTGTGCGACTCACTGTGTACTTGTCAATGTTGGTGGTGTCTTGGTTCCATGTCACCTGGGCGCTCGATGGTTGGTAGGTGATTTGACCGCCAATCGAGATGAGATTGAATGGGTCCTTGTACACTGGACTGGTCGACTGGAACTTGACAATCAGTATTGAGTTGAGGAATGTCACGGGGCCATCGACTCGGAATGGTGCCATTCCATTGGCTTCGAGTGCGTCAGTGTAGATGAGTGTGGCCGCCGAGTATGTCGTGTAGTTGCTCTTGACAATCAGGCTGTTGATCGAGTCGGTGACCATGCTATCAAACTTAATGAATCCATTCGTGTGTATCACACTTCCGAGTACGGTCGTTTGGGAAGTTGGATGGAACACACCATTCTTGTTGAATGTAGTGTTGTACGATATGAGTTGGCCACCATTGATATCAACGTTATCAAACAATGAGTAGGTATCATTCACGACACCGCCATCCTGGATCAACATATATTTGATATTGTTGTTGTTGCCCGAGAAGACACCTCCAAATGCATAGACCATGTCAAACATGGAGCTTGGTGCCGAGAGTGAGCCGGCGGTCACAGTGACGTTGGAAATAATTTGTGCACTATCTATGATGAGCTGGGAGGCGGACGAGTCCAGCATAACCTGAGCCAAGATGTTCTCGTTGTAGATCTGTCCACGAAGCAACACCTTGCCCATGATATGAATATCGCATGATTTCGGTGTATTAAGGCAAGCAATCTCGTCTACAATCGAATCCTGCAAGTATATATTACAATAAGCACCATTACCAGAGAGGTACAGGTTTGTAATGTTTGAGGTTATCGGTCTGAATTGACCGCCAGTGATGCTCAGCATTCCCTTGCTGCTGACGGATGTGACGGTAATGTTGGACCAGGATTGTACTAGATTCAACGTTGTCTTGGACTGAGATACGGCCACCAGCTTATTGAGGACGAGTGCTGTCTTTGATGTTATTGATACTCGTGAGACACCATTGACAAACAGGTTGTTGAAGGTTGTTCGGTTCAAGCCGAGCAGGACTGATGACTGGTTTCCAAAGATGTAGATATCACTCGTGGCATCAATAATTAGATTGCTCACGTTCAGTGCTCCTCTGAACCTGAGTGTACTGGTGACCTGCATGGGACAGACCACCGACACTCCTCCTTTTCCTCCTACGAAGGTGGCATTGTTCAGAATGATGTTGTTCTCAGCGGTTGGGGAATGGATGCCACCTCCCAAGATACATGATGGCGCGCGACATTCGAACAAGCTTGGTCGGGAATTGATGAGATTAGACAGTATATGTCAAGAGATGAATTCATTTCAATGGTGGATGAATACAATAAGTTATGGCCCAATCACAAGTTAATGATAAGCATAGTAATATTAGAGTTGATATTCGTTATTGCTTGTATTGTTGCAACTACATACCTATTCAGAGTTATTCACTCTGATATTGGATTCATTGTACTAGGTGTCGAGATTACAATAGTGCTAATCATTACAGCAATCATACTTGTAATTGATCATAAAGTATGTTACATGTGTCTATTCGAATTCATTCAATCAATCAATCAACCCAATCATGCTTATATTCATACACACTTACTTCATAGGCTGTTAAGAGGATGTTGAACAAGTGTGATGAGTACACTGAGAAGTATAGAGCAATAGGATTGCAATTTGAGTTGGTCAAGAAGAGAAGATATAACTACAGTGTACTAAGGGTAGTGTAATCATCTTTGATCTATATTGTTAATGTTACTAACTTTTATCAAACATCCAATCATTCAATCAAACAATCATATAGATCTATATTCATGCACATGATCAACCCAGAGGCCAACAACCACAAGATCTGGAATACCAGGAACAGATGGCAACTAGCAACACACCATTGTTAGGACATAACAAGGGTCATCAACAACCAGGTTATGTTAGTTTGGATATAATGTAATGTCATCCATACATTCACTACTCTATTGATTGAATGATCATCAAAATTGATGAACAGACTTTACACACAAGTTATTACTATTCAATGTATAAACAGATAGATAAATAGATAATTAGGAGACAAATAACAATGTTGAAGAGGACAAGGACGTGTACAACTTTATCAGAAGGTTTGTTGTTTAGAAAGTTCATAGCATTTTATGATGAAGAGGAGTTGAATCATTATTTATCAAGAAATGAATATAATACTATTGTTGATTTATTCAATGAGCAATACCCAAACAAACTCAAAAAAATTCTAATGTCATTATATCTTATAATATTATTACTTGGCATTGCTGGTATAATTGTATTATTTAAACTTGGCTCGGATATTGGTGGACCTCTAATTTTAATACTTTTATCATTTGCAGTTACACCAATATTTATTTTAATAATTATAAATAAGAGAGTAAGTTAATATATATTATTATGGTATAGGAATTATTCATAATTATTTAACTAACTTAATATGAATTTATCATGATTAAGGCCCTGAAAAGAATGTATAATTTGTCATCCGAACTTACTGAAAGGTATAAAGACAGAGGTGTTCGTACCTATGTGGCCACATTCAGTGGAACATGTACATTTGAGTTTGAAAAGGTTTGGATTATCGACTGATTAATCAAGATATATGATCAAGATATATACTCACCCAATCTTTGATCAAACAATTTCAGATCGTTATACACACTGAACATGGAGTCTAGGGACTAAGCCCAACAAATATAATAGGTTTTTGATCAATCAATCAAGGAATCGACTTAACTTTATTGATTGATTATTGATAAAAGTGAGTGAACTATTTGTACAAAGGTTGGTCGACTTGCTGGATCATTGTGCCAACATGATTCGATTAGAGAACGATAGGATGGATGACAGTCGATGGGTATGTTTGGACGCTCTCCAGCGATCACCTTGTCCTCAATGACATACATGAATGCACCTTGATCACCAAAGAATTCGCCACACGTGAACAACTCCCAGAGTATCACGCCAAATGCATAGACGTCGTTGGCGAGCGTCGACTCGCCGCCCTTGATCACCTCGGGCGCCAGCCATATCGGGTTGGTCACGACCTTCTTGGCGATTGAGTATTGTGCACCAGAGAGTCCAAAGTCTGATACCTTGGCCACAAGCTGCGGTCGTCCAGGTGTTTGATCGCGAGACAATAATACGTTGGGCGTTTTTAAGTCGCGATGTACAACGGGTGGCTTGAGGCTGTGAAGGTGCTCCATTCCACGCGCAATGTCAAGTGCCAGCGATAGACAGAGCGACCAGTCGATACGCGCTTCCTTGGCCTGGCCGCGTTGCTTGGCCAAGTACTTGTGAAGGTCGCCATCGGTAAGATACTCTGTCATGATACTCAATGGCTCCACGCAGAGTCCATGCATGCGGACAATGTTTGGATGATCGATCGCACTCATCAGCCAGCATTCTCTTCGGAACTCGCCAAAGGTCTTGGAGAGGTCTTCATGACTGACCTCCTCTTCGTCCACAACAGTGTTGAGTACCTTGCAAGCTACAGTCTCTCCTCGATACTGTCCACGGTATACCTTGGCCGTGGCGCCCTCGCCTATAATCACTCCTTGCGCTATGATTGCCTCGACGTCTTGTTTTGATATCTGTGTGCTGGGAGTCTGTGACATGGAGAGGTCTGGCACCAACTGGTCTGTACGCACCTTTGTGTTGGAGTGACCGCAGACCATTGTCGTGCGTCCATCAAGCATGGCACGCTCACATTCGTCCAGACCAAAGTGGAAGGACTTGGATACGTTGCCATCCTGTAGACAATGGGTGCAAGGGATGATGACCTTGACCAATGCGCCTTTGAAAGCATGCTCGAGCAGTGATTGAATGGTCTCGATCATGACGCGTATAATGTCAGCAATGGCGCCAACTGCTATACCTCTGACCGTGAACCTGATCGACCTCTGTGCATGGTCCAACTCGAGTTGAACGTAATGATCGTCTTTGCTCACAATGATGCCATCGCGCCAGTAAAGCTTGGGCTGTGCTTGAGTAATGTACAACATTCTGACCATCAATCGCGAGAACAGTCCTGATGGGATAAAGTCCATCTGATAGATGCGTCCATACTGTGTGGGCAACTGTCTGATTAATGATGTCTTGATGTCCTGTGGGCAGTCGCGTGGCAGCATTGCGGGGATGAGACTCTGTGCTTTGTCGGATTTGGCATCCGTGCCCAACATGTTGAAGGCCACGTCAAAGCGCTCGAGTAGCTTGAGCAGATGTGGATGGAGCTCGCTTGGGTAGGTCGGAGGCTTCCAAATGTGCGCGAGATCTTTGTGCTGGATGATACCATTGTTGGCAAACGAGCACTTGGACGTCACGATCGTGGCCAGTAGATTGGTTATCCATTGCGGGTCCAAGATCAGCATGTCCTTGAGTATGTTCTCTTTGGGAAAGTGCACGATAGCACCCATCAGATGCAAGAACGACACGGCACGATCCAGTTCCTTGCTGTCGGCAATGCATGCCAGTGTGCCCAAACGGACCACCTCGCTCCAGGGCATGGTCGGGATGGCACGCTTACTTCGCTCCTCTAGCAACAGCTTCTCGAGCTTGAGGTAGGTGGTTGGGAACTGCTCGCCCATCGTTGGTTGGGCCATGGCCAGCTCCTCGATGAAGCTGCTTAGCGAGCCGACACCCTTGCCACTGCGGCAGCTCACCAACGCAACAGCCTTGACACTGCACTTGCTCGACGTCGATATGTACTTGGTCTCCATTTGCTGTTTGATCGCCTTTGCCTTTGACTCGCTGAGGCTGTCCAAGTGCGTGCCGACAATGACCACGGGCGACTTAGGCGCGTGAGTCCTGATCGATTGCAGCCAAAAATCGACGCGTGATTCCTCCGCCGGCTTGCTGGCATCCCAGAGCAAGAGATAGATTGATCGCTCCGACAGGAAGAACTGATGAGTGGAGTAGTAGATCTCCTGCCCGGCAAAGTCCAGTGTGGTGAGCGTGATCGCCTCTGGTGGAGCGTCATCGTTGCCCGCGCCATCCCCCTTTGATGCCGATGTCTTGACCATGGACAACATCTTCTCCTTGATGTTCATGGACTTGTTCAATCGCCACTGATCCACTGTTATGCCATCGGTCGAAACGTTCATCTGCGACGATATCTCTTTGGCCGCCTTCTTATTGCGCAGCACCTTGAGTAGAGTTGTCTTGCCTACGTTCTCTTGGCCCACGACCAGCAGCTTCATCTTGTACAGTCGCTCATTGCCCTTGACCAAGTCGCGCAAGTACTCCACTGTGGCGCGCGCACCTTGGTGCACAATCTCACGTGGTGGTGTTGTGATGGGATTGTAGTCCAGCTCCAGTGCGATCAGATTGTCAAGTCGCGACATGATTATCGGCAGCACACTTATTTTGTTACGACGGATGTTCAGACGAGTGAGCTCGGGTAGCAGGCCGATGGTGGACGGGAGCTCGCTCAGACAGTTGTCCGACATGAACAACTCTTTGAGCTGCGGGAACTGCGCCAAGTCGAATGGCAGGGTCTCCAAGCGATTGTTGGAGATGTCGAGCTTGGACAGCAGGGGCAGATGGGGAAGCACTATCGATGTCATCTTGTTCATGCTCACCTCGCTGGCGTACAAGACTTTGAGTGAGGGCAGTGGACACTGGATGACCAGCTTCTCAAGGTTCGTGCATTTTGTGATTGTGAGCTGTTCAAGCTTGGGGAACATTGTGCCATGATTCATCCCTTCAGGGCCAGCAACTACCTGCGGCGCCTCAATCACTAATGAGAACAGTGAAGAGTTGTACGCCACGTCCAGTGATTTGAGCATGGACAGGTGATTGGACAATGCTGCGCAGGGTATGTGTGTGAGGTTGTTGTAAGACAGATCGAGGAAGGTCAGGGATGCGGGGAAGTAGTGTACCGAGTTGTCTGACAATCCATTGATCTGGTTCTTCTGAAGGCTGAGTGATTGAAGCTGTTTGAGGTTGGCCAGAGCCAGCGGCACAGTCTTAAGATAGTTCTCGCGCAATGATACATTGACCAAGTTGTGGAAGCACACCACGGTTGGCGACAGGAAGTATATTGACTCGTCGACCAGGTCCAGTCTGGGTTGGTCTGGCTTGGTGCTAGTGAGTGATCTTTGATCATATCTGTTGAGGCGCGTCGACCACTTTGAAGTCGAGTAGTGGCCGCTTGGCTGCAGTGGCTCAGGATGTGGGGCCGAGCGATACAGGTTGAATTTGGGACATGCCTTGACCAGCATGTCATGGGTCAGCGCATCAGGCTGTAGTGCGCCAAAGTAGTCCATCACCAACAATAGATGATACTCATGGATCTCGAATGCCGTGGGGAACTCCAATGCAAGCTGCCAGATAATGTTGAGGAATGGGAGGAACAAGTCCTCCATGCTGCACGTCCATGCTGCGCCATGATGACTGAGCCATTCGGTGCGCAGTAAGTCGAGGAATCCCTTGATAGTACGTGTCTCTGGCTCGATCATTATGCGTATCATTGATTGAATGAATGGCACTGACTTTATATGATCGCCAGTCACGATGGCCACGTCGCTGCCACTCGACAAACCTGTGATTATCGGATTGATCAGTCTCCAAGCAGACGAAGATGATTGAATGGATGCTTGAGGGTCCAAGTACTGTGATCCTGTGTCTGTGCCAGTGTCAGTCGTTTGACCCTCTGGCTTTGGTCCAAGTTGGAATATGATTGAGTTGAGCTTGGTTCCAGGACCTGATCCTGGCCCAGATATTGGTCCAGACCCAGATCCAGACGATGAAAGTAGTTTGGCCTTTGTGATTGGATATATGTAGTCAAAGTTGTAACGATGGAACACTGGTGTGTGTGTGGCGGTGTAGTCCATCGCATCTTTGAATGATTGGAGCACGGGGCCAGGAGTGTAGAGTGGGAATCCAAAGTGTAGCCTACGACTGTTCTTAAATTGTACAAAGTATATGATGCGCTTCTGGCTCTGGCTCTCCTTGGATGACTCCTCCTCCCATTCGGACACCAGTCGCAAATGTATCTGAAGACATTTTCCACCATTACGATCACTGGCAAGTTCATAAGGCATGTAGATCAATCTTGAACCAGTGATCCATAGTTCTCCATTTTGAAAGTCGTAAGGATGTCTGTACACAAGATGGTCTACCACGTAAACATTGTCAATCACACGCTCCACCACCTCACCATCCATCGTTCGCAATGGTAGTGGCTCGTTCTCGAGATCCTTGAGTCTGTGAAGCTGGGGAGTTGGGGTGTGGGGGTGGGGTTAGGCTGGGATCATTCCAGTGGGTGGTCCATGAATCATCGATCACTTACGACAAGGTAGTCGAGGATGTTTGTGATGAAGTCACATGTAATATCGATTGATTGCTTGTTGACTGCATCAGACACAAGGAGATATGGCGCAACCAATTTGGACATGTTGATGAGGAAGTTTGGATCACGATCACGACGACATCTAACCAATGAGTTTAGAAACAATAAGATCTGTCTTATTTTTATCATATTTGGTGTAGTATCTATACGACTGAATAGATAACAATCAAGTGATGACTTTGTTACATCCTCCACACTTTTACACTTTAACAGTCTCTGTGAAAGATCAGAGTTGACACATGCAATCCTCTTCAATTGTTCAAGCATTACATTGATGCCACGTGATTGTATTGTTGTTGTTGCGCCTCCATTATTGAACCAAGCCAATATCTCAGCAGATGCTATTCATTCATTCATTTATTCATTGAGTGAGTTAGTGATTGAGTATGTTTGAGTTATTATTGGATACTAGGCTACTTACATGTGGCAACCTGTGCTTGATTGATCAATTGAGGTATTAACAAGGTTAATGTACCACTATCTTGTTGAGGCTCCATTGTATTATATATCTGTGTAAGTAATGTTACATAATTTCAATGAATGAGCACTAGTTGAGACGTCATCTTTTTCGTCAGGATGCAAAAAAGTATCCAAACGTCACAACACGAGTTGTGCTAAGTCATCATCAATGTTTGCCTCACTGTGTCAACGACACAATGATTATAGTTTGAAGTTCGAATATAACCTAAACTTGTTTGTTCACTTACTTACTTCCTAAACTATGAATTTAAAAGTTTACTTGTTTGGTGATTGATGATCAACCTGAATGATAATCATTACTATTTATGTGTTTTGATTTGATTGGATCAAACACCGAATGAATCTCGCAACAAAGGTCGCGCAATGGTTCACCCCAAAACGGGCAGAAACCAAACCTTGTCAAAGGTACGTCACACACGCACACCAAACTCGGACACTCACTTAATTAACATCTTTCATTCATCCGATCTCTAACTCTCGTTCACTTCATCATCAATCAATCAATCAACAAATAATATTATTATAACAATAAATCAAAGATAGAGATAGAGATAGATAGAAGTACAGAGTCATAGTACATCGAGGCAAGACATTAAACAATGGAGCTGCCATCGCCCTACGAGATATTGGGCATTGAGAAGACGGATAACCAGCAGGAGATTAAACAAGCCTACCGAACAATGGCACTCAAGTTCCATCCAGATAAGAACCCATCTGCTGGTGATAAGGTATGTTTGTTGTTGTTGCTGTTGATTGATTGATTGGACGAGATACTTACACGCGTGTGTAATCAGTTCCAAGAGATAAACAAAGCCTATCAAATACTATCGAATGAAGACTCTAAACTATTCTTTGACTCGTTTGGTTATGAAGGTTTGATACTTAACGAGAAACTCAACTCAAAGGGCGAGTACAACCTTATGGAATGGCTCATATCACTGGCGTTCATAGCTATATCAATCATATTAGATTACTTCCTTGGCATATATACTGAATGGTATGTTATGTCAATCGTTCAATCAATCAATCAATCACAATCAAACTAACATCATCATCATTATCACAACATAGGATATTCGCATCGATATTCACACTCTACTTTATATACCTGACGAAACGATCACCGGAACTATCATTCTTCTTATTTATCATCATCACCAACCTGATATTATACTTCATATTGCCTACAAAGGTGCTGCCGACCATCACCAATATAGTGATCTATGGCATTGTCTTGTTGTGGCCCAACATCTCCAAGAAGAACTCATCCATTACCATCACTATATGGATAGCTATCATTGCCTTTGACCTATGGCGAGGCATTCGATTCGAACATTGGATCTGGCGATTCCTCAGTCTCAACATCATCATCTTTGGCAGTATAATCCTAATGCTCATGGGCATCTATGTTCTAAAGAAGCCAGAGACAGGTGTATGTATAGTCGTCCATCCTTCATTCAATCACTCGCTCACTCACAATCAATCAATCAACAGCCTGCCGTATACTCTACCATCTTCAATCTAGTTATGGGCGTACTAAAGAAGAACATCATGACGTTGATATTTGGATTGTTCTGGGGACCAGTCTGGTTATTAGACTACTTCTTTGACAGAAGGATCGAATGGCTCATCCCAACAGTTATATTCATTATTAAGGTATGATCAATCAATCAATCACATTGGACTGATCACTCACTCACTCACTCGTCCACTCAATCACTCCACTCGATCAGCTCATTGTATTCGATGGCAAGTTAAAGATATTGATACCGATGATGATATCAACAGCGGTGGTTTACTACTTTGTTCCAGGGACGCTATATCACTTTGCTTCAAACTACATTATTCATCTGCTATCACATCTGTTGGTTTATAAACTAAACATTGTGTTGGCCGAGAGGATCGATGATGATGCTGGACCCGAAGATAGACTGTCGTTGCAGAGGCCGCTTGGACAATTGGTCATGGGAATCATCTTCCTGGGCATTCAATACATGTTGGACTACAGCACAGAGAATTGGCGACTACTTGGCTCCATGTCACTGGGCTACTCATTCATTCTTATGATCGAACTCTACTTCTTCTCCTTCTCCATCAAGAGCTCAGAGGAGGAGGAGCTTCTAGCTCAACATCATCAACATTCGCATCAGCATCAACAGCATCAGCAACAACCGAAACAACAGAAAAAACAAAAGCAGCAACAGCAACAACAACAGCAACAACAACAACAACAACAACAACAGACACTGCCAGAATTTGTACTTGGACCATACAATTTGTTTAAATCTCCAAACTCATCATCAACGTCCTCCTCTTCCTCACCTTCTTCTGTAAATATGACAAATGCAGCCAATACATCTGCACATGCCGAACAGCCCACTGGCATGACGATCAATAGACGATCGACGCCAAGCAGTGCCATGGACAAACGATGTCAAACATGCTTCAAGTCAGCCAATCTAAAGAAGTGTGGAAGATGCCAACAGGTCTTCTATTGTTCAAAGGAATGTCAGATCAAGAACTGGAACTTCCACAAGTCCATCTGCTCAGGCTTCTCGCCACAACAACATCAATCGTCTGTTGATCAAATTGATTGATTGATTGATTGATTGGTTGGCAAGTGTCTGGCAATAAACTCTCGCATCGCACCTGGCACTCTCGCCATCTTCTTCCCTCACTCGGATGAATGATTGATTGATTGATTGTTTCGTTTATTCGTCTTTAATTCTGCTTCTTTGACGCTGATGGCTTCTTGCTTGGCGCGGCATTGCTTGCGTCTAGAATGTTCTTGAAGATGGTGGCTTGCTCGGACGACAGTGGGATACCCTTGTCGCGCAGCTCGTCCATCATTCTGTTCATTCTCTCTGAGACCCTCCTCTCGACGCGCTCGGTGAAGTGCTTGGTCTTATTTACATAGTAGTTGAACTTCTGCAGAGGTGGCGAGCTCGACACGGCCTCGTTGACAATCTCGCGAATGCCACGCGAGATACCAGACTGCGTGCGCACCTTGTTGCCGTACAGCTTCTTCATGTGTGGATGCTCGACGTACTTGACGAACAGGAAGTTGGCCACGTGCGACGAGATCGTCAGGACAAACATTGTGAAGCTGCCAGAGATCAGTGACAGGCCGTAGTAGCCGGCAAAGCCTGTGACCGAGTCGGGGTTGTTGAGGAAACGGTAGATACCGGTGTAGTAGAGTGTCGATGGCACCTCGTCGATGAAGAAGTCGCCGTAGAACCAACCAAAGCTGCCCAGCACCTCAAAGGTGGACAGCGACGACCAGGCATTGAGCAGAATCAACAAGACTCCAGCGATCTGTCTCCAGAATGAGCTGCCAAAGAAGTCCAAGTCAATCTCAGCGACCTTGAAGAAGCAGCATGTGAACGAGAGATGAGTCATGATCAAGACTAAGTTGTAGATGCTATTGATTGATTGATTGAGAGTGTTAGTAAGTGCGCGCGAACATGGGACTGAGTAAACATACCTCTTCCAGTTCTCGAATGCAGTGTGACTGTCGAGGTTGAGTTGAGCAAATTTGTTGGTCCACCATTGGTCGTGACCTTGGAGATGGAGCACCATGCCCAGGCCAAAGGAAAGGATGAGACGCCAGAAGACGGCCTGGACGACGTAGAACCAGAGGGGCAGGTTGATGAGATTGAACGCCAGGGTGTAGGCGATGATGAGCAGTGTGAACAGATCGCCCGAGCGCAGGAAGAAGAAGTTCTTGACGACGATGAGGTCGTGGCGGAAGTAGGACGACACCTTCTCCTTACGGATGAATGGATCCTCGACAATGTCTGGGTAGGTCTTCTGGATGTGTGGGTCCTCCACCAACACCAAGAACAACATCTGACAGAAGTGAGCAAACAGACTGACGTACAACACCACGTAGTTCTGGGAGATAAGACTGGCGCCATAATAGAACGTGTATCCAATCGTGTACATTGGATGTGGGGAGATGGAGAACACACGATCAAATGTAAGCTTCTGCTCTACCAAGAAGAAGAAGTCGCCCCAGTCTAATGTGATGGTTAAAGTTAGTGATTGATTGATTGATTGAATGAGGCAGGTTACTGAGTACATACACCAGGCAAAGTCTTTGACGACACGGTAGGCATCGGTCTTGGCCCAGAAGGTGAAGATGCAGAGTACGGCACCAATGATGTAGATTGGGATGATGGTCCAGTTGGCATCGGATGGGAACTCATAGTAACGCAAGGCAAACACGATGTATGTCACCAGATCATTGGCCAGAACAATGTCTACAACATGTCTGAATGCAATCCATGAATTATAATCAGCTGGTATTTTCTGGATAAGTTGATGGATTGATTGATTGATTGATTGAGTGAGTATGATTGTGTGATGATCCATGGCCGCGCCATTAAGTTCCATTACAATAACATACATCATAATCATAGTCATCTCCCATACCAGATGAGCAGAAGTCCTTGAGCACCTTGTAGAGTGGACTGTTTGGATTGATTGATTTGAACAGCTTTGTCAAGAATTGATACTTTGATTGGTAGTAGAGGATCAGACCCAGGCCAATGTTATAGCCAAACCTCCAGAACATGAACCAAACAATGAAGAACTATTCATGGAGTGGATGGATGGATTAGTATGGTGCCATGATGGCTGAGCTTGAAGTTGAATACATACCCAACCTGGCAAGTTGAACAAAAGCAACAGTATATTGAGCAGAGAGGCATTCTTGGCATAATCAAAGAATGTCCACTGGGAGAATGGATGAAGAGTAAGAGGATTCTTTGTAAATGGAACGGGGAATCCTAGATGATTGATTGAGTGATTGAGTGATTGGAATAGTTCCAGTGATTGATTGAATGAGTTAGATGATGTCGCCACATGGACACACGCACCCAGTCTGACTGGCTGTAGTACTTACTCGTTCCATCAGAACACACACCGGTCAGTCTCTTATCCCTCTGCTTCTTCTCGTGTTGACCAGAGGTGGACTCTGACTCAGAGTCGGATGAGAACATGACAAGGTTGGCCATGAGTTTGGGTACGTGATTGACATTAACATTTGGTGCACCAATATCATCGCTTTCATCATCCTGTTGTTGTGACTTTAGTCCACTGCCACTGCCCCTGAATGATGGACCCTTCTTCAACAATCTTGGTGGCTGTGGCGCTGACTCCATCTCACTATCACTGCTATAAGCTGACTTTCTATCCTCCATCACCTGACTTCTCAACTTTAACAATGCTGCAGTACGTTCCTGATCTTCTTGTTCTTGTTCCTCTTCCTCTTGTTCTTGTTCTTGTTCATTTACAATCTCATCCTCTTCTGATGTATGAACTATTTGTTGTTGTTGTTGTTGTGTCTTTTCGCCATCCTCCTGTTGTTGATCGACTACAGGAGTTGAACTATCAACCAAACTATCAGAAGACATCATCTGTCTCTATCTATATTACTATTATTATTGTTATTACTACACTAACTTGAAGAATGAATGATTGAGTGTATGATAAGATGTAGATGACACCAAGTTGCTTGCTTCCTTGACTGCTTTGCAAATAAGAATGAATTGATGAATGAATGAATAAGACGAGACCTTTTGGCCCAATGAACGAAGCGTCGAACCAGACAGAGCAAAGACCACGCAGAGTTGTGTTCTAAACTCACATCAAAACATAAATAAAAATCAACTGTTGTTGTCCAAATGAGTCATAATCACTCCAGCACCAACAGGGGGCAAAGGTATTAGCGTGGGATTTCCCACCTGCACTGTCAAGCATGCACATCACCATCAATCTCCAAACTAGTCAATTCAAGTTCAAGTTATGACACATTCAATGTGTAACATGTCAATGATTGAATGAAGAGAGAGAAGAGATATAAGTGGATGATGTAGTTGGGGAAGGGAAGCTTTATAATTACAGAGTTGTTGTGTTGGGATTGAACGTGGTAATGGGATGGATAGATTGGCGGAGTAATGTGTGTTGATGATCAATGGTGTAGTATAGTACAACTGACAGACATGACTACCTCTATGGTCATGAAGGTGGTTGATAGTTGTCTCTAAAGAATACTATGGCAACTGTGATGTTGTCTCGAGAATGTCTGTTCATGGCCTCCTGTATAATCTTGTCTGCTATGCTCTTTGGTTGTGATGATGATGTATCGTCAACTACCATATTGTTGTTGTTGTTGTTGTTGTTATCGCTTCCATTACTACTATTATTATTACTATTACTGTTACTATTACTACTGCTGCTGCTGCTACTACTACTACTTGATGTTGTTGATGATAACTTTGGTGAAGATGATGATGATGAAGATGATGATGTACCTGTACTCTTGCCATTGCTCAATATAAAGTCGGATGCCTCTTGATAGGTGAACACATCCCACAGTCCATCGGTGGCCATGATGATGAATTGATCCTGCTTGGTCAATGTGTGAACGATCGTGTCCGGGTCGGCAATGACAAACTCCTTCAGGTTGCGATCGCCAACCGCTCGCGTCACAGACAGAACGCCGTTGACGCGCAGTGTGCCGTACTGGATGATCATGCCACCGCCACTCTCGATTCTCTTGCGTTCCAGATCGTTGTGGGGCGTATGCTGCGTCGTCAGGGGCATGGCGATGCCGCCACTGCAGAGGACCACCTCGGTGTCGCCTACGTTGCTCACCATGATGCGGTCGCGATGGATGATGGCGGTGGCGACGGTCGTGCCAGCCTTGCGCTCGTCCTTCTCGGCCAGCGCCAGGAACGACTTGTCCACGGCCAGATAGGCGTCCTTGACACGCGACACTTGGTCGGCGCTGGTCATCGCTGGTCGCTGCTTGAATATCTCAAAGCCCAGGTTGATCTTGGCGTACTCGGCAGCAACGCTACCGTTGTGCCCGTCAAACACACCGACGTACAGCTTCTCGGGCGCAGTTGCCTGGCCCGCGGTCGCCGTGCCATACAGGCAGTCGGGGTGCTCGATGAACACATGCTTGTCCTCCATCTGTGGACGCATGCCAACTGTCTCGCCAATGCACACATTGCACCATGACTCAAAGGCCGTCTGGCTATCGGCAGCTGGGAACCTGTGTCGCTCGCCATTAAGAACCTCCTCGATTATCCATTTCAGTCGCTCGGCATCCACCTGCTTCTCGCCCTCCTGGACGGGGGGCGGTGACTTGGGCGCGAGCAGACTCTTGAGGTCTGACACGCTGCCGCTTGGCGATGCCGCGGGTGACGGCCGAACAATCACATAGGTCATCTCGATCTTATCGCTCGTGATGACGGACTGCACGATCGAGCGTACCATCTGTATCTCCTCCTGTGTGGACAGTCGCGGGCGGTTCCACCACTGTGTTCGAATGTGCTGCAGCGCAATGTCAAAGGCCACCGGCTCGATCTCGTCGAGCGGGATGGTTGTGCGCGTAAAGTCCGACTTGGTCGGCTTGCCAAACATCTGATTGATCTTGTTGTAGCTGGCCATACGCTGCTGGCGCAGGTCGGGCGGTCCGCCATCGCGACTTGCATTTACAGTGGACAGCAGTGAAGGAGGCGCTCGCTTGCTCTTGGCCTGCGTGGGCGAAGGGCCCGACGACGAGCCAAGCAACTGTCGGTTCGAGACAAACGCCGCGATCGGGTTGGACAGGTCCTTGTTGAAGGAGGGCGGAGCGGTGAACGATTGAAGGGAGGGCGGCTTTGCGCGTGGCAGCTGGCTGAGGTTGGTCAGCAGGTCGCCAGAGGTCTGCAGTGAATTGAACGACGACTGGAGTGATGGCCTGCCGCCAGCGCCATTGTTGGTGCTACTGTTGTCGGGCGCCGAGAAAGACAGTGATGAAAAGGGTGATGAGTTGGTCGAGTCTGACAAGCTCGATGATGGTGTGGCTGGTGGTGTCGATGATTCCGGTGATCGTATACTGTTATTCTCCAGAAACAGCTTGATCAGATATGATATGTCCTGTTGTGAACTCTTTGAATCTTCTATTTGCCTGTGTTGATTGATTGATCGCGAGATGGTTCCAGTGAGTGAGTGAGCGAGTGAGCGAGTGAGCGAGTGATTGGCGCAACATACCTGAGCTTGGAGAGAGTTGTAAACCTATATATAATCATTGAGGAGGTGCTTTGCAGTTGTATTCTACAGTTGTGGTGCTCGTTGTAGGCCAGCGTGGCGATGTTGTCGATGGCCTTGGTGGAGGCGTCCAGCTTCTCCAGGTTGTAGAGCACGGTGCCACGTGTCAGTGTGCTGTGTCTGGTCTCGCTCTGATCCATCCATCGCAACACAACGTTGTTGACGTCAGTGTTGGTGTTGAACGACACCATCGACGATCGTATCAGGGCTCCTTCGTAGGAGACTGCGTCCGACGTCCATCCACACACCGTTGGCAGCTCCTGTGTCTCCACATTCACCCAAAAGTGTCTAATCACAGCTCCCGACTCGCTGTTACTATCGCTACTATGTTGTTGTGATTGTTGCTGTGTCTACAATTGATTGATCAATGCATGGGTTGTTAGTCACGTGACCGCCACTCACTCAATCAATCATTCGATCGATCACATGTGATCAATCTGATCAAACTTACAATCTGATATATTGCATTCAACTTGTTGTCATCGATGTTCAATGAGTTGAGGGATGCGGGATGTGTTGGACACTTGACGCTTCGAACGATCGTGCTGAATTGGCCATCGACCTTGATCTCTGTGCCAGTGGGCAGCGTGCCCTTGAATGGGATCTTTACAGAGAATGTACGATCGCTGTATGGCACCTCCTTGATATACTTTGCATGCAACACCATCTCCTTCTGCGGCAGCAACTCTACACTCGTACTCTTAATAGGTGTATTCGGTTGATACTTGACCTGTTCAGCACCATCCTGGCTCGACTCCAGGCAGAACATATATCCCATATCAAGTTCAGTGTCATTTACAAGTCTAAGTCGGTGTCATCATGTAAGTGATTGAATGATTGAATGAATGATGTGATCGACAACTTACGTTACAGAGATTGGCATGCTTGTTGTATTGTGATACCTGATTGTTGATGATATCTCGCAACATCTATCGATCAATGATATAGTATATGACATTGATACTGCCTCCAATCGATTCAAGGCAGTATCACTAGATACATAATTGAATACCATTTCTCTATCTCTCCACTCACAAAGTGATCTTCACTCACTCACTACACTTGATGGTATATCCTAACCTTGTTATCCTACACTGCTTGTTGTCTAGCAGTCCCCGATATTGATTTGATCGTTTGCTTGAATGTTTGATTGATTTGATCGTTTGATTGATTGATGGACTGATGAGTTTGCAAACTCGATGTTTGAGTATGTTGATGATGAAGTTAATGATGGTCCCTGATGTTATATTATATAATATATCAATGTATTATTTATATATATAATATATGTATATGTATGACTGTTATAACTTGTGATGCGATCGTTTCAAACAAGACACATTCTTCAACACACAAACACACTCAAACAAACACAATCATTCAATCAATCATTCCCTTCCCTCAAACACACACACAATCAAAACACTAACAGCTTGTTATTGTTTCAATTCAAACAAAATCAACTTATTTTATTAAATTTTGTTTGAAACAACATCAAAAAATGTGATCGTGTTATTTGCGACCATCAAAACACATCCATTTTCAAAAAAAAAGATCACCTCGATGGGGTTGGGCTTGGCCTTGCGTGCTCGATCCCTTGTGGACGAAGTGTCGGGTGAGATCGATCCAGTGCGCATCCATCACAGTCGCAAGTGCGCACTTGTAAACATGCATTTCCAGTCAACCTGGAAACTAACAAACTATTTGGAGCATGCACGACGCTTTGTTGTCTGGAACAGTGCAATCATGTCTGTGAGGTGATGCTGGCGTGCATACTCGCGAAGTTGCTCGACGATGTAGATGGCCGAGGAGTGATGCGCAAGGAAGTATTGTATCATGTTGACATGTCCGTTGTTCATCGTCTCAATGAGTACATCGAGAGTCGGGTGTAGATGTCGCTGATCCGCCACGTACGTCATTTGAATGAGGTCCACGCGTCCAAGGAGATAGGCCATCGAGAGCAGGTCCACGCATGCCTCCTTGGACTCCATCTTGGTGCGCTTCATCTGTGATTGGTACAGTCGCCTGAACACGTTGACGTCGCCCAGTGTCGCCACAGTCTTCCACGTGTCCTCGTCAAACACGCCCATCTCGGACGCGGCCAGATACTCGAGCGTGGCGAACTGTCCGGTGCGAGCGGCGTACTTGGTCGATATGGTCAGGGTCGGGTCGACCGTCTCGTGAATGTACCTCAGCGTGTCGTCCAGGCCAAAGTATGAGCTGACATTGGCCAGCGATTGGAGGTCCAGCTGAACGTCCATCTTGGCGGCGGCCTTGGCCTGGCACTGGGCGAGGAAGCGTTGATGTAGCGTGACAAAGTGCTCGGCCACGAATGAGTAGTACAACTTGTTGACGCACAGCTCTTCGTAGGCCAGCATCGGCACCTTCTCAAACAGAAGTATGAGTATGTCAATGTTGTGCACCTCTAGCGCGCGTCTAATGTGTATAGCCTTGGGCGCGACCTTGCGAGTCATCAAGTAGCGCACACATTCAATGTTTGAGGATCCAATGATTGAGTTGAGCCAGAGTGAATTGTAATTGTCCTGTTGTTGGGCTGAGTTGCCAACTCCAAAGAATGAGTTGAACATGTCGTATGCGTATTGGACGACGGCGGGCGACTCATTCGCAGTCGCCGCGAGGATGTAATCCATTTGATAGTTGTTCTGTTTGATTGGGCCAATGTTTTGCAGCACGTACTGAAGCTGCTCGAGCGTGCCCTTCCGCAGCATCGAGTGGAGGATCGACGTCTGGCTGGCCTTGTTCAAGAGCGTCTTCATGGCGTAGCGTGTGATCGAAATGTTGTGCATGCGGGCGATTTGGAAGTCGGCGTGATGCATCTCGCTCTTCCAGCCCTGCGCCACGAGCATGTTGAGCATGGCGAGGTAGTCGAGAGCGAGTGGCGGGGTCTCGCCAAGATCTTGGCACACCTGTTGTCGATACTGCGCCACAAGCTCGGCCGGGCTGCTGTGTTGTTGATGTTGTCGCTTGTGAAACACCTTGCCGATGCTGACGAGGTAGTACAGATGAGCCTCGTTGATTGTCTTAAAGTCTGTGGACATGAGTGTGGAGGCCTTGGCCCTGAGATCTGCGCGATATTTGTCCTTGGAGGGTTGCTGGTTTGCCGAGGATGACGACGAGTCGCTGCCAACGAGGCCGCCCACCAGACGCGCTACGCCGCTACGCGGCTTTGGGGGTGATTGCTGGACGACCAAACGATCGATGTTCGCGTGGATGTAGTCAACGACTTGGGCGCTCGTCGATTCAATCATCCCAATGTACAGCGCCGAGATGTCGTCGACGCGCAAGCCAGTCGACTCGAGACATTGAAGCAGAGGCAGGTTGCCGCGCGCGGCGGCAATGCGGTACAGCGACGACACATCAAATTTCCGTTGTGGCAAGCCGTCGCGCACATACAGCTCAAGCAGCGACAGGTTGTTGTAGCGACAACAACATTCTATGATGTCAGAGCTGCCCTCGCCCGTGAAGATCTCGCGTGCGCCATACGTGTCGACAATGAGTTGGAGTGTGTCGCGATCAAACATTCGAAAGGCGACCAGTCGCAGTGAGTTGAAGGTCCACGCTAGGGGCTCGCGACGCTTCAACTTCAATACGAGCAGTGATGTGTAGTTGTTCTCGAGTAGCCAATCTATGCTGGTGATGTTGCGGTAGCGTTTGACGTTTGACAGTAGACATGGAAAGAGGTCGCATAGTTGATCGGGTTGGACGTTGGATTTCTTTGTGGCTTGGCGCCGAACCAGTTGTTTGATACTGATGCGTAGTGCATGATACCATATCAGTCTCATCAATGGCTTGTCCCTAAAGACTGCGCGCAGTGACTGGGTCATACAATCACCATCTTTATTATTATCTCTGTTGTTGTTGTTGTTCATTTTTTGTTTGTGTTGTGGTGATCAATKGACAAATGTTAGCTGAAGTTGTGATCAGGTAATCACCAAGTTTGATATTTTTGATCATGTTGATAATTCGTTCATACTCACTCACTCTCAGATGGAGAGACTTACAAATAAAGTTATAGGATCCATTGTATCTCTTTTGGATGATAGATGGGATATCTCGGCAATCAAACAGACAAACAAAAGGTTGAGGGCTGTGGTCGCCAAGCTTCCAAAGGTTGTGCCACGAGCCCTGGGCTTGGACAAACTCCAAGACATCACTTTGTGGGAGATCATCAGCTCGTTGGACGACTTGGATGTGCTCTCGCTGGGAATGGTCAGCAGGAATCTATACACTCAAATTGGAAGGTCGCCCTTTGTTGTGCTCCCAACCATGATCAGACATTGTGGAACCTCGACGAGTTCAACGTCTCCAATACCGACACATTGGGTGTCAACCTGACCACACTGTCATTTGGAAAGACCTACAGACACTTCACCATGCCCGGCTCCATTTCACCATCAGTCCGATCTCTCACCTATGATATTGGATACGACATGCCAATCACCGTCGGGTCACTCCCTCCATCGCTCACTTCGCTCACATTGCCTCGAATGCTCAATAACTTCATCGAGGATGGCGCCCTTCCTGACTCGCTCACAGAGCTGACCTTTGGAAGACCAAGTCATTTATTCGATGACTATAAATATTACGACCCTACAGACCCGATCGTCAATCTTCTGGGCAGCAACTTAAAGTCAATCACAGACCAAATGAACACCTTGCTCAACCAAGGTACAGCACCAGTTACCAATTCAGACCAACCTCCACCATCTGCCACACAACCTGAACCTGTCAAGGAGGTTGTAGACCCAACACCTGAGCCACACGGTGACGATGCCCCTGACTTTATCGACCCAAGCATGATCTCTGATATTGACCAAGATGATCATGCCCCCGGCTTTATGGATCCAAGCATGATCTCTGACATTGACCAAGATGATGATGAAACACAATCTCCACCTCAACCAGCTCCAGACATTGGCTTCACAATCCCAACACCATTGGTCCAAGACAACACATTACTGCTCCATGAAAAGCTTAACATTACCTTGCCTCTGCTTCTTCCTCATGCTTTTGAAGCAACTGCGAACAGCATCCCACCCAACACCAACCCTTCATATTTCTCCAAGCTTGCCGAGTCCTTCAGCCTCCCCTCGCTCCCGAAATCACTAACCTCACTTCGGTTGGGACATGGATTATCCAAACCACTCATGCCCCGGATTCCTTCCCGAGTCCTTGACCGAACTGAGACTTGACATGGCATATTTCTATGAGCTACAGCCAGGTTGTCTGCCCCAGTCTCTAGTCAAGCTGACCCTAGGCAACGTCTTTGGAAGACCAACCAGAGAGGTATTCCCTCAATCACTCACCTACATCAAGGTGGTTGGGCGATTCAAATATCACTTGTACGGCAGCTGCCCATCGAGTGTTTCAATCCTAGACATGGCCATGGATGAGGTTAGTGGCGAATCCTACTTATCCCCAAAGAATCCAGGAGATGCTTTGATTGATCTCCACGGACTCCCACGATCACTGATCACATATAGAATGTGCTGTGAGTTCGATCAGGTCATACCACCCGGCTCATTACCGCCGACTCTGACCGATCTTACTCTTGGAAAGGAGTTTAATAAGGTGCTCGAGGTGGGATCTATCCCAGAAACATTGACCAGCCTTCTTTTTGGATGGGACTATGATCACTTGGTACCTCAAGGAGTACTCCCCAACAGCATAACCAACTTGGAGTTTGGACATTGCTTTAATCAATCGATTATTCCTGGTTCATTGCCACAATTTCTCAAATCCCTGACATTCGGAGTCATGTTTCAGAGCACTCGCAATATATTGGTGATTTGCCTCAATCAATCACATCGTTGACGATCAAGAGCAACTATTGCCAGGGCCAACAACTTGCCAAAGGTTTGCTTCCAGACACTCTTAGGTGTCTCACATTTGGACAACCCATGTTAGCAGGCGACCGTATTGAACATCAATCACAAAACATTGGACCTCAGCAGAGTTTTTTAATCAATGGGTCACTTCCCTTGATCATGGACACTCTTGAACTTTCATTCTTTAACCAAGTCTTGGACATTGGTATCCTGCCAGACACACTCACTAAACTGTCTGTTGGGCCACACTTCAATCACCCAATCGCGCCAGGTGTCCTACCTTCTTCATTGACAACTCTACTCCTTGGATATTGTTTCAATCAACCGTTGGGAAAGGACGTCCTCCCACCAGGTCTCCAAGAGCTATCATTCGGGGACAACTTCAAAATGGGAGGTCAAGTGGAGCTCCTCCCGCGGTCACTCAGAAGACTGTCTCTTAGGAACCTCCACACAATCCTCTACCTCCAACCCGCACTGTTTAGAAGTGCCTGCTCTCCTCTAGAGGTTAGCGTGACTGGATCCATGATCCGAATCTTTGGAACAACCATGTATTACCACGAAACTCTCAAGTATATCAAGTATCCCATCAAACGTATGTTCATGAATATAGGTGAATTAAAGAACGCCGAATCAACTGCCCTGAACCATTTGACCAGGTGGTGCATCATAGGTTTGCCCTCTGTCAGGGAGTTCCACATGAGCGACTATGTGAGCCCAATTCAGGTCTCAGTCCGACGAGCAACCGAATCGGAGGCCCTTTACACTGTCCACTACCACCATCATGATCGACGAATCGATACATTTGACATCTTTAGAGACCATTTCCGGGTGCCTCGCCGGTCACAGCTGATCACAAGCAACATCATCAAACTGAGCCCATATGTAATCTTGGAACAGTTCACTGACTTTGAAACTTTCAAACGTGATTTACTCAATCAAGCAACTGGTAGTTTGATCACATTCATCAAAGAGAGTATGGGTACAATGGAATCATCTGGTGGAGTATGGGATACTCCTTCTGAAACACTACCAGTATGAGGAAATGGAGAGGCATGTGGACAGTTGTTGTTTATTCATCAAGTACCTCAGTTGGACGATGAGTATGTGTTTGTTTATGAGTTTCCAAAATGGGACAATCAGTTCATGACTACCATCCCACACCAACACACAAAGAGCAACTTGGATGCTCACTCACAACAACAACAAGAACAACAAATAAACAATATTACAACTCTTGTCTCACGAGTTATTGAAGATGTTCGCTTGTTTATGTGTTTATCATCCTCCTGGCTCTCCTCCAGAGAAAGAAGAAATCATTGTTCCCTTTCGAGCCAACCATCAACTGTTGTACTCCACACTCAAGCCAGCTATCAAAGATACCTTTGGGATCACCTCACCAATCTCCAAGATAAACCTCTATCGAGATCAAGAGATGACCAACGCTCTTGCGTCAACAGATCCATTGGATACTACCCTCACCACTATCTTTGTTTGAGTCGCCCAAGCTCGTATGTACAAACAACTTCGACGGAATGTCTTCATTCAATACTAACATAAACACACTAGCCGGTGCTGCAGGAGGAGGTGATGACAATGATCGTAAGTACAAATAAGAGCGAATGATGTGTTCGATTGATACTAATAATGCTACTATCACAGTCGCGAAGATGGTACAACTTCTCCAGGACATTAAGCTTCAGAATCAAGAGCAGAAGCAGATTTTGATCAACGCAGCCTTTATCAGATCGCCAAGGCACAGACTTCATCATCTCTGACACATCATCCATTGACTCCTGTGGCATCTTCATTGTCATTGAGCTCAAAGATCATTGTCCAACACCAAACGAAAGAAGGCAAACAGTGCTGGAGTTGATTGGAGCATCAAACTCCTTTTCCCCATACTCACTTTGGCGACCGTCTTGTACAAACACTGGATTCTCTATTGGTTCTCCAATCCTACAACCATATCATTCATCGAAGCTGAGAATCGCTCGACTGGTATCTCAACTCTTCAATACCTCATCGACACATTCAATGACAAGATCATTCGACCGAAACCAACTGGACATGATGGCGACGACAAGGGTGGAAATGACGACGATGGCAATGATGGCGACAATGGCGACGAACAAAGTTGAATGAGCATACTCTCTTCAATATGGCCCCCTTATGGTGTCATAGCTCAGCATTCACCATTGTTCACCATTTAATGAACTTTTCCTCATCAGAATCTTGATATGCCAGCAATATACCCTGCTTGCGCTCACTCAATTCAAACTCATTCATACTCACACAAGTGCAATAGCCATGTAGTGGACAGGACGGGCCAGTTGTTTTATTCATCAAGAACCTCAGTTGGCCGATGTTGAATGCGTGGATTGGTTCCAGAATGTGTAGTTTCCACTCATCTCTATCAGTTTGCCATTGCCATGTACCCAATCCGTTGTCTCATTATGTCTGTTAATGGTCAACAATGGATAGAATGACTTGCGTATAATAATATGTTCACCATGCTCCATCTTGATTGATCGAGTACCATCAAACGTTGTAGTGAATGACTTGCCCTTTTGTGATATCTATTTCATGTTGGAATGATTGTTTGATTGATTGTTAAAATAAGGAATGATTCCAATCCATCCATGGCACTTACATTCAACTTGAGTACCGAGTCATCGGGCAACAGTGATGGCTTGGACGTTAGGGAGCTTGGCGCAATGGGCGTGATTAATATACAGTTTATACAGGGATGCACCATGGGACCGCCACAAGACAGTGAGTAGGCCGTTGATCCAGTGGCCGTGGCAACGATCAGTCCATCGCCAACGATATCGGTAAGCATATGACCATTGATCGTACAGTTGATCACGACCGAATGTGGATTTGATCCACGATGTATCGTCACTTCATTCATCACCTGGAAGCTCTTTGAAGGCTGATCTGTGCCCAACTGTTGTTTCTGGTATATATCACAAGTGAGTCTCATCCTATTCGTGCACAAGAACTCTCCCTTTATCACATTGCTGATTGCATCTTGATAGTCCTCCACGTCTATTCATTCATGTGATTGATTGAGTGATTGAGCGTCAGTCCATTGTCCAGCGCGATCACGCATATGCACCGCACCCGCCAATCAATCGAAACTTACTGAATGGCATCAGGAAGCCAAGGGTACCGAGATGGAATGATATGATAGGTGGTACATCCTCCCTGAACAATGATGAGACATGGAGTAGTGTACCATCACCACCAAGTGTGATTACAAAGTCCACAACCTTGCCAAGCATATGTCTCTCCTCATCCGAGTAACTCTCAATATGTGACGACTCGACCGTAGCCAACACATTGGGCTCGACCAACACTCTAAGGTTATACTTCTCCTTCAGCCATCTGAGTTGTTCACTTGTGTTAGTCCTGACACTCACTATCAGCCAATCAATGAGTGTGACTTACAACGCGATGGTGTGTAGCCACATTGCTGTACGCTTGTCTTTGTGCTTCTTGACGATGAGGACGGTGCGCGGCAGTCCTTTCCAGGTGAAGCGTGTCCTGCTGCCCTCTTGTCTGTTGATTCCAACTGGGTTGTTGTTCTCTCTTGATATTTGATAGTTGATCCTCTGTGGCATCTCTGACAGCTTTACCAATGCAGGGTGGGTCACCTGTTGAGATGCACCTGCAGTCTGCTGTGTATGATGATGTTGACCATGATGTGAATGATTGGTATTATTTGAGTTGGAGTTGTTGGAGTTGGATGATGCAGCACTATATCTTCTCTTTGTCGTTGATGTCGTTGATGTTGTTGATGCCTTTGATGTCGAGGATGAGGATGATGAGTCTGTAGTGTAGAGACGCATAGATTGATATGTCCAATTGAATGATGATGCCTGGCATGACGAACTGTGATACCTTCTCAGTCCATTGCTCAAGACACTTGTACACCTATTCATCATCTCTATCTGTATATTTTTATCTTGATTGAGTTGATTGATTGAATGAATTTCGTGATACCCCCCTTTGGAAAATTAGAATCTTGGTGATGATCAAACAATCAATCAGGTGATGGGTTCCACATTAGGGTAAAAGGGGTTGGTCTAGGTAGTTGCGTATCGTCGAGGCGTTGTTCACCATGCCGCCAAGCCTGGTGAAGGAATGTTGTTTGTTTCCTAGCGACTGCATATATTGCAGCCACCAGTCCACGGTTAATGTTCGTTGGGCATCCCAAGAGAAACCCAACTACGCCTCGACTAGCCAATGATTATCTTCATTTTATCAATCATATTTGTTTACAAAGTAAGACGATTACCTTTGTGCACCCTACCAACCCAACCAACAAACAATAACATCACCTCTTTAAACAATACCCTCTACCCTCTACTACTTTGTTGATGGGATTGATTGATTGATTGATTGACTGATTCCACCAAGTTTCCAAATTCCAGAATGAATGAGTGAGTGAGCGAATGAGTGAATAATTGAATGACCAACACTTTACTTTGATGTGTATGTTGATGCCTCTTTACGCGAATCTAACTCTATCAGTGCTCGGTCGAGCCATGCCAGACCTTCTTGGATGCCCTCGCCTCGTGTGGCGACACTGGGTTGGCAATGAAACTGCCATGTTGCCAATATCGATGACATGTATACATTGATCAACTCGACTGATATTGATGAAGATGGTGATGATGACCCACTATTGATATCTAGTTTGTTCAACATTATAAGTACAGGTACGAATGGTTTAAGATCGCAGCATATCTTCTTCAACTCTTCAAATACTTCATTGATCCTATCTGTATCTGTTGAATCCAATACATAGATCAATGCATCTGTTGTCTTATAGTGTTCTCTCCATCTATGACCGTACTTTGTTGAGCCACCCAAATCCCAAGTGAAGATATCCAAGTTGTTGTATGTTACAAACTCTATACCATTCTCTACAAACGACAGTTGATCATCAACACTATAATCCATCATCCTATACAACATTGTTGTCTTGCCTGCATTATCAAGTCCGACCAACAATGTCTTTATCCTCCTCTTGTTCTTTCTATTTGATAATGCTTGGCCCATCTGATATGCAGGTGATCGATTGATTGGTTGATTTGGCAAAGTGTGTGTTTGAGTGATTGATTGAATGATTGTAGTGGTGTTACCACTAACATCCAAAGTGTTAATAATTCCTTTGACCATAAGATTATGTAGACAAGAACATTCAATTTGGTTATTAAATGTAATAATAATTCACATCTAGTCAATAAATAATTGATCATTTCAATAATAATCTATTTATAATTCAATCAACTAATCAATCCATTTTCACAGGCGATCTAGACGTATCATGAGAAAGTTAATCAATCATGATGATAAGGAATAACTTTAACAAGTTCAAGTAAATATTCTATGACCTTGTCAATCAGCTCAATCGCAATTAAAATCAATCTTTGGAAAAACTTTACCAAGATGTTGGACATTATTGGATAAAGTAGTTTGACAACACCGCACCTATTTCCAAAATGGCAATCACTTGAGAACCAAAGATTCAATCATGGGCACCAAACAGTGCAGTTGATATTCTCGTTTCGATGACACTCGTCTAAAGTTGTAGGGGGGGTTTTTTGATTGTTTCACCCGATTTGTACATTTATTTATTGATCAATCAAGAATGGAAATGTTGACATTCAGTACATATAATTCATATCATACCTATAAATATTTATAATAATAATAATACTAATAATAATAATTATTATTATTATTATAATGAATCATATTTACATTAAAGATGAAGGAAAAAATTCTCAAGTGTTTAGTAACAGTTACCCAACAGAACTGTATGGTGTGATGACCATTCAAGAGTTCCAGGGAACAGTTGCCAATATAATAATGAATCTTTGGTGGTGGTGGACCCAAAACTCGGAAGAAAACTGTTGATCTTTTGCACTTTCCCAGTAGTCTTCTTAATCACCTTCAACGTTTTAATATTCACCAATCATATTGAATACTGGCCAATCTTCACTTTCTAAATGATTGCCTGGTTTATCCTCTTTATAATCTCTATCGTACTCTATAACAAAAAAAAAAACAGATTGATGAATATTGCACTCAATGAAACCAACTGTCAGTATGAATCCCGTGGTATCATCTTCTCTTTCATTACGAACTCCAGACTGGGAATCAGAGTCGATTTCCCCTTCCCAGCCGTCAGTGTCATACCCGTCCAGCCAGCCGCAATGGACACACCCCAGCAACAGGCTTACATGCAACAGTCACAGATGAATTTCCAAAATACTGGTGCCAATTTCCAGCCACATGGAGCACCATTTGGACAGAACCAAGCTGCATATTTACAACAACAACAACCACAACAGCCGGCACACTACCCAAATCTAACACCAATCCTTACTAACAAGGACATTGCTACGGAAGAGAAGATGAGTCTCCTAAAGTAAATGTTGATTACTGAGACATCCGTTAATAAATGAGAAGAGGAATAATGGTCCAGGTAGTACTTGTCCAATGATGTTCGACAGATGAGATAATTTTGGTTTATGGGTCTGATGAAATTTCATTCAAATCCACATTGCTCTTTAATGATCATACCACATTCAATCACTTTAGTTTATTAATAATAGTTGGTAACTTATAATATAATATATATATCAAAAATCAATGGCTACAACAATGCAACCTCAACAAATACAACAACAACAAACTAATGTTGTTGCTAATACTGGTGCTGCGACATCAGGTCAACAACAACAACAATCACAATCACAACAACAACAGCAGCTAACACAACAACAACAACAACAATTACAACAACAACAACAACAACAACAACAGATGTCTGTTGACTTTACTATAAAGACATTAAGAGTACATCTACGCAACCTTTTGATGATATCAAACAGTATCCTATCGGACAAAGACACGCAGACCAGACTGAAAGAGTACATGAGCCTCGTCCAGAAGCTCGAAGAGTTCGAGATCGCCTGTGATGACATATACTCATTCGTTGTAAGTTGATATATATCCCATCAATCATCTTCACTCAATCACTCACTCAATCAATCGATCAATCAACTTAATGTAATGTAGGAGATAAACAAACAGAATATAATATATAATAATGCGAATAATGGAACGTTTGAGAAGGAGGAGTCACCAGAGGCATTGTATCAGGCATTGGGAACAAGATTGTCGACTGTGAAGCAGGCCAGGAATACAGTGGATAGATTCAGAAGTGATTTGATGAAGAGGAATGATACATTGTCAAAGCTAAACAACTCAATCAAGGAGTCAAAGATAAGAGTGAAGAATGAGCCCAATAATACTACATCATCATCACATATTGCGACTGATACCCCGATGTCAATAGGCGGTGAGACCGACACAAACTCGATCAACAACAGCGGCGGCATAAGCAGCAGTGGCGGAATGGACGGTGACGCGTCTCATCAGCAGCAACAACAACAACTCGGACAAGAACAACAAGCGCACGACCAGACACAGCAACAGACACATACACCATCCGAACAGAACCAATCATCGAGCCAACAACAACAGAATCAACAACAACATCAACACCCAGCAGTGGCAAGCCTGTCGGCAGAGTCGCCGTCTGTGTACTCGCCCTCGCTGCTAAAGACCAGCACCGACCCAGACGGCCTGACGCCCAAGACTGGCTCGGACGCAACACCGTCGCTTGTGGTCGAGCCCAGCGATCAACAACAGACTCCAACGCCATCACAGCAGGATCCGGCGGGACACCAGCAGAATGGTGGCGTGGAGATGTATCATCATCATCATGGCACGAGCAATGTTGGACAGGGCGGCAACACATTCAATCCATTGTCACCGGCGTCCATTAACATGCACATGCCATCGCCGGGACAGAGCAAGAAGTCGCCTCTCACTTCGTCCATGATGGACGGTTCGTTCGACACCCCTTCGCAGACCCAGTTCACTCCCTCTCAGCCAGCCAACCTCAGCCAAATGACGGAGGATGTCGACACCAGCATGAACCAGGATGACGTGGTCGTTCCATCACAGGATGATCAACAACAACAGCATCAGAGCGAGCAGTTGCAGCAGCATGGTGAACAACAAGGTGATGAACATCAACAACTACAGCAACATGATCACCAGCAACAGCTGCAGCTGCAACAGCAACAACAGAATGAACTGAATCAGTTGGATGGTTTGGATGACCTGGACGATGAGGTGGAGATGGAGGAGGTGCAGGTGGTCGATGTGGATCAGAGCCAACCGAGTGTTCACGGTCAGGAGCAAGTGGACATGATCGATGTGGACCAAAGCTATGCCTCAGGACTCGAGGTACCAAGCAATGATGGTGGTGTTGTCAATGTCGATGAAGATATGGTCGAGTCCGTTGAGATAGACAACAACAAGAACAACAACAACAACGTTGTCGATGACCTAGATGACATGTTCCCAGAGACCGCTGTCGTTCAACAACAAGATCATCAACAGCAACAACAGGTCGTTCAAGAGGGGTCACAAGACGTTGACAACACTGGTGGCGATTGATCATGCGCCATCACTTGGCAGCCACACTGCCAACCCTTCAAGTCGGCTTGGCCGCATAAAGGTGTGAAGTTACCGCCTCATAGCCATGACCGCGATATTTGCTCACACATGTGATCAAAGAGATAGATAGAAAGATAGAACAAAACAGAACATAAGGTCGGACCCCCTGTCTCCTGGCACACAGCCCTACCCTACCCTCGATGGACGGTGCCGTTTAATGTTCACCACCAAACGACCCAAACGGGTCGCAACAACCAACCATCCCATCAATCATCGTTTGCTGCTTGTTGGTATCGCCAACAGAGTACCCAACATCAGATGAGTGTACACGAAAACTTGGGACCGTCGACGCGAATCCCAATGCGCATTCTTCTGCTTCTTTGGGGTAAGAGTGCGTGTGTGTGTTTGGCCGTCACATCATCGGCGGCCGTGTGTAGCACAATAAATGGGGGGTCGACTCAGCCATCCATCCATCCAACCTCTTGGCCAGCCGCCACCTCCACCACCTGCCAAGGGCTTGCTGATGTGTCTCATTTTACACACACCTTCACCAAAGTTGTCACCAACGGAAAAAGCATCAGCTGATCTCCTGTGATTCAAATTTCGTGTAGGCTTTGTTTTATATTTTGTTTTTGGTTATTTGTTGCTGGCTACCATGATCTAAACGAGTCCATCACGTGGTGCAATCTAAACACACCAAACAAACAAGCACCAAACACACGGTTTGGGCAATTTGATCGGGGCATTCACTCGTCAACAACAATTATGAACTTTGCCGTGGCACCCATCGCCCCATCCACCCCTCATCACCACCACATCTGATTGTCGTCTTTCATCAAACGGGTGTGTGGTGGTGGACCTGTTGGATGAATGAATGAATGAATGAGATATCTCATTCAACTAACTTTAACTTACTACTCCTGAGTGAATGAATGAATGAAAGCAACAAGATTGGAGTATCGCTGAATGGTTGATCGCACTCTCATGGACAGAGATAGGATGGATGGAGCAAGGCAAAGTCGAGTTCCACTTCCAACAACAACAACAGCTGTCCTCTATGTCGGCTTGGATATTTGTGTTTGTTTGTTTGGTGTTGGCCGACACCCGTTGTTTGTTTGCGTCTATGCCCTGGTTCTGGGTTGGTTGGTGATGGTCCAAGTTGCATAAATGATGACAACACCCACAACAACTCAACAAGCACAAGTGTTCCTTCCGCATCGATTTTGATAGTCCATCGCCCGTCCTCCACCATTCTCTTCCCATATTCACCAACACCAACAACAACACACACATTGCACAATAACGACCTACATTTCTATTGTTGTCTGTCCGTCTGTCTGTTGTATGTTTTGTTTTGTTTAGTTTAGTTTAGTTAGTTACAGTGTTTGTAGGTCTTGTTTGATTAATTGATTGATTGATTGATGATCTTATAATCATACATATATATATATATAATAATATATCATACTTACATAATATTTATATTACTTTGTACAAATACTACTTATTCATATCAATCATATTCATTCATTCAATCAATCAATCAATCATCCATCTACCCATCCAGCTCCAACAACTAAGATACTTGGAACAATCTCAACTTAACATAAAGGTAATACTTCATTTCCAACATCCATTTCAATCTATCAACAATATTCCAATTGGACAGCAATTGTTATTTGTTCATGTTGTGGCACTCCACGATCAAGGAGACAAGACATGGGATGGGCGAAGATAGGAAGAACAATCAAACATAATCATTCATGCATCGATGTTGAAAATGATAATCACAAGATGTGTGTGTATGAATGACAAAGATGATATTTATGCGAGAGGACACGAATACAGTCCAAGGATAGACCATCACAGGATGTCAGTGTGTGTCCCGATATCCAAAAATCCCTTCTTCTGTGTGCGTATGTGTGGTGTGGAGGCTATGCCTCGGCCTCGCCAAAAGATGGGGATCTTTTTTTTTGTGATGGGCGTGCAAACCAAATCGGAGAGGCACGTGGACAGTCCATAAATGGTTTACTACCCTTTCAAGAGTGTGTTTGTGTGCCCCTCTGTGCATTGACATACACTAAAACTCTCTTGTGATTGTTTGTTTGTTTGTTTGATTGATATATCAATCATCCATCATTCATTCATTCATTCATTCAATCTTATTGTATCGTTGTAGTTGTTGTTGATGTTGTGAACAGAGAGGAAAGACACACATACATATACAACAAGTACAAATCATCTTCATCAACTTGGGTAACTATCAACATCAACAACACTATTATCACATCCATCGCCAACGTGTTCCAATCCAATCCATCCAATCAAATCAATCCAATCCATTCCAATCAATCAATTAATAATTAATATATAACTTGGCTGGCCTGGCGCCTCCGCAATGGACCATCCAATTACCAAGTCAATCAATCAAACAATCAAACACAACCACAACATATTCATTCATATAACGATCGAACATGTGCCTTGTTTCCATCTTACTTTCCATTCATATAACATATTATATTATGTGTGTATGTATGAGCGAGTGAATGAATGGAGCCATGACGTTGAGATGGTTGTGTGTGTGGTACATAACAACAACATTTAATATATAATATATATATGTAAATTATTGCCATTGACTACCAACGGTAACAAAGGTCACTACACAAACAATTCCCATGCCCGCCCTTCTCACTCACCATACCGCCCATTCACTCGATGTTACTGCATACATCGATGTGAATGAATGCATGGTAACAACAACAACACCAAATACACACTTGTTATCAACTCCACATTTGCATGTCTCAATCAATTTACTCCTTGCTTGGGCAAACACACACAGGCTCAACAACGGCAACAACAACAACAACAACAACAAACACTCACTTGTGCTCCTCCAGTTGGAGAACGGCGCAGTAGCCAGGATTGTTGTTTGATTGATTGATTGATCCGGCTGGCGCCTTGCCACAACAACAACAACTAAAACAATTGCCGCCGGTAATCAACCACCACCCATCGCCCAACATTCACTCCATTCCCCATAATGATCACACCCCACGAACTCAATCAATCAAGTAATATTATTTGTTTGGTTGGTTGGTTGGTTGTTGAGTGTGTGTGTGAGTGAGTGTGTGGTCCTTATGCCATCGCCATTGCCACGATCATAATCAATCAATCAATCAAACACACACACACACAAACAAATAATACACAAATACACAAACACTTATAGTTATACACTTTATACTTGTGTGTGTGTGCTGTGGTGTGATGTGGCCAGGTCTTGTAATTAAGGAAGAGGAGGATGGTGTGTGTGTGTGTTGGGCCTTGTCATATATCACTATGAACGCCCAACGTATGGCAAGGCACCGCATGGCACGGCGCGGCATCGCCATGGCATGGTACGGAGCGACCCCCGCCCAACGACTCAAATCAATCAATCATCATCATATGATTGATCCGCACCATACTTCACCAACACCACACTCACACAATTTAGAGATGAGGAGGCGTGAGGACTCACTTGTTTGTTGGTGATTATGTTTGTTTGTTTGTTTGTTTGTTTGTTTGTTTATGTGTTGTTGTGTTGTTGTGTTGTTATGTGTTTGTGTTTGATTGATTGATATGTTACCGCAACAACAACAACAACAACTTTGTGATGTTATTCCCACGGCCACCAACGCCTCTCTCTCTCTCTCTACCTTATTGTGTTGTTGTTATTGATGCTGATGATATTGGATCAATCTTATACTGGATGGATGGTTGGGGTGTGTGTGTGTGTGGGGTTGGTGTTGCCGTGGTCATGATCGTGGCAAGCTGACCCTGACTGACTGACTGAAGATGTTAGATGTTGGAGAGGGCCTCATCATTGATTGTCTCAAGTTACAATACTAATTCCTTCCTTTCCTTTCCAAAAACACAATCACAACCCTGATCTAACATATAATTAGATATCCACAACAACAACTATATTCCCCTTTGGACGAGGAGTTAGTCAAGTTTACAAAATATTAATTAATTATATATTTCCAGTCCTTTCCAGTTTACACCCCACACTCACTCGCACGATCAATCAATCAATCAATCACGATCACGATCACCTACCACATCGCGCCCAACCAATAATATAATAATTAATAATGTCGGATAACAATAACTTTGGAGGCCAAATGACCTCCACTGGACAATTACTACTTCCGGACACTAATGAGCTGGCCGTGCAAGATTTTGAGATTATCCAATGCAAGTCCAACGAGACCGTCACCGTCCAGTACTTTTGTAACAAGCAGGGCGAGCCAGTATACTTCCCAGACCGCACGCTGGCAACACTGCTGCAGGTCAACCTGTCCACGCTGCGCGGCCGCTTTAACCGCCTCACCAAGAAGCACCCAGGTTTCCGTCTGCTGATCAGCGAGAAGTCCAAGTCGCGCCTCACCTCATTGCACTTTATCGACAAGTACTACGACCCCCTGCTCGGTGGTCATCAGATGGGCGGCAACAAGTCGCCACCACACGGCTCCATCGCCATGGCCGAGTCGCACTCGTCTCCCACACTCCTGTCGTCCTCAAGTGGCAGCAACAGGATCGCGTATGGCGCGCCAGGCGGCGGTGCTTCCACAAACAACCTTCTGTTGGGCGGCGCTGGCAGTGGCAACGCAGCCAACATGCCCGACGACGATGGACATGGCAACTACTCAACACAGCTGCATGGTCTCATTGCACTCAATCACATCACCCTGGTCAACCATGCTCTCTCTGAGTGGATCGCGCACAACTACGAGCGTCTGGGAACATCACTGCGCGAGATCGAGTCCAACCTGACCCGCGCACAGCTCTCCTTCACGCGCACAGGCGACGTCATCACACTGCATCAACGCAAGTTCTATCCATCGTCGGCCCTGTCACCACTCTCCTTCTCGGCCAACTCAATGATGTCAATGTCCAACATGTCCAGCGCGGCAGCAGCCGCAGCGGCCTCATCACATCTCTCTCCCAAACTCAGCGCTCTCACATTCTTGGCTGCATCGTCCTCATCAACCTCGTCCTCTGGTTACAACACACCTTCAATGCCACTCACTCCCACCTCGACACCATCGTCGGCTTCCATCCATAACTTCCTCAACCCGACCATCAACATGAACATGAACATGGGCATGTTGCCAACAACTACCTCCACCACCAACACTGATGGCTACTGTATATACACACCAAACAACATCAACAACAACAATGGCTTCGACGCCAACTACCTTACTCAACAACGCTACATTTCACACAACGCCAGCTACCAACAGGGCATGCCCCTGATGGCGCCCTTCCGATCAGCACCATCACCAACCGCCACACCTACATCCTCATCCATCAACAACAATATATATGATAGATACCCATTCGACACGCCAACATACTTCAATCAATCAAACAACAACAACGCATCATCATCAATCAACTCATCTCCACTGCGCCCATCTCAGTCGATTGAGGACCTCCTCGATCACTCCCACTCCAACAACACCTACGCCAACAACAACGTCAACTACAACACCAATAACGCCAGCTCCAAGAAGAGGAGCAATGACTCGGACTGCTCAAGCAGCAGTGATAATGAGCTTTCATCGCCATCACTGCTTAAGCGCCTCAAGCAAGACCCGGTCAGCCTGTCAACCGTCATCAAATGTAAACTCGTTGATGATGATGCCTACAAGAAGGTGGACATATCCACGCTGAGCGGCTTCCAATCGCTACGCGACTGCCTGGCGTCAATGTTCACCAACATCAGCCAATCGTTCGTCGTCTGCTACCACGACGCCGAGAACGACTTTGTCGAGATCAACGAGCACGAGGACGACTGGGCCGACTTTAGCAAGACCGTGCGCAAGATCGTCATCAAGCCTTCATTGGCACGCTCGTCCGCCTCTCTCATGTCACTGATCAACTCACCCAGCCGCTCATGCTCAGCCACCGCCTACATGTCCAAGGCGCCAGTGTCCGTCACACCCAGCTCCAGTGCTCTTGTCACTCCTCCATCAATGGCGCTCAAGAACATCTTGTGTGAATAATTGATCGTTCAGTCGATTGATTTAATGTTAATAAGACTACCTACCTCCCTACCCCTCCTCCTCCTCCTCCTCTCCTCCACTCCTCGATACGAGAACACACCTCGCGGGCTAGCTGTGCACTCAGTCCGACTATATACATTACAAAGTGCACTCTCTGGCCACTCACAACTATCCCACGTCCCATATGGACTCTGGACTACCTCTGGAATGCACAATAAATCATTGTTCTAATTCCTACTTCCAATCAAGTCTTCATCGTTGAGGAAAGGGTTGAGCTGTTGTCTTCACGATGACCGGTTATAAATATTCATTGGACATCTTTTTGGGGGAGTCACTGTCTGTTGACAGTTTGCTACCTGTCAGTGTTTGGATCTCAAGGGCATGGGAATCAGATACACGGAACGAGAGGGACGTCTAACATCAAGATAATCTTATCATTTATTGAGTATAAATATAGAGGCTCTCATGCCGCTCAATCAATCAATTCTTCATCATTGAGAAGGTTGAGGGCGAGGGCCTGGGTAAGGGTAGGGTTGAACAAACACAAGAATGTTTATTGGTTGATGGTAGTCACATTCATTGAAGGACTAGCATAGGATAGAGGTAGAGATTGAACCTTTTAAAGTTCTTTCTCAAGCTTGAAGGTAAATTGAGTGATGCCCTCTTGTGAGAGAGACATGTTGGATGGGAATCCCTCAGTCTTGCGGTAGGACAACAAACCAGTTGTAGGGTTGTACTTGAAGTAGATGCTACCGTTAGCAACAGTTGAACCTGGCCATTCTGTAGCCTGCACGATGACCTGGCACACAATCTCCGAGTCTGGTGGGGACAACTTGGGGATGGGACACTGGACATAGTCTCCGCCACACATGCAAGACACTGGGGCGGTCTGGTAGGGGATCATGGTCATTTTGTAACCATCCTTGGAGCCCTTGAAGTCGACCACTCTGATGTCGATTGCGTAGCCAAAGGTATTCTGGAGCACCTGGAACATGGAAAGACCCTTGAGCTCGGAGAGATCGTTGTGGACTCCGGATCTGAGCTCCTTGTGTGCACCTGGCTCGGGGTTGAAGGCATCATTGTGTTGGTAGGCATTGACCCAACATCTGGTACCAATCTCACAGGACATGTAGGAATCATTGTCGGCATCGTGGGGAGTGAAGGCAATAGAGTCACCAACTCTGTACTCCTTGTTGTAGGTTCCGGCGAGGTTCTTTTGCTTGAAGAATCTAACTCTGAGGGTGTCAACGGTCATTGTTAATTGATTGAATGAATTAGAGATAAATAGTAGTTAAGTATTTAGTATGTATATTATTGATTGTTGTAGCTTGAGTTTGGATGAACGATGGATGATCCAAATGACCTCTTAAATACCCTTTGGGATATCCTCATACTTTGATTGAATCAATTATTGATTAAATGAATTAATCAAAGATGAGTGATGATGACTTGTCTAGCTTGTAGATAAAGTTGTGGGCAAGTATAAGGAGGTATAGCAAGAATGGGACCTCCCTCCCTATTGTTGACCACTCCATTGATCAAGGTAACACCTCGTCTTGGAATGTACATCCTGTATCCAAGGCAAGTTACAACCTTGAGTCCACTTGAAATCGTGTCCCACAAAAGGTGTTGACTAATAGAAAGTGTCTGTTCATTGACGGAGCCAGATAGAGACTGATAAAGTGTAATCAGAGTATGATGTTAGTTCCAAGGGCTCACCAATCACTATCATTCATAATTGAGTATAAATATAGTAGTTGTTGTAACATTAACATCATCATCGTCGCTCAATATATGAATGAATCTCACCCTATTGTTTGCGTCATTTCTGGATTGATTGATTGACAGAGTGTCAAACTGGAATCCAAACCCAAAACCCATAATTATAAACAATACCCTTGCCCTCACTCGCACTTCATCATTCAAGTTAACCTTTATTGATAGTAATATAATAAAGTTATCTGTTTAGATAATACATTCTTATATGTAAATATTAGTGTGATTGTTTGTGCGAGGGCAAGGGTCAGGGCAAGGGTTAGGGCAAGGGTTGTTTCTCTTTTAGTTTTTGGGGTCATTCTGGTCTGCGTGACCTGATCACTCGAGTAAGTGCACGAGAGATACAGATAAAGTAAAACATATATAATATACATAACAGTACATAGAGGAAGAGATGACATCAACACTGGTTGGCGCAGGTAGAAAGGTTGTTAGCTTCCAGATGCATGGAGTGGACAGTGCACTGCCGTACATTGCAAAGAGAGTGGCATGGGCCGCTAAGCTCAGTGGAATCAAGACGTCGGGACCAATCCCACTGCCCTCGACATCAAAGAAGTACACGGTGAACAAGTCGCCACACGTCGACAAGAACTCGATGGATCAGTACGAGATCCGTGTGTCGAAGCGTGTCGTTCAGATTGATGCGCCCATCGAGGTTGCCGACAAGTTTGTTCGCTTCGTTCAGACCAAGTTGCCACCAATCGCATCAAACATCGATATCAAGATAGTCGAGAAGCGTTACATACCAATCGAATCAGAGTTCTCTGGCAAGCGTATTGCTTAAGCTTATTCGACGATCCTTTCAACTCACAACTCACAACTCAAACTCATCAGTACCTCATCACTTCAGCCGCGCGATAGCTGCTCAAGTACATATTATATATATAGCGCACTACAAGCAAAGTGTGATCAATCAATCATTCAACATTCAATCAATCAATCACATTCAATCAATATGAATGACAGACGACTGAACCGACCGACCGACAGCATTCAACTCCACTCACTTACATACTCGTCACGCGCCACACATGTGCAACCAACAATCAACATGCACAACGAACATTATGATCAATCAACTATTGCTTAATACAATGTAATCAATCATTCCTTTTCTTACTTCTTACACTGACCGAGTACATATGCTCTACAATATTATTATCTTACAAGTTATAGAGAGAGAGACAGAATGGGACAGGGACAGGGACAGGGCACCAGAGTCCATTGTTGGGATATAACCTAAAACTGTACAGTCGTCTGTCAACAAATGGATGTCTGGACATCCAACAAACACAATCAATCCATCCATCCATCAGTCCATCCAAACCAACCCATTATTATTATAATCCTTGTGTTGTTTGTTTCGATGTCATGTCCAATATTTTTATTATTTTTCCTCGTCTTTCTCTCCAATCCTACAATGAAAGACAAGCTTCTAAACAGATAAAGTATTATCTTTGATAGACCATTGCAATGGTAATGACCAGAGAGACTGATTGATAATAGATATATATCTATCTAGTGATAATTTACCAGGCCTGGAGAGAGGCCAAGATGAACGAACGATAAGAGACAACTTCCAAGTTGAATTGAATGAGCGATTGACGAACCTCAACCCATTTTTGTCGTGTTTTGTTAATTTTTTTATTTTCTGAACAACGCAACAGCTTGTGTGTTTGAATGAATGCATTTCACTCCTTTAGTGTCTGCGCAGTCAGTTTCACTCACATCGCTTTTTTGTTGTTGTTTCTCTTTCATTCATCCGTCAATCCATCCCAGACTGGTGTCCAGGTTCAGTTCATTTTAGTTCGTAAAACACTTGGTCTTGCCCATCTCGCGAGATAGACGACCCCTTCCTCATCCTTCTTCTCATCAACAACCAACCTAGTATTCAGTCAGTCAGAGTAGTAGTAATAGTAGAGTAGTAGTAAGAAGTAGTAAAAGTAGAAGCAACAACATCATTCAGTTTGTGTGTATATATATTCTACCTTCTTCGTTTGTACAGTAGTTTCACTTTACTCCCCAAGAGAGCTGTTCGCCATAACAACAACATCAGTCAGTTTGCTTGTTTGTTTGTCAGCCTCGTGTAAACATTGTTCATAAGCTAGTGTACATTTCCCCTTCCTCCTCTTTGTTAATAGAATCACTCAACTTCATTCATCATTCATTCATTCATTCATTCACGCTCACACTCATTCAATCACTCAATCACTCACATTCAACTTGACAACATTACATCAAAGCGCATAATAATTATTATAATAATATAGAAGGAGAATAATAGAATATGGACGGTTCCAACAATCATTTCTTAGGAGATGATTTCAATGGGATCGACCTGTCAAAGCTAACGATCAAGTCTAGATTCGACCAGACGATATCGAGGAGCAGCTCGGCCCCACCCGTCATGCCAGAGGATGAGTTCCAGCCACAGCCCAACGAGGTCATCTCACCCCAAGACCCTCGCTTGAACATCCAGTACTACAACTACTACTATTCACAGCGACCCTTGGACCCAAGGCTGCCACCTCCCCTCATCTCACCATACCAAGCTGCCTATTACAACAACAAGCTTGTTAATATAAGTATGTATCATATCATTCAATCACTTTCAATCATTCAATCACATTCGCTTACTCATTCAATCAATCAATCAATCAACTATTAGATGATGGCCAACAGCAATCATATAACTTCCAACAAGTACCTCATCAGATGGTACAACCGCTGCATCAACAAGACCAACAACAACAACAGCAGCAACAGCAGCAGCAACAACAGTATCCAGAGTTGAATGTGCTGCAACACGAGAAGGAGACGGTGCTAAAGAAGCCGTTGCCCTCACATGCCATTGGCTCCGCGAGCATTCTGCGACAGCAATCGCCCGACATCATTCTGAACAACTCACCATCGGCCGGTGGCGTCGTCGATTCGGTGTCGCTCGATGGCAGCTCTGGCGCCAAGCCCAAGTCGCTGGTCGACATGATCCAGCAGGACTTCCCGCGCACGCCGTCGCCCGTCTACCAAAAGTCGGCTGTCGACCCCAAAGTGCACCAACGTCGGCGCTCGCAGGCCACGCTGGAGGACAGTAACACGCCCACCGGTATCGCCTCCAAGCCTCAGACGCCTCCCTACTTTGCACAAGTGAACGATCAGCCAATTGACAGCCAGTTCAATCTCAATGGACGTGATTACGATGATGCCGAGGTATGTTTGTTTGTGTTGATCTGATGATGATCAGACGACTAATTAATCAATCAATCAATCACTTCATTAGGATGACTCCAATTACTCTGGATATCAATACTCATTGTCCACTGGAGTGTTGGTGCCACACATGTATCCACCACCTCAAATGATGAACAATGCACCAATGAACCCTATGGTGGCAATGATGGGTTATCCCCAGAAGGATCGTCGTGGACAGGCCAACACAGGTGGCCCACAGAATGGAAACAACAGCCCACAGAAGAGACCACAGCAGCAACAGCAACAGATGTCAATGGGCAATACAGGTGTGGCGCCCCAGTACTATCAGACTCATCTCAAGAATGAGCATGTTCCACATCAGCAGCAGCAGCACCAGCAGCATCAGCAGCAGCATCATCAGCATCAGCAGCAGCGAGCGCCCGTCCACTCGCATCAGCAGCAGCACCAGCAACAGCAGCAGCAGGCGATGGGCATCAACAACATCAACAACTACCGCGACTACTACTCCAACGGTGGCATGAACGATCAGCAACCAAAGTATAGCCAATCACCTCTCCAGCAGCCACAGCAGCAGCAACAGCAGCAGCAGCCCATGAGAAATATTGATGTTAAAGAATTCCAACCCAAGCGCAAACCCAACACTCCCAACATGCCCTCGCCACACACTCCACAACAGCCACAACAACAACAACAACAACAACAGTATATTAAACAACAACAACAACCCCAACAACAACAAACGAATAATAATAATAACAATGTTAATAATCAACACCATCACCATGGACATCATCAGCAGCAGCAACAACAGCAGCAGCAGCAACAGGACGAGGCATCAGCACTGGCTGCCGTAGGATCACCTGCCGCAGGCGCCCAGCAGTTCAACGCGGGCGCAGCCAGCGCCTCTGGTGGCGCCAGATCACAGCTGCTCGAGGACTTCCGCACACAAAAGATGAAGTTGGAGCTGTCCGACATCAAGGGCCACATTGCAGAGTTCAGCAAGGACCAGGTAGGCTCGCGCATCATCCAGCTCAAGATTGAGAACGCCAGTCTGGAGGACAAGCAGCTCGTCTTTGACGAGGTGATCGTCGCCATCCACTCGCTGATGACCGACGTCTTTGGCAACTACGTTCTCCAGAAGTTCTTTGAGCATGGCACACACGACCAGAAGCGCATCATTGCCGACCAGCTCAAGGGCCACATCTTCCCACTGGCCCTCCAGATGTACGGCTGCCGTGTCATCCAGAAGGCTATCGAGTCGATCGATCTCGACCAGCAGATCGAACTGATCCACGAGCTGGACGGCCACATTGTCAAGTGCGTCACCGACCAGAACGGCAACCACGTCATCCAGAAGTGCATCGAGAAGATCCCCACCCATCTGATCCAGTTCATCATTGACAGCTTCAACGGCCACATCTACGACCTGGCCACACACCCATACGGCTGTCGTGTGATCCAGCGTATCCTGGAGCACTGCAGTGACGAGCAGGTGGCGCCCATCCTCGATGAGCTCATGCGATGTGCCGTCTCACTCGTGCAGGACCAGTATGGCAACTATGTCATCCAGCATGTACTGGAGCATGGCACACATCAGGACAAGAACGCCATCGTCCAGAAGCTGCAGGGACAGATCTACCAGCTCAGCCAGCACAAGTTTGCCAGTAACGTCATTGAGAAGTGTGTCCAATATGGAAACACCAGTGATAGAGCACTCATCATCAACGAGATCCTGGGTGACACTGCTTCCAACAGTGCAGGGTATGTACATTCATCCACTCATTCAATCAATCAATCATGAACTCACTCACTCATACATTTAATCAATCAAAATAGTAATAACAGTGCGATGTTAAAGGTGTTAAAGGACCCTTATGCCAACTATGTTATCCAAAAGATATTGGATCTGGTGGATGCCAGCCAGCGTGATATGATCATCAGTCGCATCCAACCATATATACCAACGTTGAAGAAGGTCACATATGGCAAACACATCATATCGAGGATAGAGAAGCTGTCGACCACCGCTCCTCATATTTATAACAATTCACAGCAGCAACAGCATGCATCCAAGTGATTGTGATCAACAACACATACACTCTCACTGGCCGGCCAGCTGTACAGTCGGGTAGCAGCCTCAGAGTCCCTTGGTATCCAACCGGATGAATAGTCCGTTTGTCCAATGTGTTTCTCTCTCTCGCTCCCACTCTCCTTCCTCCTTTTCCCAAAATCAATCCAAGCCATCACCTGCGTCAATACCTGCAGGCTTCCAGACATCTCCTCCTTCAACAAACAAACAAACTCAAAGCCTTAGATACAACATACACTCACACATACACATATCAACATCCAGCAATCAATCAAATCAATTCAATCCAATCAATCCACATTTAAAACAACATCAGATTAATCCAATTCCAACTTCTTGATACATACATTCTTTATACATACACATACAAACACAAACACAAACAAACATATACACACATATACATATAAATAATAAAAGAGTAGTGATATAAATAATGGTTAGTAATGTCTATCTATCTATGAGGTGAGGGGTATGAGTGACTTATGGTTTCGAGTCAAGGGAGTTTGAGCTTGGACCACGATTGTGGTAAACTAAGATGAATATATCTCATCGAATGATGGACAAACATTCTCCGTGATATTTATCTATCACACACACACCTCATACACACAACAACACACACCCACATGATTAACTATGATACGATTATCGATTCAATGGTGATGGCATATCAAAGATCGATCTATAATATTAATGTAATTTCCACATTAAACTAGGGGTTACCGGTAAATTAATTAACTTATATGCCGGTTTGCAATATTATTATTATCTAATAATTATTTATTTTTGTATTATTATTATAATTAATAAAAAAATAACTATAATGAAGGAAATGAATATTACATTAGTGGCCCTGTTGGCAATATTTGTTATGGATGCATTTAATACAATGGAAAATATGTCACCGATGATAAAGCCCCAAAAAGATGTATGTTATGAGCATTAATAGAATTGATATTTATTGATGAATATTAACAATAAATAATTAAAAGATAATTGAAAATGATCCAGAGGATATAAATAATAATAGTAATTATGATTCTGTGATTTATCGAATGGAAAGATTCTTTAGAGCCGATTAATTATTAACAAATAAATAATATTAAAATTAAGATAATTCTGGAAATAAGTCTTTAATTACTGTACATTTAGACTGGATAGATTGTTGTTGTTGGTTGATTGATAATGTTCGATATGATTGATAGATTGACTAATGTTATTGACTATTTGGAGTTAACTTAATCGACCTTTCTTCGTCTGCGAAGAAGTTCATTCATGAGAGATGCTTGGCTTGCACCAGCAACAGGGGCCTTGGGTGGCTTAGGTGGGGGCGGCAGTCCTCCCAACTTGGGTCTGGACGGTGTCCTGCGAGGTGGAGGTGGATTCTTGGCGAATTGCTCGATCTTGTCTTCCAGTGCGTTGGTCCAATCAATCTGTCTCTTCTGGTCTCCTCTCCACTTGGGCAGAGATGCTCTGATGGCTCTTAGCTCCTCAAGTGTACACTTGATAATAAAGTATTGCTGGAAATCATTCTGATGCTTTGACATTATAGCCTTTGGATCCATTCCAATCAACGCCAACTCTGGTGATTCCTTGATACGATCTTTCAGTTCTGGATTCCTCCTATAATTGTTGAGTGAACAAGTTAGTATTTGGTTGAATGGATGAATAAATGATTGAACTTACTCAATGTTGTTTGGATTATAAGTGGACAGGAGGTTGGTGAGGGCCTTCTGATTCAATGGCTCGTTGATTCTTCTCTTCTCTTCCTGGATCTGAGCCAACTCTCTCTTGTACTCTTCTGTTTGTGTCAACTCTTGGAAGACCTTTTCAAACTTGATGTTGGCATCGTCACGTTGTCTCTCTGGTTGTCGCTCATCCATGATCACCTTTTGCAACTGCTCCAACTCTGCCTTGATCTCGGCGTGTGACCTCTTGCCATTGCCAGACATTATCATCTCGCCATTGGCATTGAGTGTTGGCACCATCGACTTCATCATCTCCAACTTGCGCATCAAGTCCTCGAGACGATCGAGCTTCTCCAGTTTGGTGACCAACATCGCGATCTGGTCAGACTGGAAGCTGCTGGCGATGTTGTGCGCCTGTGCGCCATCGTCCTCGTCGGCGGCCAGGGCAAACTCATCGTCGGCCAAGTCCTTGTGACGGAGCATCATCCTCTGAATGCGGTCCTGGCGCAGCTGGATCATCTCCAGCTCCATCTCCTTGTTCTTGAGACTCTCGGTCTGGATCTTCTCATTGATCTCCCTGAGTCGAAGCGCCACTGGCGAGTGCTGGTCGCCAATAAAGTTGGCGATCGCGGCGCCATCCGGTCTGGCCGTCAGAAGCTTAATCATCTCGGCCATGCGATCCTCTAGCTGCTGGTTGCTGTTGCTGCCGCTGGTCTTGGAGGTCTGGTCGCTGCTGGCCTTGTGTGCGGCGCGTTCGCGTTCGCGCTCTGCCGCCAGACGATCGCGCTCAGCATAGAGCTTCTCGTTGGTCTTGGCGATGCTGGCCATTTGGGACTCGAGACGCTCAAGGTCGCTCTCGAGACGCATGACGTTCTTCTCGGACTTGTCCAACTCTCGCTCATAATACTTGATCTTCTCGAGGCTGAGTTCGCGCGACTTTCTCTCGCTGTCCAGGTCGAGCTCGGTCACCTTTAGCTTGTACTGCATGGCCTCCACCTCCTTGCGATCTACCTGGACAACCTTGGGTTGGGGCTCAACATGCTTGCGTTGGAGCTCGGCCTCCATGCGCAGTACCTCCTTCTCGAGCGATAGCTTCTTGTCCTTGGAGACCTGTACCTGGGCCTTTTGGTTCTCCAGCTCGATCTGCACGAGCTTGACTCGTGTGTGCGATGCCTCAAGCTCGCGAGCCAGACGCTTGGCCTCCTCGCGCTCAAACTCCTTGCGCTCGGTTTCCTTCTTCTTGAGCGCTCGCTCAAACTCAATGTCCTTTTCGAGCTTGTCCACCATCGTCTCGTACATCTTGGCGCGCTCCATCGCAATCTGCTTCTCGCGTGTGAGTGTCTGCACCTCGTCGTCAGAGGCGCGCAGTCTGTGTGCCAGGTCGTCGTGCTGCAGACGCAGCGTTGAGTCGCGCGAGTTGACCGGCGAGCCCCTCGTATTATGTGTGAGTTCCTGCTCCAGCAGTCTACTCCTCTCAATGGCGCTCTCCTTTAGCTTCCTCTCCTTCTCGAGTTCTTGTGTAAGCATCCTTATGCGCTGCTCAGTCGACGAGTCGGTGATACTGGGTTTGGCCGAGCTGTTGTACAATGTTGGTGATTGAGTGGTCGTGGGAGTCTTGTACTGGGTGATGGGCGAAGGCTGCTTGGCGGACGCGGAAGATGTTGTGACGCTGGACTGCGCCGCACGCCTGTTGGATGCACCTCCTGTCAGCTCCTCAATGTCGTCGAGGATGGAGTTGGTCATGGACTTGAGGGTGGAGGGTGGCGGAGTCGTGGAGATGTTGCTGCTGTGGCTGGCCGACACCAACTTCTCCATCTCATCAATGTCGTGCTGCATTTGCATTATCTTGATCTTGTCGTTGGCCACTGATGACTCGCCCTTCTCGCGCTCACGTCTGCGCAGTGTCTCGCTATACTGCTTAATAGCATTCTTTTGCTGCATCAACTGTTGCAACACAATGTTCTCCTTGTCCTTGATCGTCTCATCAATGATCACACTCTCCTCGCCAATATGTTCGTTCGAGTCTTGTTTATGAGTGTGCATGTTGCCGCCGCCACTGCTGTTGCCGCTACCAATGCGGTCCTTGTTGCTGCCAAGACCCATGCCATTTCCAAGACCGGCGCCCATGCTTGTTGCTCGAGACAAGTGTCGCGTCGCATCTGGTTGTTGGAAGTTGTTGCCGCTGTTTTTGAGACTGCTGCCACTCGCGCTACTATTGCTACTGTAGCTACTGCTAGTGCTACTATTGCTGCTGTTGCTGGACGACAGACTGATGTTCTCAATCTGTGAGAGCAGACTGTCCACACGGGAGAATGCTCCCGATGCCGACGCCGCCGCCCGCTTTGAATCTGAGGCCGTCTGTGATGGCGTGGTCTGGGCCGACGAGTTGTTCCCGTTGTTGGCGACATTCATTGGCTCATAGAGTGCCGAGTTGATGATGGCGGTGGGCGCATCCGTACGCTTCTTATAACGATGTACGAATGACAGTTGCACTTGGATGCTACCAGTCACTACCCTTGGTGTCTTGCCCTCCTTGGTGGGTCTGTCTGTCAAGTAGTACCATTGTGGCACTGGCTGAATAGCCAACGCCTTAATCTGTATTTGTATCTGTCCCAAGAACTTTGATCCAGCAGCCTTCTGCTCCTTCAACTGAATAGTGATCTCCTCATCATTCAATGTCATCAAGTCACTAAACATCCAATGTTTGATTGATTGATTGAATGATTAGTCTTTGGAGGACTGTGGCGCATTGTGTCCAATGATGAGCTGAACTTACAGAGTGAACTTCTCATTGAACTTTGGATCAGGTCCCTTGAAGAGATGCGTCTTGAATGGTTTGTTGGGTGGCAAGTCGATTATGCAAAAGATGTCAGCGCCACGCACTCCTCGAGTATCCAACACTAGTGTTTGTTTCGTGGAAACTTGTGTCAGTTCTTTGTTTCCCGTGTGTGTTTCCGTGTTTCCGTGTGTTTCCGTGTGTTTCCAAGTGTTTCCTTTTGTTTCCATTTGTCCACACTCATTAACTTGACTTACATGTTATCTCCAAGTCACCCTTCTTATTCAAGCCTCTAAGTGAGGTCATCTTTGATGTTACTTATATATTCCTGTTGTTGATGTTCCCTGTTTCCTGCTCCTGTATTGTTGTTGAATGTTACTGCTACAACTACAACAATGTTTGGCTATTTATCTAAGTAAGTTAATTTAGGAGTTAAAGCCAAAGAGTACGTATTAATTGAATTGAATTGAACTGAGTGAGTGGAATGGAGAATGGAACAAAGAGTGATGGAAAGAGTATGACTAATCTATGTGAGGAAGAGAGTTGGAAGATGATGATGATGATGCTTAGTCTGTCGTTGATTGATTGACTGACTGATTGTTAATGGATGGGATACAGATGGTAGAATTGGGTAGTGACCAATTCAATCAATCAATCACTCCTTAAGGACAAGAACAACAAACAAGAACAAACAAGGACAAACAAACCAAGTTGATAATAGTTGTAGAAGAACTACTACTGCTAGGCACATGGACAGTCCGTCCATCCGTCCGTCAGTCTGTCCATCTCTGCATCATACATCAGCTTGTCGGGGGTAGTTTGGGCATGTGTTCAATAGCGGGCTGATGATTGATTGAATGAAAGGATTGATTGAATGGTACCCGCTTGCTTGCTTGCTTGATTGCTTGGTTGGTTGGGGAGGACACATAGTGGGTGCGCCCGAGTTATCTACCGCTTGTCAGATCAGTGTAGAGAGTATAGTAGTAGTAGTTGTAGTAGCTGGTGTATGTGTATGTATACATGTATGTGTTGTCGTGTCGTGCATTCATCATCATGTATGCATGCATCAGCATCGTCTTTAATCTTCCAACAAACAGGTATTGGGATCGCATATCGTGTTCACTCGTCCGTCCCCTCCTCCTCCTTCTTGTCGGACCCTACTACAGGAGTGCAGTCATTCAACAAGTCGTAGAACAACAGATATTTAAACAAATAACACCATCAGTCAGACATAACACATAACACACATAACACATGTTATGTGTATGTTGGAGATATATCACTCTTAAGTGTCGTGTCGAGTGATTGATGTGTGACATGTGATGTGTGTGGAGTGTTCGGAAAGGATGACACTTAACTCACACTGCTCACAACTCAATCATTCATGTTTGATTGAGTGAGTGAGTGAGGGAGAAAGTGAATGAATGAACGAATGATGTGATTGATGATCTTGAATGTATGTCAAGCCGAAACGATTACCAACCTGTTTAACTATATAACTATTTATCTATCTATCTAACTTATATCCTCGAAACTGACTGATAGTTATGTTGATAATATATGATTGATAATAGTTGGCTATTAACTGTGTTTATATTGTATGTTTGCAGAGTTTATAACATCTACACTTGTGTTTAAATGAGGCAAATCGCAAAACACGAAACTTTGTAGGGAGGTAAACCGCATGAGGGGATATTTATGTTGTCGTGATTAGATTCACGTGTGTACCATCATCGGGTCCTTTTTTGAATTCAAATTGAAAGGTGCACTTTCAAAACAGCGCCATTCATATCAAAGATCAAAAATTAATCAACATCATTAACCAACAAAACAGTATTAGTATTAGACAATTGGAGTTCTTTGGTTATCTTAAGATAAAGTTTGTCGTACGATAACAAACTACACTTATTGGATAAATGTTAATTCACTACTCACAAACAAACTACAACCAATGTAGTAAGTCGTAACAGACAAACTTATTGATTGATTGATTGATTGATTGGTGGTCACTATCAATCATACTTACACACTAACACAACAATCAATCAATTACATTAACACACACAAACACACCAGGTTGTTCTTGAAGTTGCTGTGGATGAATGGATGGATAGATGTCAAAGGATGTTGTGGTTCCGCGGACATGTGAGTGTGTGTGGGTTGTCCCCGTCTGTCGGACGTGGTGACACACTTACATCGGTCGACTGAGATATGATTGATAGATGGATGGGGATGGATGCTCTGATGGTTGGATACATGGACATCTGTGTTATGTGGTGGCGGTGGTGGTGGGAGTGATAATAATAATATTGATAATATCATATGAAATGTCTGTCGTGATTCGTACGATTGACATTGTCTGACTGTCAGTCATATTAATACTCTCACTCACTCAATCAATCAATCACCTCCAATCAATGCCGCCTACACTCATCCCATACTACTCCAGTTGCTTGTTGCATTCGGGCTCATTCAGTCTCTCTCTCCCTCACATTCATTCATTCATTCATTCAATGTCCAAAGTCACAGACTGATCAATCAATCAATCAATCTAACGATCCAGCTTCCAACTCCATATTCGAACAAAGCTAGTCAACACTACTTACTTCACTTAACATAATATATAATATCTAGTTAGTCTCACCAATTAATTAGTTGTTGTCTCGAGACAAATGCCAATGCTTCACTGTTGCTGTTGACTTAATTGCGCAACATCACATTCATTCTTCCAGCTACAGAATATATTATAACATCCAATGGATCATAATCAATACCATTACCATCAACAACATCAACAACAACATTATAGACAAGACGCAATGGAAGAGCATCCAATCGATGTCAACTGCTTAACTGCGGCCTCAATACATCCATATCCACAGATACAGACACAGGCTCAGACACAGACACAGACTCAGCCATATACAAATACAAATAATATATCGAATAATAATAATACTATAGCTAATCGCCAGAATACTTCGCCACCAACTGTGGCGGTGGTAGGCAACGATTCGCCAAGGTTTGGCGCGCCAACAACATCTTTTACCACACCTGGCGGCACAACAACAACAACACCCATGCCCACCACCACCACAGCGCTGACGACCCCGCCACAACAACTACAGGACACGACGAACTCGAACTGCTGCGAAGGCACACTTCAAAAGCTGGGGCAGGACATTGTAAGAAACAGGAGTCAACAGACATTGGTCAACAACAGCAACGCACAACAGAAGGGATGTACCGCGGTAACGACGACTCCACTGCCGCCACACTCGCGGTCAATGAGCGCAGCACATCGGCGCCACCCACCAAAGTTCAATGTGCTGGAGTACAACTCATTCCTGGGAATGGGCCGTCGAGCATGGATAATTATCACTGGACTGTTCTTGGTCGGCCTGTGCATATCGGTGCTCTCAATGACGGTACTGCGATACGCCGAGGGCCTGACTATATCTGGCGACTTCTCGCGGGTCGCCAAAGACCGCTTCACAATGATGCGCATCGAACTCAACAACAGGATCTACATCGTGCAGACGCTCGGTCTGCTGATGTCGACGTACCCGCACACGACCAACCTGGAGTTTATGCAGTTCTCCAACCTGTGGACATCGACGTTCGACGGGCTCGAGGGCATCATGTGGGCGCCTCGCGTCATGCAGACCGAGCGCGACATGTGGGAGATGCAGTACGGGGTCACGATCACGAACAGCACGCACGACCCCACGGCCATCGGCCCGGACCGCCTGCCCGCCACCGGCCAGGACGACTACTTCCCCGTGCTCTACTCGGAGCCCGAGCGCTCCAACAACAACTTCCTCGGCTACGACATCTTGTCGGACGGGTGGCGTCGCGATGGTCTGAAGCAGTCGATCGACACGGGCGAGATCCTGGTCATCCCCAGCCCCTACGTCAACAAGCTCAACTCCAAGCTCTACAGCAAGGACCTGCTGTTCATCTATCAGGCGGTGTATCCCCCGGCGATGGCTCTGCTCACGCCCAAGGACCGCCACACATTTATCATGGGCTTCGCGTCATGTCGCTTCTTCATCAGCAGTCTGGTGTCGGCTGCGTTGGCGCGCCTCACCGACGAGGACTCGCTCGACCTGTACCTGTTCGACCTCACTGGCATGGACTTTGATAATCAATCGCTGGTGTACTTCCGCCCGTGGGACGCCCCTGACAAGGACGACGGCATGCCCTACCCCACGGACATCCAGACTGTGAACCAGCTGCTGCGGGCCTACCCCAAGAACCTCTATTACAAGACAATGTCTGTGGGTGGCCGCAACTGGCTACTGGCCTTCTCGCCCAACGACGACTTCCTTCGCAAGCACTACACATTCTATCCGTTCTTCATTGGCGCTGTGTGTTTGATCATCTCGGTGCTCGTGGCCTTTTGGTTCGGCATCAACACTCGGCACAATGTCAAGCTGGCCGTGACCAACGCCGACCTGCACAAAGAGATCTACAATCGAAAGTTGGCTGAGCGAGCGCTGGCTGAGAGCCAGGAGCGCCTAGAGCTGGCTATGGAGGGCAGTGAGGACGCCGTGTGGGACTGGAAGATGGACAGCGGCGAGCTGCACATCTCAGCGCGCTGGTTCCAGATACTTCGATCGAGCGAGGACAGCTACCAGAGCAGGTCGCTGTGCGAGGACCTGCGGCAGGAGGAGGAGCGAGGCGTGTCGATCGCCGACGACCTGTACTGCCCCATCACGCTCGAGCCGTCCAAGGGCTCGGCCAACACACATCAGCTGGCTGTGTGGAGCATGCGCAACATGACCCAGCTCATCCATCCCGAGGACAAAGAGAACTTCATCAAGGAGATCAAGAGGACGGTGCGACGCGAGACTGGCATCTTTGAGATCGAGTGCAGGATGCGCAAGAGCAGTGGTAGTTACCTGTACATCATCATGCGAGGCAAGGTCGTGTCCGAGCTGACCCGGGACTCGATGAGAATGGCTGGCACGCTGAGGGACATCACCAGTCGCAAGGATATGTTGCGATTGATATTGGAGAAGGAGGCGGCGGAGGAGGCCAACAAGGCCAAGTCAGCATTCGTGGCCACTGTGTCACACGAGGTGCGCACGCCACTCTCTGGAGTGATTGGAGTCAGCGATCTTCTCCTAGAGACCACGCTCAACGAAGAGCAACGCGACTATGTACAGACCATCCAAAAGTCCTCACAAGCACTCCTGACAATCATCAACGACATCCTTGACTATTCCAAGTTGGAGAGCAAGCAGGTAAGTTATGATCAATCACTCATTCAATCAATCATTCAATCAATCATACTGACTATGGGACTATTCCAATCACACTCACATAGCTCAAGATGGAGACGATACCATTCTCGATCGTGGAGACGGGAAGAACGGTCATTCACATGCTGTCTGTGGCAGCGAACGATGATGTGGACTTGTTGTTCCGCGCACCGCCAAAGGTACCCAATATTGTGATTGGTGACGCGATGCGCGTTAGACAGGTCCTACTAAATCTCATTTCCAATGCAATCAAATTCACATCGCGTGGACATGTCCTGGCGGACATCAGTGTGGTGGAGGCGCCCGCCGCACTGTCTGAATCACGCGCCAACAACACGATCTACCTGTGCATCACGGTGGAAGACACGGGCATTGGCATCCCGCAATCATTGTTCGAGGCGATCTTTGAGCCGTTCTCGCAGGCGGACAACTCGACCACGCGCAAGTATGGTGGCACTGGTCTCGGCCTGTCCATCACCAAGCGTCTGATCGAGGACGTGATGGGTGGAACGATACAGGTGAACAGTGTCGTTGGCCAGGGTTCGACATTCAAGTGCACCATCCCCTTTGTCATGTCAAGCACGTCGCCGTCGCAGCTCAGCATGATCTCGCCCACCTCGCTGCCGCGCTCCATGTTCAGCCGCTCGCCCACGTCCAAGTGGATGGGCGAGGAGTATGACAACAACGTCACAGAGATACTGAAGCGCAAGCTGTGCATCATCGCCTGTCGCGACAAGGTGAGCGAGCGAGTGCTCAAGGAGCAGCTCGAGTGGCTGGGCCTCACGGTCAAGTCATTCGAGGAGTACCCGCACCTGGACGCTCTGGCCCACGTCGACCTGGTGATCAGCGACCTCGAGATCTTTGGCGCTGAGCACCGCCACCCCGTACTCAACGCGCCCTATGTCATCCTGGCACCGACCAAGTTCAACCTGTCCAAGCAAAGCCAGTACTTCAAGAGTAACAAGAAGTACTCGACCATCCCCGCCGGCGCTGAGTGGATTCGTCGTCCCGCCCTCACCGACAAGCTGATCCCCATGCTGCTCAAGGTGCTCAAGCCCATCCCGCCGCTGCAGCTGGTGTCTGGTGAGCTGTCCCACCCGCCCTCCTATGAGCTCACTAGCAGCAACAGCTCGCATCACTCACATCAGCATCAGCACCAGCATGCCAAGGAAGCTGCCCTTATGTCCACGCCGTCGACCCCCTTCCACGCGTCAATCAATGGAAGTGGTGGCGTCACCAACATGAACAACATCAACATCAACATCAACTGCAGCAATGGCAACAACAACTACAACCTTGGCAATGGACATGGCAACAATGACATGCTAGCGATGGCCTCGCCAGTGTTCCTCAACCTCAATCACGAGGTGTCATTGTCAAACTCCAATGTGATGCAGACTGAGTCCATGTCGACATCGGCCCAAGGCGAGTCCACCAACGTCAATCGCGCGCTGTTGGTCGAGGACAATGAGCTGAACCGCAAGGTGATCACACAGCTGCTCAAGAGGCTTGGTTGGCAGACGGTCGTCGCCGAGAATGGCAAAGAGGCGCTGAAGGAGATCACATCGGAGCGGTGCTACCCCATTGTGTTGATGGATTGCCAGATGCCGGTACTGGACGGATTCCAAACGACACGAATCATTCGTGCCAAAGAGAAAGAGCTGGGCTGGCAACGCATGAACATCGTGGCTCTCTCCGCTGGATCATCTTCATCCTTTGTCCAAGACTGTCTCGACTCTGGCATGGATGACTTTGTCAGCAAGCCCATCACTCTGACATGTTTGAACGATGCCTTGCTCAAGTGGGGAGGCTACTAGGTCCCTTGGTCCACGGTCCTTGGTCCCTTGGCCCATCATGGAAACTCATGACGAATGTATGATTTCCCGATTGGATGTCATTGTTGTGTATGAATGTTGGACTGATTGCGACGAGTGTAATAAAGTTGTTGCAGTTCTGGTTGTCAGGTTATATTAATATCTCTGATTGAGTGATTGTGTGTAATGGAATGAATGAGTGAATGATGGTTTGATGACGGGTAATGATCATTAACGTACCATAACCCGACTCACGGGAATGGTCAAACTGCAAAGGGTAGTTGGACCTACCCTGGTTATGTTCAAAGGGGTGGGGTGTTCTGATCAATCATTATAAAAATAGATGTGTGAGTGTTTGAGTTTTGATCAAAAAAACCTTCTCAAAACTATTCCAGAACTTTTGTGTCAGTTTTGAGAAGGTTCTACTCGTTTTTTCACTTGTTCCGTTTAAAGAAATCTGCCAAGTGTTCACGAGAATCATAATCTGGAGGTATGCCGAGTGAGTGATCTGTACATAGTAGTAGCCCATCATCATCACCCCTACAACTCAAGGTCACGACCCTGACCGACCTACTACCTACTAGAGTAGTAACGACATAATCTCATTTCTTTTTGTTTATTTAAAGACATGATCAACAGGTCTTTTGAAGTCATTCAATCATTCAATCAATCAATCAATCAATCATCCAATCAATCATAACAAATCAAACAATAATACTTTAGTATACTTATACATATAAATAATTATAATAATAATAATGGAGCCAAACACTACTACTACATCCGTTGAGAAGAAGAAGGTCGCCGTCATCATTGGCAGTGGCAGAACCCACAGACATGGAGAGACCATCACCAACTGGTTCGTCGAGACCACCAAGCTTGCTGAGCTATACAACGTCGAGATCATCGATCTCGTCAAGTGGAACCTCCCATTCTACGACGAGGGTATGTGTTCAATCAATCATTCAATCAATGAATGAGTGGAATCATTCCGTCCCATAAACTAACATTCAAACCCCCCACCACACACTCAATCAATCACTTTAGTGTTGGCACCAATGGCCTTGGGCGGTAACTACACTACTGAGCATGGAAAGAAGTGGCAATCAACTATTGCCTCGATGGACGCTGTTGTCGTCGTGACACCAGAGTACAACCACGGATACACTGCCATCTTTAAGAATGCCATTGATTACTTGTACAGAGAGTGGCAAGGAAAGCCCTTGTTGGTCGTGTCCTACGGCTTTGGCGGTGGTGTCAGCGTCAGCCAGCAGGTCGTCGACATCATGACCGGCACCAGCCCAATCCAGATGCGTGCCGTTCCCACCCGTCCACAACTCTGCTTCTCGCGTGCCATGTTCAACGAGCAAGGCAAGATTGCCAACTTTGATGCCTTTGAGGCCCAGCGTGAGAACATCACCAAGTCCATCCAAGAGTTCACCGATTTGATCAACACCCCATTCACATGGCAGCCACCAAAGTGGTAAATAATATTATCATTTATATAAAGTTATAAATTATTATTATTCTCTGTCCACAATAATTGATGAGGTCCTCCTCTGAACCCCAGGCTTAGACTCATAGGCCCTTTGGGCCCTCCAAAAGCCTCAATCACACACCAGGAACAAACAAAAAAAAACAAATCATTTCATTTCATCTTGAACTTGATGGGAACCACCTTGTGATCAATCATCCAACCATGCCTCTTGCCATCATCAACTCAATTTCAACAACATCACACACTCTCTTTGCACCTCACCTCCATTCATCTTTCATTCACTCAATCATTCACTTAACCATTCCATTCAATCATTCAATCAGATATATATATTTATTTAACAACAATGTTTACAAAGATATTACATCAACCAAAGACAGGTATGTATCTGTCATTCAATCAATCATTCAATGAAGGTCCTAACATGTGTCATTCATTCATATATTAGGCACTTTGATTAGATATTATTCAAAGACAGTGTTGCCACAGACTCCATGTCCAGAGTTCCCAGGTGAGTACCGTGAGCCAATCATCAAGACTGTTATCCCAGGTCCACAATCATTGGAGCTTCAAAAGAAGTTGAACCAATATCAAGATCCAAGAGCCACTCACTTCTTTGCTGATTACTCGTATGTATACATGATTGATTGAAAGTGATTGATTGATTGAATGAATGAGTGTGACTAACTGATGGAATCATTCCAATCAATCAATCAACAAATAGTAACTCACGTGGAAACTATATTGCTGATGTTGATGGTAATATATTGTTGGATTTATATTGCCAGATTGCATCGATTCCAATCGGTTACAACAATCCAGAGTTGATCAAGGCTGCTAAGTCTGACAAGTGGATCTCAACGATCATTAATCGTCCATCATTGGGCGTGCTCCCTCCAAAGGATTGGCCAGCATTGATCCAGAACTCATTCATGCAGGTCGCACCCAAGGGCCTCAAGAACGTCTTCACGGCCATGTGTGGCTCGTGCGCCAACGAGTGCGCCTACAAAGCCGTCTTTATGCACTACCAGCACATCAAGCGTGGTGGCGCACCATTTAGCGAGGAGGAGCTCCAGTCCTGCATGAAGAACCAGGCACCAGGCTCGCCTGCGCTCTCGATCCTCTCGTTCAAGAAGGCCTTCCACGGCCGCACCTTTGGCACGCTGTCGACCACTCGCTCCAAGGCCATCCACAAGCTGGACATCCCGGCGTTTGACTGGCCCGCCGCATCGTTCCCCGACCTCAAGTACCCATTGGAGCAGCACGAGAAGGAGAACAGACAGGAGGAGGATCGCTGTCTGGCCGAGGTCGAGAAGCTCATCAAGACATGGCACATTCCCGTCGCCGGTCTCATCGTCGAGCCCATACAAGCAGAGGGAGGTGACAACTGGGCCTCGCCATACTTCTTCCAAGGCCTACGCGAGATCACCCTCAAGCACAACGTGTCATTCATCGTCGACGAGGTGCAGACAGGTATGGGTGTCACTGGCAAGTTCTGGGCGCACGAGCACTGGAACCTTACCACCCCACCCGACATTGTCACGTTCAGCAAGAAGATGCAGGCGGCTGGCTTCTACCACAACATCAACTACCGCCCCTCCGAGTCGTACCGTAACTTCAACACATGGATGGGCGACCCCCTGCGCGCACTCGAGCTTGAGGTTGTCATCGAGCAGATCAAGAAGAACCACATCCTGGAGAACGTCACCGTCACGGGCAAGTACCTCAAGAACGGTCTGACCGACTTCCAGAAGAAGTACCCCAAGCTCGTGTCCAACGTGCGTGGAGTCGGCACCTTCCTCGCCTTCGACTTCCCAACGCCAGCCATCCGTGACCAAGTCGTCGCGTCCCTCCGCGCCAAGGGTGTCGAGACCGGTGGCTGCGGTAACAACGCCATCCGTATGCGTCCAATGCTCATCTGTCAGCCCAGCCACATCAACATCTTCTTTGATCGTTTCGACGCCACCCTCAAGGAGCTCGCCAACAAGTAACCGCGTCCCCATGCGCCCCATCCACAGACATTTGTTGTTGTTGTTGTAATAAATAAGGCAAAGGAAGGCCGTCGCCAACGCGGCTTTATGATGATAATGAGTGAGGAGTGAGTAGTAATAGTATCAGGGAGCAGAGGCAGAGGATCAGTTGCAGCGGCAGCAGACGGTGGACACGGCCAGCGAACAGACGTGTGGATGGCGCGGGGCTCGAGTCGTGATGTTTGATTGTCTTGTGGATGTTGGTGCAGTCGCATGCCTTGGGCAGGTTGAAGTTGGGAATGGCACTGCAGTAGGAGCTGTCCACGGTGAGGCCCGAGGTGACATTGTAGCACAGGACATAGGCCAACACCGGCTGTTGGTAGTCTGACGACGTCGAGTTCGAGCTGCCCGACTCCTGCGATGTCTCGTCGGCCTGCGACGTGATGGCAAACTCCTGGGGCTTTGGTTTCTGCTCGCTGCTCGCATCCTGCTGCATGCGACACAATGGGTCGCATGGCTGCCAGTCCCACTTGTACTTGGAGCAGTATGGCTGTCCTTGGCATGGACGCATGGTCTGGGGCTGGGGCGCGGCAGTGCACATCAAGTTGTCGACGATGCGCCAGTCAAGCGAGTCGACGCAGGACAACATACGCTGTTGAGTGCCCTCGCCACACGCCGCCGAGCATCCATACCAATCGGTGAAGTCCCAGTGATACTCATGCTTGCATGGGTTGTTTGTACAGATCTTGCGCGTGTCTGGCTGCGTAGTCAGGCAGCTCGACTCATTGACGACAGCGCCAAACATGTCCACACAGAAGACGGTTCTGGTCTGTATTCCAGCGCCACATATCTGGCTACATCCAGTCCAGCCCTCCTTCGAGATCACCCACTTGGGGCTAACAATCTTGCAAGTCTCGTTGCCAGTCTTGTGGCCACCTTTCTTTGGCGCGGGCGTGGGATCTGTGGACCCTGCGCTTTGTTCCGATGCGGCTGCGGGTGGTTTCTCCGCGCTGGATGACACGACCGAACTCGAACCCGAACCCTCCTGAGAGGCTTCGGCGGCTGCAGCTGCGGCGGATACGGCGTCACACAATCTTGACGATGCTGGACGCAGGGCCATGCATGTGCTCTCAGGCTTGGTGTTGTTCCTGAAGTCCATGCAAGTAACATTCCTGGTCTGCACGAGACAGTGGCTGTCGGGCGACGATGTGCAGTTGGACCAGTTGCCAGTGCGCCACAGGGCGACCTCACATGCGTCGGGGTTGACCTTGCCAAAGCCCACACGACCATTGTCCTGATCAAACATCACCATGTACTGGCGGAGCAGTGGCAGTCCAAGGATCATGTTGTTATCGAATGCCTCGACGATGCCTGGGCACAACTGCTTGCCGTCCAAGATCAGGTAGCCTGGGATGGCATTCAGCTCGATCAATGATGTGCCGCGATCCGATGAGAACTCGATCTTGAACGTGGGCAGCAGCGCGTTGATCTCGTCGACGGACAGCGCGTACATTGGGTTAAGGATGCACTGCTTCTCGGTGAAGAAACGCGCCGATAGGTAGCTGTTGAACTGCTTGAAGCTGGCGAGGAACTGGATGGTCTGATGGAAGATGGACGAGGGCAGATGCATGACAGGGGTGCGACTGTCAATGCGCGTCTTCCACAGGAATTCGGCCACCTGGTAGATGTGACGCTCGCTCACATAGATGTTGGTCACCTGGAAGCTGTAGGTCGTGTCCATGATCGGTGTGGTGGCCATCTCTGTCGAGAGGATTGTAGTGTCGACGCCACCCAGCCACAGACGCGGGTTGCCATGGCACAAGTTGAGCGAAAACACGCTGGGCACCTTGTTATTCTCACTGTATTGTGTGAGGTAGCCTGTGGCCTCGCGGTTGAATCCAAGGCCAAGAATACCATGAGCCTTAACTGCCGATGAATCACACTTTGGCAACTCGAATGGTGTAGATTGTGCCGTCACAGAGTATATTAAGTAGTTGAACCCAGTGTTGACAGTTGAGTTGTCCAGGGTAAGTCTGTCTGATATCGTGGTACTAAGTATGTGTGATTGATTGATGGGTGGGGTTAGTGAGTGGAATGATTCCAGTCATGTCACACATGTGACTTACGCTTGATAGTATGTTCCATCATTGTATTGGCCTGTGACGCCAACCTCTTGGACGACTGATTGTGGACCAGGAGTGTAGACAGCTAGACCGGGGATACATCCAGCCTTGCAAGTCATGCTGGTGATGGCGGTGATTCCATTCTGGGTATCAATGATCAGGTTGATACCAGGTTTTCCACCGACATTGGCCATTGTACCATATGCTACGAATGGACATGAGTTACCAACAGATATTAATGTAGTCAATGGATAACTCTTTACATTATTGGTGTTATAAGCTTGGACACCATTATCAAATATATAAAATATAATAAATAATAATAATATTATTGTTGTTATTGTTGATGTTATTGTTGCTGTCCGTCTGTTATTAGACATCCTTATATATTTATATATATATATTAATAATTAATAAATAATAATTAATTAAATAATATTAATAATTAATTTCCAGGTTGGATGGAAATTACTTTGTTTGTTGATTGATTGATTGAGTGAGTGAGTCGAGTTGATTGATTGATATAAGTTGTTGGTTGTCCAATAAATAAATAAATATATAAAGTAGGTGTGATGGTAGGATGGATGGATTGTCGTTGTTGCTAAAGCATGATGCTGCAGCAGCAGCTGTTGCTGTTGTTATAAACAACCAATATTATTATATTACAACAAGGTCTTTACAGACGACTTGTGGTGGTAGATTGATTGATGTTGGACGGTGGTGCCAACAACTGCGTGTCTTGCCCAGTCTGGCCATTAACAACAATCAATCAATCACCTGGAGTGAGTGGAGTGACAGGTCATGACTTGTGAACAAGATAAAGGAATTAAGTGTGTGTGGACTTGTAAAGTGATGAAGTTGTGGATGTGACGATTGCTGGTATGTACTTATATGTACTTGTCTACATATCTTAAATACGTCAACATCCGGCATGCGATCATTATTGTGGGTTTGAGTTATGTGTGTGAGTGCGTTTGCGTGTGTGTGTCATGTGATCATCTTAGAAAGAGATATAAGAGTGTGTGAATGATTGATTGTGTGTGTGAGTGTGATGATGTGGGGTGATGTGTTGAAGTGATTGATTGTCCGACAATGTAAGGTGTAGGTAGACAGTCCAGATGTCCGTAGCATGAACTGAGTGATGGAGATGTCTTGTCTTGTCTTGTCTTCTCGTCCATCCATCACATACATCATGGTGAAGCTGATCATGGCAGTCATTTCTTAAAAGAAGAATAGGGAGAATAAGAGGAGTAGATGTTATGTTGTAGTCGCGCATTATGTTGTTGTTGTTGTTGTTGTTGTTACATAATATAGATGAATGGAGTGGAGATGAGGAGGAAGGAAGGAAGGTCTGGATATGTGGATCCTACAAGTTGTCCGTTTGATTGATTGAATGATTGATTGAAATGATTAATTGTTTGTTGAGTGTCGCTGTATGAATATCCATTTGTGTTGAAGATTGGTAAGCTTGGGTGGTATCAACCAACGGTTCTCAGCAAGACGCGCTGGATCTGGTTCTTGAAGCGATGAGTTTGATTCATTCAAAAGACTGTACTCCCATAGCCCAGTGACCTTGCTCTTGGAATGATGGCAAACTAATAGTACATCACGAGGATCAAGCCTCAAGTGTGATTGTGATTTGGATTGAAGTGATGAAGCGTCGTCCACATGATCATAATCATTATTTCCAAGTGTAATTGATATTGAGTCATTCGTGTCCATGAAGTGTAGTGATGACGATGATGTCTTGTCTTTGGAATTGAAGTAATGTACATTGATTATGTTGTTTGATGATGATGTTGATTGATTGTTGTTGATGACTCCACGATGCATTGAGGACATTGGCAACACAAACCCAATGATCATGGCCCAATGTGGCCGATGTCCATTCTGAATACATGGTCTCCAATTCTTATCTGCGTCATATGGTACCAATATAGGATTGCCTTTTGATAGATGTTGTAATATTTGATTGATTGATGGTTGTTCTTGAACGATTGCATCCACATCACTCGTACCAAAGTAGTCCATTGTTATACTGGCCAGATCGAATGCTGAGAACATCTCACCCTCGCGAGAGTATCCCCTCTTGATTGACATTTGCAACATATCCATGGCAGCCTCCTCGTACACTCTATCCATCAAATGTTCAATAGCCATCCTTGCGGCGACCAATCCACAACTTATTGTGTGGGTCAAGGGTCAAGGGTCGAGGGTTAGGGTCGAGGGTCGAATGTCACATGCTCTCATCATTAACATACTTGAATGAACTTTGTAACCTGTATTTGAATATTGGTAACTTGACTAACCATTTGTCATTCGTGTTGGTATTGCCATCGACTGACCATGAGTATAGTATTGCATTGAGTAGCAATGGAAGCTTGCGAGCCATCTCCTTCAGACTGATCTCATACTGTACATCCTCAACATTTCGATCAAACTCACGCTCAACCGTCATCCCGTTCGCTAACGTTCCCTTAATATTAATATATCTGACTAATATTGAATATAATAATATTAAGATATGTATATATATCTATGATTGATTGATCAAATAAAGTGATCTATCACAAACGAAACAGTGTTGGTGGTGTTTATTCCAAAATTGGAAGTGTTTCAAAAGAGTGACCAACAAATGACAAGTTGTCAACTTCCTAACCATTTGGAGTCGTGTATAGTATTGACAGCATGGAGAGGTGAAGAGGGCACGAAGCGGGGTGCCCTCGCTAGACGATGGCGTCGCTCAATGAGCCTCGTATGCAGACGATGGCACACATACATTGTGCAGCTGAACGATGCAATCTATCTCGGACCAATGGACACACTCGTTCAGATAGAGCAGCACGCCTCGTCCAACAGATACTCGCTCTTCCGATTCCCATGGGAATTCAATGCGCTGTACATGCCGCTATTCCATAAACCATCGCTCAAGAAGAACAGCCCGTCGCTAAGCGAGCTTCAGCTCGTGCAGTTGGGAATCCACACATTCAAAGGCCCGCTGGACTTCCTCTCGCTGCTCAGTGCAGCAGAGCGAGTCATACATCCACACACGCTCGCCCTCGGCGTGGTCATTGACCAGGCTGGCAAGTGGCAAGAGCACCACGAGCGTGTCCGGACACGCGACCACCCGACACCTGACGCTCATAATAGAGTCGGATGACCACAAGTTACCGATGGTGGACTCGCTCTTGGACGCCGGGTGCTTCAGCCAACTCACCAAGCTTACGCTCTACGACCGCTTTGCCACTGTCGACGAGGTGTCCAACTTCTACTGTGGACTGGTAGCTGAGGGCGACAGGCTGTTCAGGTGCCTGGAGTCTCTGTCGCATCTGAGGTCACTCTGCTTCCGACTCACGCTTGGAGTTGACCTCCAGGACCAAGAGGAATACATCGACTTTTATCGGTGCCTGCATCAATTCCTCGTGTCAAATCGAACACTGCGAACATTCAAGTTCCCCGAGCACAGTCTGAACGATCAGACACTCGACTACCTGCTGCAGTCACCAACATGTACCATCGACAGTCTGTGCATCGACTTGTATGATCACATGCCCGTTCTGTTGAGACCTCTGGAAAAGCTCAACATCAGCCTCTCGGGCGAGGGCCCTCTGGACACATTCCTCAGATCACTTTGCAACGTCAGACACATCAGGCTGCAGCAAATTCCCAACAAGCTCTTGATTCCTCTCATTAGCTGCGCCAATCAAGCGACATCGATATCGATCAACTTTGGACACTTTGTCGATTGCGAATGGAAGGACCTCACGGCACTCTACGTTGAGCAGTTGAACCTCAACAGGACGGTCAGCTACCTGTACAACATCCAATTCGACGACGACGAAGATATGGACATCAGTCAGAGTCCATCCTTTGCCATTGTGGACCAATGTATCCAGAGTCACCCATCCATCCAGAACAAGTCAACCTGGTATTGGACAGAAAATATATGTCGGCCATACGCGTGTATATTGTATTTATTGTATCCTCATTGATACCTTTGAGGATCGAGCGGATGTTGTCGCGTTGGAATAGTCTGCCATGCTAACGGCCAACAACTGCGCAGCACTGGGATAGCCGGCCACAACGTTGATTGGCGCGTTGGCGCCCACGTTGATAGGGATGATGGCTGTGAGCTTGCCGTCAGAGAGCCAGGTGAATCGGGTGACGGAATCGGGTTTGTAACGTGATGGAGAGTCATGGCTGATCAATCAGTGTCGCATCCAATGTGTCAGTCGCTCATCCATTGAGCCTCGTCCATGTATTATCTGTACATCGCAATGTGACCATTCATGGATCACTCTCTCTCTCTCACCCACTCTAACTCACAGACTGATCAGTGTCAAGTCTGATAGTTCAATGAGCTGGTAATATGAGATGAGGTAGAGTACGAGTGTGCTGACATGAAAGACGAATCGATCACAGAGTAGTCTAATGAATGGGATGTTGTCAAAGGCAACGTCTACAACGGCAAAGAGGAGACACCGCAGTCCAAACTGTTGGAGGAACATCTTGAGTGTGTAATCGATGCTGTCGTGGAAGGTGAATGACACCAGATGCAGGAGCACATAGAACTGCAGGTGGAATGTCATGATCTTGGTCAGTAGGCGGCGCGCCAGCAGCCAGCCCACTATCACCGTGGCAGTCCACCATATCAGCAGGTTGAGGTATACCAGTGGCAGGACCGATCGGTAGACCGCCACCTCTTTGCTGAGTGGATGGAAGAAGCATCGCTGAGGATGTCTATACTGTGTGCCAGTCGTGGCATACGGTAGACTATGCATCTCATATGCTTGCTGGTTGATTGATTCATCGATTGATACATTGGTAACAATTGGGAATGACAACGTCGTCGTCGTCGTCGTCTTTGTTTCTCCATCATTGGCTTCTGTTGTCTGTACATCTGTTGTTGATACAATAACTATATTTGGGTATATCTCTCCCAACTCTTTCTTTGTATCCTTATTCGTATTAACTAGTACCTTTTAAATGATTGATTGAATGAGTATGATTGAGTGAATGAATGAATGATGGGATCATAACATACTTCTACAAGTCCTTTGAATCTATAAGATGATTCATCAGTTTGTAACCATTCTGATTGATGATAGCGTTGGAAGAAGCATGTTCCAGATATATAATGTTGATAAACGTCTATATCCTTTTGTATATCAGACATCAATGCTATAACTATCAGATATATAGCAGCCCATATTATAAACATTGTAATAGTATGTTTCTTTGCATTATCATTATGTTGTAGTTGTTGAGGTTGATCATCCACTCCTTGTCCATGTCCATTATTTAGTTCATTCTGTTGCAAATACATTTGTCTCAATAACTCTTCTTGTTGTTCATTCTCCATTATTATTATGTTGTATGTTGTATATCTCTATCTGTATATATGTACTTGTTTGAATGAATGAACGAAGAATGAAAGAGTGTGTCAACTTCATCTTCATCTTCAACTTCGTGTACTCCCTTTAGTGGGGTCGACGAATGAACTTGAACTTGAACATCCTAGAAACATGAGTCCAAGTTTATTAATAATGTTACATTATAGTTATATATGTTTAGGCATAGTTGGTCAATAGATGGTCAATCATTCTTTTGACAGTGGCCATTTGTACACCGAGTTGTGATGCATAGTCTGTACCAGTGAATCCCCACCAATCGAAACAACCTCTTGGATTGAGTGGATTGGCTTGTGCCTGAGGATACAATATTATCATATTATTACTATCTGCCAACTCATTATATCCTGTGTTCATATAGAATGTATCATTTATCAATGGTATAGTCTGTAGACATCCATGGAATGCAACATGTACTGAGCATGCTATTGTGTTGTGTTATGTGGCGTCATGTTAATATATGGAATCCATCCACGAAGTATGATTGATCAATCAACTAACTTACATCCATCATTGTTCTGACATTGTGGTGGAACATAGGCGAATGCATAGTCCCATAGACTAGCCTCAAGTGCGGTACCATATGGTATGAATGATGCTTGATCAAGTTGAACAATCTAGTTTGAATGATGATTGAGTGAGTGAGTATGATTGAGTGAATGATCAGCTTTGTTCACCTATTCTGACTGACTCACATTTGAAGCGGATGAGTTGACTGGTGATGGTGGATTGACACCTTGGGGGATGATCGAGTTGAGAAGTGCATAGGCAGTGTTGAAGCCACAGTTGTTGATGTAGGCTGGACCGAGGTAATCACAATGATTGCCAAAGTTGTCCGTGACGAATGAGTGCTCAGATGGTATATCAAACGTGGTGTTGATACGACTGTTATCAGTGATGTAATGTTGATAGTACTCCACCAACTTCTTTACAACTCCCGGTACGACCACCGTATCCTTTGTACCAGAGTATATCCAAACTCTAGAGTTTGCCATATTCGAAGTTGGATCAATCGTAAACGTCGATGCTGCAAAGTCTGTCGCATCAATCAACTCTGAAACACTTATTCTCTCTGGATGTGCCATGCAAGCACCTTGTGCAATCTCTACATTATTGTTGGCACCTAAAGGGTTATGATTGAGTGAGTGTTTGAATGATTGATTGATTGATTGAATGAAAGAGGCTTACAGTAATATGGTCCACCTGCTATTATACCAGCACCGGATACTATTGATGAGAAGGCTACATGGAATTGTACGGCCATGTATCCACCACTACTGATCCCACTGATTGTCACTTGTCCTGACTCAACATGTTTGATTGATGATACAACAACAAGAACTAATGATAATAATAATACAATGATATAGTGATGAAGTGATCTAGACATGTCTAGATATGTAAAGATAAATGTAAAGATAAAGATAAAGATGTGTCGATGTCTAGACAAATGCAATTCAGTTGCACGCAAATGGAAGAGGAAATGGAATTGGAAAGATATCTTTGAAAGCTTTGCTTGTGATCTAATCAGGTGACCAATTGGAAATTTATATGGGAAGAGGTCACGTGATAAGATTGTGATCATGTGACTGATCACATGATGGTAATAATTCATCGCATGATCAGTTGGATGATGGAAAGAGTAGAGTAGGAAGTTGAGTTGGAAGTGGAAACAAGGGGTATGAAGTGAAGACCTCGCGTCGTCAGTCCCGCGTTGCATACCCCACTTGTCTGTTGTCCAACCACTCGCGTTGATGACAAACACACATTCCTGGTCAGCCAGAGAGGAAGTTGAGTTAAGATGAAATGTGGGTTTATTATTATCTGATCAGATCCAGAGGGATATCGCTTAGGCAACGACCTCGACCTTCTCTCCACGCTTCTTGAGGGCGGCGGTACGATCGTCCATACGGGACTTTCTGACACCCTTGCTGCTGAGGAGCGACACAAAGGTGGTGGAGCCCTTGCCAATGACAAAGACGTTTCCGAGACGGGTGGCGAACGAGTGGCCAACAGAGTCGGTGACGTGGACGATATCGAAGGAACCTGGATGACGCTCACGGTTGGTGATGACACCAACACGACCCAAGTTGTGACCTCCGGTGACCATGCACAGGTTATTCAACTCGAATGGGATGAAGGCGGTGATCTTCTGGGTGTCCAAGTCGATCTTGACGGTGTCGTGGATCTTGATGGCGGGGTCTGGGTAACGGAAGGTCTGGCCATTGTCGGTGTGGACGTATGGGATGCCCTGGAGACCGGTCTCAACCTTGGTGACACGGGTGAGGATGAACTTGGCCTCGTTTGGCTGGATGCGCTGCAACTGGAAGCGACCCTTGGTGTCAAAGAGCAGACGGAAGTGCTCCTTGGTCTTCTCGATGGTGATGACGTCCATGAAACCGACTGGGAAACGTGGGTCGGTTCTGACGACGCCGTTAACCTGGATGTGTCTCTGCATCAAGATCTTGGTGACCTCTGTGCCAGTCAGAGCGTACTTTAATCTGTTTCTGAGGATGATGATGAGTGGGAGACACTCTCTCAACTTGCGTGGACCAGCGCTTGGTCTTGGGGCCCACTTGCCAGACAATTTGTCCAACATCCAGTGAGATGGAGCTGCTAGTCTCTTCAAATGCTTCTTTGGTCCACGTGCCTAATATTATATTATATTATGTTATATACTTTTGTTAGGACTACTATTGCTATCTTTCCATACTTCATCCTATCTTCGCATCCTCATCCGATGTATCCGTCTCGTATCTGTATCGCGTATCGCATCCTCTTTGTATCTTTGCTTGAATGAGCATCATCATCATAGTTCGTTCTTTCGCATGTATCGTCAATCCGTTGTCTTGTGTTGATGATAGATATCGATGATTCGAAGGGATGAGGATAGGATGTTGATGTATCACATTCCACATACCATCTTTTTATGAGAGTACAGAGAAGGAAAGGAAAGAGTGAATCCTCAACACATCCTTTTCATCCATCCTGCTGCACCTCTCGTCCATCCTCAGCTGGACTCCAAACATCTTTATTTTTTCAAAATTAATTCAAAAATAATGTTTGAGTCAATCAATCTCTCAGAATAACGTTACCCCTTTCAATCATTCATTCAAACAATGTTCAACTTCATCAACACCATCTCATTGTCATAGTTACAGTCATATATAATACTTGTAGTTATTGTTGTAATAGTAATGGTAGTTGTGGTAGAGATTGATCAGCATAATGTTGCTGCTGGATCATCAACAACTACATCATCATCCACAACAACATCAAATTCAAGATCACCAACATCACCAACAACATCGACATTGACACCAACAACAACAATACAACATACAACAACATATCCATATGTTAATGATGGACATTCATCATCACTTTATGGCGAGTTACATGATCATCATTTGAAGAATCATGATGAGCGACTGGCAATGATGTTGGAGAATTTGGATTCATTGATGTCTACATTGTCTTATGATACGGAGCATAGGAGTGCTTCATTACCAAGTGCAAGCTATGACAAGATCATTGGTGATAGACATGGTGGCAATGTTCAATCATTCATTCAATACATGGACAGTGAGATCAGATCGATGAAGTTCTTCAAAGAATGGGCACCACCTGGTTTTGGCTACTCAAGTCTAAGCATCTCCATGAACAATAACAACAACAACAACAACAAAAGCAACAACAAGTATGAATACATGATCGAGACATTCCTAAAATACACACCAAAGGAGGATCACAAGTACCTTCCACTCTTTGAACTATGCTATGGAGCATGCATCCTCCACACGCCCTTTGTTCAAAACGTCAACAAACAACAAATAATGTAAGTCTGATGAAACGGAGGAAGATGACAAAGATGTATTAATCAAATATACTTAGTGACCCAGAGTCATGGTCGTTGATGTCCAAGCATTTGGCAAGAGTACCAGCGGATACTTTGGTACGGCTGTTGGTACAACATGTGGAAAAGGAGCCACCGGTGGGCCGCAAGATCATGCTGTCACTCTGGCTGCTACTCTTCCCATTTGATATGTCAATGGAGTTCTTTGAGATACTCATTCGTTGGTTGGCGACACTCGAGTCATCACAATATTTGATGCATGAAGTATTGTATTACGCCTCAATGGCTGGACATTATGACGCACTGGTTCATCAAACATTCTCTACCTTTATTGGAGCGGAAATCTCTAATTGTCCACTGGCTGCCCTGGCGGTGGACGACCTTTGTCTGTTCAGACAGCTGTATCATGGCGAAGTGAATGCAACGTATCCAACCATCTTGGATCTGGCGATTGAGATGCGTGCGGTGCCCACGCTGCGCTATATCTTGAGCCACTACCCCAACTACTTGATCTCCAATCCCAAGGCCGACCCCGCATACTCTTGCGTGCGCAGTCGCGACGTCACAATTGGACACTTCCTCTTGGCCAATCTTCCATCAATGCCACCCATCAACGCGGATCACGCAGCACACATTCAGAATATTGAGCCCAGCCTTGTCGTGGACAACACCGAGGTGATTGAGCTCATGCTGGAGGAGGGTCTCTACACGCACGAGCCATCAAAGAATGTCAGGTTGTTGCAGGAGGCCATCTCATCATTCTCTGTCGACACGTTCATGTTGATGCAGCGCCACACATGCTATCACGTCGAGCTATTACCATTGCTGGCGGTGAAGCTCCATAATGGATTGGTCCTCCAGTCGCTGTTTGCCTCGCGTCAAAAGACCAAGCCACTGGAGGTGCTCAAACATCTTGTGCTGATGAACATCGTCCACATCAGGAGCTTGGCCATGCGTCTAAACTTGGGCAACGTGGGCACAGTGGAGATGCTCGACTACCTGCTGCGCTCATTCAGTCACTCTGATCACTACGCAGACATTGTCACATCTCAGGAGTATCAACGATCAACTTTTGAATGCTTCAAGGGCAGGGCGATGACGCTTCTGGAGCTGTTCATGCTGGAGGACAACGAGGAGTTTGTCGAGTACCTACTGTACAAAGACCTGGACCTGATGGTCACGACCAAAACCAAGTTCTATATGAAGTGTCTAAGGAATGACCAGATCACCAAGTATCACCGCCTGTTCAGGAGCAAACAGGAGGACCTCAGGACGAGTTCAGTACTCTTGAACGATCTTTGCCGGGATACACTCAACGAAATGCATGGAAAACAACGCGATCACACAACTCTGTTTATGCTTGGACTCCACGAGCTTTTGGCAAAGGTGATGGAGGAGGACCTATTGAAGGGCCAGAAATCTGGCTCAAACAAGAAGGGAAAGAAGAACAAGAAGAACAAGAAGAACAACAAGAACAAGAGTGGCTCTAAGAACACCGGCACCACCTCCACCTTGACCTCATCCACAAAGACATCCGCTGCCGCCGATGACCAAGTTGGCGATGAAGGCGAAGATGTGGAGGAGGTGTTGGAAGAAGAGGAAGAGGAGGAGGACGAGGATGAGATGTTGTTCTTGCCTCAAGGCCTTGCGTCAAAGGTCAAGAGCATCTCTGCACAGCCAACACCTCAGATCATTAAGCAACCCAAGATCAAGCCATTCCCAAAGGAGGAGAGGAGGAATAAGGAGTGTCCTATCACGGTCGTCGCTGCCCAACCTAAGCTCTCAATCAAACCCGATCCAGTACCGGTTCATGTTCAAAGGAGGCAGTTGCGACAAAATGGTACACAACCATCATCACTATCGTCCAAACCAACCATGTCAACTGTCATCTTACCCCAGCAGCCAACATCTCGACCAACATCTCGATCAATATCTCAGCCAACAATATCTCAGCCACCAACATCTCAGCCACCAACATCTCAGCCAAAGAGGGTACCTTCAACAACAACATCATCATTGCAGACTGTACAGCCCGCGCCACAGTCTACGACAAGACCTTCGACACAATCCACGCCAATAGCACTACCTGCAGGACGACCTGTATCACAACAACATCCATCACCGCTCCCGGCTCAGCCTACAACACCAACACCACCACCAACATCAACACAGAATATATCTCGACCTACAGTTGCATCACCTGTTGCCCAGCCTCCAGCTGTGCAACCAGCCCGATCTGTGCGCCCTCCACAACGCCCAAGGGAAGGTACAACGACCGAGCGATCGCGTCAAGCATCCGCACCAAGGCGCACAACCACGACATCAACTACAACAACCACAACATCACCAACGAAGACGCCACATCAACAACCAGCCAAACTGAACTGTCCAACTCTAAAGAGCCCACCTCAAGACAACAACAATGGCAACAACAACAGTAGAGCATCAACATCATCTCCTCAAGCGTCCAAGGATATTAACCGATGGTCAGACATGGACTGCAGAGTGGGCAAGCTGAGGTTCAGCAGGAAGGAGTCACACATTATTGGCAGAGGAAGCAATGGCACGCTGGTGTTCAGAGGAGTCTGGAGCGATGAGGTCCCAGTGGCTGTGAAGCAGATGCACAAGGCGTTCAACAACATGGTCGTGATCTCCAAAGAGATACAGGTGCTGATGCAACTGACAAAGACCGACTGTCCAAACATCGTGCGCTACATTGATCGCGAGGAGGACGACATCTTTGTCTACTTGGGCATCACACTCTGCGACCTCTCCCTGCAGGAGTTGATTGAAGACTCGCGAAATGCACCAAAGCTCTCAATGCTGGACTCGGGACGACTGATTCGCGACATGGCAGACGGCGTCTTCTTCCTCCACACGAACAACATCGTCCACAACGACCTCAACCCGCGCAACATCCTTTTCAAAGACAATCGACTGCTCATCTCTGATATGGGTCTGAGCAAGATGCTTGTCGATACCTCATTCACATTCACTCATGGCCCCACTGGACATGGAGGATATCATCCGGCAGAGGTACTCAAAGAGCAGAGGAAGACCAACTCTGTGGACATCTTCTCTCTTGGCTGCCTGCTCTTTTATGTGCTCACATCTGGCGGACACCCATTTGGCGGCTCGCCAATGGATCGCGCCTACAAGATATTCAACAAACATCAGCCAGACCTTAGCTTGCTCCAGGGCAACCACGCTGCGGTGGACCTGATCAATCAGATGGTGTCCCACGATCCAGAGGTACGCCCCACCATTCGCCAGGTACTCAGGCATCCACTCTTCTGGCTGAGCGATCAGAGGCGCAAGTTCATGGAGGCAGTCCACCATGCATCAAAGAAGAAGCCTCACACTTACCTCAATCATTTTGTACTCGCCGATGGAAGCAAACAGGCGTTCCTTGTCGAGGGATGGGACAGAAGCATCGACCCGGTCCTGCTCAGCAAGCTCAAAGTGAAGGTAACATTGCCATACAGGTACGAATCAGTCAAAGACCTTGTTCGATGCATTCGCAATTCAATCGTCCATCACCAAGACATCTTGTTGGATACCAAGCGTCCGCTTTTTGAATCGCAACAGGCAGCATGGTCCTACTTTGATTCCAAGTTCCCCACGCTACTCATATACCTTTATCGCCAACTAAGCATCAATCCCGACCCAACCTACCTTGCAGACTTCTATTAACTTGTAATTAATAAATGGATGTGTACACAATTAACTTCTAGAAAGGTACTAGTAGATAGTAGCTCCCGGGTGAGGGGGCTGGCGAACGCTTTTATATTGGCAATATGATCGGTCAATCAATCAGTGTCAGTGGTATGGACACTTGGGTGCTGTTGGGTGGGTATATGGCCTAGAACAAGAGGGAGACTAATTCCTCAAAGTCCTTGGAGTTGATCTCTGGGTTGCTGTTGGAGTCGTCCGACTTGCCATCGGTCGACGAGAGCTTGGACACCTTGCTAAAGTAGTCGACAATGAGGAAGCCAAGCGACTCGGCACCATCGTTGTTGTTGTCGTTCTCGAAGCAGCAATCGCGCAATATATGTGGCAGGTTGGTGTAGAACCAATAGATGCAGGCATTCTTGAGCTCGGTGGCCTCGTGTATGCTGGCCAGCGACATCAGTGAGACCAGGTTGTTGGTGGACAGTGTCTCGCCAATGAGCTCGCAGCACTTGACCTTTAGACCATCCAGCAGGAACTGGTTGGCCAGGATCAGCAGCTCGGTCAACAGTGAGGAGGAGTGGCCAGTGCTTGTTGTGGAGCCAGTCGCGGTCTCGGTTGGGGGAGCCAGGTCGTCTGTGTACAGGTAGGCCAAGAGCGCCAGGAACACTTCCTTGGACACGTCTGGGACGACGATCTCTCCCTTCTCACTCTCTCGCATGCCATTGGTGAACAGTGCCTTGAAGTACTTGGATCTCGCGCTCAGTATCATCTTGTGGCCATAGATGTGCTCGCCGGCATGCTCCTTGGTCTTTCCAACGAGGAATCTAACATCGCTAAACTCTGCGCTGTTGACATAGGGCTTCATCATCGAGCCCAACGATGGAGGACTGGCGACAATGTCGCTGTCAAGCGACGATCGCAGCGATGGACCTGTCTTGCCCTGCGAGTTTCGCAGTGCCTGTTGCTGACTGTTGAGTTGTTGTTGCTGTTGGGCAAACATCGCGGCGGGATCCATAATGCCCATCAGGTTGGGTGGCAGTTGGATTGGAATAGTCATTGCCTGTTGCTGGTGTGGTTGGTTTGGATTCTGGATAAACTGGACGAATGGATAGTATATGACAGGAACCGAGAAGGTTGGGTTGTGTGGCTCGGGTTGGTTTGGGAGTTGGATCTGAGCGATCATTGGTGCTATATGTTGTTGTTGTTGTTGTTGTTGGATTGGTTCGGGTTGTTGTTGATGTGGTGCCTGTTGCTGCTGTTGTTGCAGTGGAAGTGGCTGAGGCTGCTGCTGCAGTGGTGGTTGTTGTTGGTTCTGTTGTGCTACTACATTTACATTGTTGACATTCGTGTTGGCTATATTATGAAGTGTTGGTGTTGGTATTGGAGTTGGATGTGGCGTCGGTGGAATTGTTTGTGCTGCCGCTGCATTGTTGTTGTTGTTGTTTGCGTCTTGTACCTCCATCTCATCAACCTGTTGTTGCTGCTCAACATTTTGAATTTGAGCGGCCAACTGCTGCTGCTGCGCTTGCTCCTGAGCCTGTTGTTGTTGTGCTTGTTGATGATGAATCTGTTGCTGCTGTGCCAGGAGCTGCTGCTGAGCTGCCTGTTGTTGGGCCTGTTGTTGGGCTTGGAGTTGTTGCATTTGATGTTGGGCAGCGGCCTGGAGTTGGAACACGATCTGTGGTGTTGGCAACTGGATATGCTGGTTCGGTTGGGTTGGATGTGGAAGATGGATGAAGGGTGCGACGTGTGGAGCCGCATAGAAGTTGACGGGAGGCTGTGGTGTCTTGTTGCTCTGGTTCTTGCCAGATGTGGTCAGCTTGTCCAGGTTCTCATTGATCAGGCCAACGGGGAAGCGCTGGTATTTGGGTGTGGTGGGTCGCTGTGAGGGTGGCACAAAGAGGATGCCCAAGAAGCAGTAGTAGAACTTTCTGATCGATGATTGATCGGATATCTTGGAGATGTTCTTTGTGGCCTGAGAGATGGCCTCGACGATCTTGGAGTGATCGACGTGATAATGATGGTACATATATATTGATTCAAACTGGAAGTTTGGATGCTTCTTGAGGGAATCGAGGCTGTTTGATCCTCCAAAGTATTGTGGCACAGTGCCTGATCTTGAGTATATGAATATGACGCGCATGTTCCATGCTCTCTCGACCATCGTAGTCTGAGAGTGTTTGGATTTCTCGATATGTCTGTATGTTGAATCGCTGGAGAGGTGGAGAGTATATGTGTTAGTGTCGGTCCATCGGTCGACATCAATCAGGACGGGGTCCTTACAGTGTGTCAAAGAGAGTGGTCATGTCAAAGGCGGTGAAACGACCGCCATGCTTGAGTCCATCAAACTTGGACTTGATATCGGCAATTTCACCGGTAAAGTCCATGTACCATATTGCAGAGACGCGCAGTATGCAAATGGCAAACTTGGTCGTTGGGTCCAGTCTCAGTTTGCTGCGCACAAACAACCACAACGCCTTCTTGATGTGGTCGAGACGTGGATTCGTCTGCTTGAAGATTGAGTTGATCTCCTCGTCCAGGTCGATGCAGAACACAATATACTCCTGCTCGCCCGCCATCACAGTGCACTGTTGCATATCCAGATCACTATCGCAATTCAACTGGATTTGTTGTTGTTGACTTGGTGAAGAAATCATTGGTGGTGAGGACATATCATCATAATCATCTTCCATACTTGTGTCTCTCTGTAATTGTTGTGTTAGTAACCTTTGTGATTGAGTGAGCAGGAGTGATTGAGTGAGCGGGCGAGTACGTACTGACGATATTCTCCTCTTGGGAGAGCAATCCGGTGAAATGGAGTTGGTATCCTTTCTCTTTGATGGAAGCATACTTGTGTTGAGTGGATAGGTCGCAACCTTTCGGACAATTAAGTATTATTGTTGTTGATATATATTACTTTTCTTTCTCTTCTAATCGTACTTCTATATTGTTGCACTGTTATATTGTTGTTGTTGTCTAGGATTATCTGTTTGTTTATTGCTATTGTATTAATACAGGTTAGGTTGTTAACTTAAGTGATAATAATAATGTTATCTATTTGTGTGTATGTTTGTGTGTGTGAGATGTTGAATGAATGAGTGAGAGAGTGTCGTTGGAAGATTGTTTTATCACAATGTGTTATGTGTTTGTTTGGGAAATCGATTAGGGTGTGTGTTTGATTGATTGATTGTTTGACGGATGGAATAAAGGTTTTTGATGTTGTTGGCATAAGGGAGAAGTTTGAGATTGTGACACACACAAACAAACAAGGCTCCGAAGACTGTCGTCCAAGGGGCAAGCAATCCAATCGCACTCAACTGACTGGCTGATTAATTAATAACACACTTCTCTCACTATTTTGATCAATAAATCAATAAAATTCGTCGGTTTCTCAAAAACACACTCGAACACACAGGCTGATTGAGAGGTTGCAAGTGAAATCCAATTGCCAATTTTAGGTTCACTGGATGTTGTCGATTGATCCGATCGGATTTGTGATTGCTAGATGGGTGAGGCCGGTCCATGCCGGAATTGCAAAGATGAGCATCTTTGATAATCTAATGATGAACGACAGATCCCTTTTGCTGCTTCCAATGGAAAAGTGTGATGATTGTTTGATTGATTGATTGGGTAACTTTATACATACTTTATTACTGACTGATCAATTTAAAAGTGATGATGTGTAATCTAGAGTTGAGTGTAGTAAGTTCAGTTCAACAATGATTGTTCTGTAGTTGTAGTAGTCTAGTCTGAAGAAGAATTATATTATATTATATGTTGTTGTGTGAAGTACTAGTAGTTGTTTGTTAATTGGATGGTTCAGGTTGTAGTGTTGTTTGAATGGTGGATGGATGGAGACTTGAAGGATGAATGTTTCGATTGTATGAAGAGCGAGCTTGAATGAATGAATGAATGAATGAGTAAATGAGCGAGTGAATGTTGTTAATGAGGTGTGAGATTGAGTGTTTATTTATACATACTTGTATGTGTGAGTGAGTGAGTGAATGAGTGAGTGAGTGATTGCAATCGTGTTGTGTGTGTGATGTGTTGTGATGTGTGAGTTGTCCTTGTGTTTGTTGAATTAGATGGAAGTGTGTGAGTGAGTGTGTATTAATAGGGAGTTTGTTTGTTTGTGGGTGTGCCTGTTGTAGAGATTGTTGGTGTTGTTGATGAGAGTGTTGTCAGTTCATCTTCTGAATTAATGAACATTTCCATTTTGAATGTCACATTATGACAACAACAGATAACATGTATGCACTTCTGTGTATGTAAGTATGGACAATGAGAGTGAGTAGAATGTTTATTATTAATTCAATTAATTGTTACAGGCCTTGTTGTTGTTGATCAGCTCGACCGTAGCTTTCGAATGAGTTTGGATCAAATGTTGTTTCATTGACTTGTTGTTGTTGATGTAAATATATATTACCACCAATGTTATCAGACGATAGACTAGACATTGAAGATGGAGATGTTGTAGTAGTTGTTGTGGTAGTTGTGGTAGTAGTAGTTGATGATGAGGATGGGAATGGAACACCAGTTCCAGCATCCTGGAAAGAGTATATTGGTTGTAATTGATCTTGTTGCTGTTGTTGTTGTAGTTGGATTGGGTTGGAAGATGAAGAGGAGGACTCTAGACCTCGAGGTGATGTTGGTGGCGAAGTCATATCAATGCTTTCTTTCTTCTTACTTGGTGATTTCTTGGCGTTCATAGCCTCCTTCTTTTCATTCTCTCTATATCTTGTGAGGTACAACTTCAATGGTTCAATGTAGCGTTCGAAACCAAGTGTGGTCATGGCAGCAATAACATCTTCACCATTGATCGTCTTTCTCTTCTCCTGTTGACATATTTCACTGGCTTCACTTGTTATAAAGCTTATAAATTCACTGACACAGTCTTGTACTGTATCCTTGGCATCCTTTGCAACCTTTGCATTATTTGGTAATGACTTCTTCATAATCCTTATAATATTTGCTATTGGAAGATATTTATCCTGCTCCCTGGTATCCGAATCCCTTGATCCACCAAGTCCTCCACTACTTCCAGATAAATCATCATTTCCAGAATCACCTTCCATCCTTTTTAAAAATTTTTTATATTCCTATAAATTAATTAATTAATTAATTAATTAATTATTATTACTTATTATTACCTATTACTATTGTTATAATAATTATATTCATTCTCCATACATATTAAAGTACTCTTATTATTATTTAGAATGAAGTCGAATAGTGTGGAGAGATAGGATTGGATATTTGAAAGGGAAAAGAATGACGATCATGAACGACTGGTATACCAGTCGCAAAGCAAGGGTATCAACTCAACTTGATCCTCGACCGTCGATTCCAACAACCCACATTTACTACCTTACAAGCATGGCAAGCAAGCAACAGGCGGGCATGTGTTGTTGGCTCATTCCAGCTTGGCGCCAACATCACACCATCAAGCACCCCAGCTCACTGTCTCACACACACTCACACACACACCTTCATTGACCGTCGTGTTGGAAATGTGTGGATGATTGTGATTGGTAGTTGTAGAATAATACTGCAATGTAGCATGTTCAGTTTGAGCGTTGATTGGATGGACTGTCGCTTGATTTATTTATTTATTGCGTTATTATTATTAAATATGTATGTGTGTATTTCATTGCGCACTGGACTGAACTTGGACGAATTGAACTGCACTGGATTGGACTGGAAAGCACTGGAAGTACTATTGTTTGAATGAATTGGATTACGGTAAGAGAGGTTAATGTCACTATCTCTCACTCCCTCTCTCTCCCTCACTATTTACATACTTTGGAAGGAAGAAGACATTAATTCATGTTCCACCGAGCCAAACTGAATTATCGATGATTGACAAGATTACATATTATAACAATACATTGATGATGTTGTGTAATTAACAACAACATCTTTATTCAATAACTGGTTGATAGAATGGTCGACTGATCGAAAGAATTGATTGATGGATGGTACCAAGGGGCTATTTGAATCTCGATTGATGATGGTTAGATGCACGCATTTTTAGTTTGCGAATGTGATGGCCTGTGCGATGAGATTGTTGTATTGATCTACACATCCGGCAGCGGTCAATTGGGACTTTACCCACTTGATAGCCTTGTTCACGATTTGTAACCACTGATCCTTCACATTGGCGAAGGATACCTCGAACTTGGCAATCACCAATAGTGTCGTCCAGACAATTGGCAATGATGCCAGCAAGGCTGGAGCTGAGCCACTCACTGGAGCTTGGTCCCAACTTCCATTGGCCTTTTGTGAGCGGATCAAAGTCATCATTGCATCCCCACCTGGTGCAGATGGTAAAGGGGAAACAGATGGCCTCATTGGTGATCGTGAAGGGGCGTATGATGGTGAGTATGACGGTGATGCTGGTGAGTATGATGGTGATGTTGGTGAGTATGATGGTGATGTTGGTGAGTATGATGTTGTTGTCGGTAAATAGTTCAAATGATCCAATAAAGATGTCGTTGCTCCATTTGACATCGACTGATATTGTTGTTGTGGACTGAATTGTTGTTGTTGTTGTTGTTGATGCTGTAGTTGTGGCATCCTTTGCACGTTGGATGACATTTGCTGGAATGATTGACTCTGAGAACTCATGCCCATTTGTTGTGGCATCATTGGTTGCTGTTGTACAAAGTGCGGTTGGTGGCCTCCACGACCATCCGTCTGTCCCACAGGTATCATTTGTTGTTGTGGATGTGGTATGTAACACATTGGTTGACTTTGCTGTGGCGATTGCACTACATTCTGAAGCTGTTGCGGTTGACCTCCGAATACGCTAGCGAGCATGTCCATATCAGTTTGATTGCTAACCCTAGTTCTCTTGGAGAGTGATGACATCGACATCTGCTGGTTCATAGAGTTTGAAGATGGACCTGCAAAGGTGCTCCTCATTCCAGAGTGATAATTTCTAGCCAATCCTTGTTGTTGTTGTAGTTGTTGTACTTGTTGTTGTTGTTGTTGTTGTTGTTGTTGTTGTTGTTGTAGTTGTTGTAGTTGTTGTAGTTGTTGTAGTTGTTGTAGTTGTTGTTGTTGTTGTTGTTGTTGTTGTTGTTGTTGTTGTTGTTGTTGTTGTTGTTGTTGTTGTTGTTGTTGTTGTTGTTGGACTGGGATTACATTGACCACTCTCATCGTCTCCTCGGTGGCCGTGTCAGACTCGGACACCACAACAAACGATGTGTGACTGGAGACCACTTGGTACTTCTTTCCCAACGCCACGATCTTGTCCTTGTTCTGGTTGGCGGTTCCTTTGCGCTCCTGCTCCTCGAGGTCTGCGATCTGCATGTGTGCGGTGAGCGTGTGCAGCGGGTTGCTCAAGGCCGAGACAGCCGAACTAAAGTCGACTGGCACCTCATAGCTCAGCTTGGTACCAGTAGGTCCGTCGGCAGTGATTACAATGTTGGAAACCGTGGTTGGCGTGGCGGAGTTGATCATTGCGTAGATCATCATGCGCTCATGGTTAAAGACTGGTCTGATGCGCTGTGGTGCCTGGACGCAATCCAATCCCGCCCAGTCCACCTTGATGTTGGAGACGGTTGGTTCATTGGCAATGTTCATCAACTTCATCACCTTGCTCTGCATGTCACTCGACTCTTGTATAAACTCATAGTATCCCTTGCATGCCTTGGACAGTCCCAGCACCAGTTCCTTGTCAACACCACCTCCAATGCCAAGAGTGAATATCCTTGTAGTCTTGGCCTCTCTTCCAACATAGTCCACCAGTTCATCACGCTGTGATACCTCTCCATCAGTGACTAGAAAGGTGTTAGTATTGGTCATCACTCAGTTGAACTCATCAGTGTTGCTCATACATACGGATAAAGACTTGTCTTGGATACTCATAGTCATACTCATTATTGAGAATGGCCTTAATTGGTGGCAACAACTCAGTACCGCCAAGCTTGGCATCGATTTGCCTGATATAGTTGTTGGCTTGATCGAGACTTTCGTCATTGTAGTCTTTTGATGATGGGAACAATGCGGTGAATGTAGATCCAAACAGCCAGATGTTGAAGCGCGACTTCTCAGTGAGCGAGCGCATAAGGATCTCAAGGGCTAGCTTGGCCTTGGCGATGCTGCCACCAGACATACTGCCCGAGCAGTCGAGCAGGAAGATGAACTCAGACTTTTGGTCGACATCCTCGAGGGGCACCTCGATCGAGGGGAAGAAGTTGAGTGCCAGTGCGTATGTATCCTCTGTGCTTCGCTCAAGGTAGTAGGCTGGGCGCTTTTGGGAGGCCGGGGTCACACACACGACGATGTTCCTGGGCACGCCGACAGTGGTCGCAAGTGACACTGTTGCCGACGTGCCATTGATTGTAGTCTTGTGGTCAGCGTAGTGCTCCAGCTGGAGGGCAACGATCTTAGTCGATATGTTGATGTTAACCTTCAAGTCCAGTTTGAAGGCGTGTCTGGGGAACATACTACGGTGCAAAGTGTAGTGGAAGTCCTGGAGATGGGTGCTAACCTCCGAGACGATGGTCAGGGTGACGGTCACCTTCTTTGTGGGCGGGATGTTTCCAATGATAGTGCTGAACGATCCATTATCGTTCTTCTCGACCAAGAAGGCTTGGTGGCCACTGGCCAGGGCATCCTGGTATGTCTCCTGCGCCTCGGACTTCTCCTTGATCTTGGCCACGAGAGTCTTGTCGTCGTATCTCACGATGAAGCGACTCACAACGGACTGGGGTGGCAAGGGCATTTGGTACTTTGCCTCGACGGGAGTAGTAGAGTCGTTGGTGTAGTGTTGTATCATTTCAGTGGAGACGCACGAGTCTGTCATTGTGGCATTGATTTCAAACTCGGTCAAACGGAACTGATTGCCCAGTCCCCTGAATGGAGCAATTCTATTACTATCCAAACGGTCAAAGAACAATGAGTAACTCGGGTCTTGTATCCTCATACTTGGACAGACGAATCTAATTGGTGGAAGGTATAACATGGTAAATAAAGTATTATTATTATTAATAGTATGTATGAATGTAGTATGTATTGGTTATATGTGAATTAGTATGTAAGGTGTAAAACTATGGTATAATTATTGAATGATGTTGAAGTAAGTGAATGACACACTTCTATTTATTACTTTGCATCAATCAAAATATCCTGTAGTTCACAACATTTCTCATTTTGGTCATAATCTTTGAATTGATTTTTGATGAAGACGTGTCATGCCCTCATTTGGAAATTCCGGACACCATCTTATTTAGTCAATAAATAAATTCTTATACTAAAATATAAATATTAATAAAATATTTAAATATTTAATATATTATTTAAGATTCTATTCTTATATCACTCACTTTAGAATGTTGATCTTCCATTCGAATGCCCACAGGTTATATATGTTGATTATATCACTGATCAAATTATTTGTGTGATCGTGGACGGTGATCGACATAACAGCACACAATATAGTGTGCAAATTTGGAAGTGATGATGAGTATAGTGTGTGTTGTTGGAATCAGGTGTGAATGTGAATGAAGTGAATGTGATCGAATTAATTAATTGATTGATTGGAAGAAGGAGGGTAAGGTAAAGAGGGGAATGATTGAATTAATGGATGAGGTGTGAAACTCCTCCTGCTTAACAGACCTGACCTGACCAGTCTTCTCCACTTGGATCAGACTAATACAAGTATTTCCCAGATCTTCTTCAATCCATCCATCAATCACAAACATACATATACATTTATATTAATATAGTATTATAACTATGACTAATAATTAGTTATAATTGATTCACATATTAGAATGAGAGCTAAACTATTGTTATTGTTCCTTCTATTGTACATTAACCTGGAGCTGGCAGGTATGTTCATCTTCCATCTTTGGTTGTACAAAGATGATCCCATAAATTCAAAAGTTTGAACAACTTGTTGACTAACTTTGAACATCATTATCTCTTTGAACATCATTCAACAGACTCGCAGCAACTGCAACTGCAACAACAATCGATCATTATATACTTATCACCACAAGGACATGACGAAGGTCTTTGTGGCCAATCACCAATAACAACAACAACAACCACAACAGCAACATCAACAACAACAACTACATCCACACCAACATCATCTGCATCAACAGCATGCTTTTCACTTCTGTACGCAACAAGGTTGTACAGCAGCTTATTATATCCGAATCAAACATATTTATTGGCACCTGGACACTATGACTATACGACAGCGACATCGGCCGAGTACTCAATCTCGATGAGTAGGGTCAACATGTCGATACGAGCAATTGATCCTGCACCGGGACAGACGACCATCACCACATCGAGCCGATTCATCGACCTGGCCAAGTCGAGCCTAATCATCGATGGCATCACGTTCAAGGACAGTCGGGGGCCGACCGATGACCCGTACATCCGACACCAGCTGTTCACTGGAGTAGTGCCACGTGCGATTGGCTTCATCCGAATCACAGATCAGTCCACATTCAACGGGTCCCGTCTATACTTTAGGAACATCACCAACTACATACTGATGCATATATCAACATGTAAGATGGTTTGCACTGCAACTTAGTACGCGATTGAACTGACATCCATCCATCCAAACGATAGCCAGAGTATCACTGTTCAAGATGTCTGTTCAAGCTTGTGCTGGCATCAATTTAATTGGAGTGTTTCGATCCAATGTCACGATGGACAAGTGCAACATCAATACAAACAATATGGAGGGATACATTGCCTATAACTTCATCTCCTCATTAACAATGTCAAGAGTATCAATCAACAGCAACATCGTACTTTGTGGATTCTTTATGAAACGTATGTTGTAGCCAGTTCAATCACTCGCTCAATCAAACAATCAAACGTCCAAACTGACCAATGTCCAATGTCCAATCACTGAATCAAGGTGGCAGAATCACAACCAGTATGAGTAGATTCGATAATAACTACTCAAACATTGGATTGTTCACAGGGTATGTTGTTTGTTTGATTGATTGATCGAACTAGTGATTGGTTGGTGATTGACTGGCGACACTAACTTCATCCACATCCACAGTGACAATGTATACTTCTGGTTCGCCAACTGCATATTCTACGACAACTTTGCCACGGACACTCCAGGTGTTATCTATGGATCACTGATATCTAAGATCAGGTTGGTATCAATCAATCGATAAATCACTCACTCGCTCACCCACTCACACACTCACTCAATCACGTGATACACAGGTTCTATGTATGCATATTCAAAGACAATGCGAGCAAGGGTACAGCGGTACTGGCATCGGCATCACGATCAGGATCAATGTGGTACTGTGTATTCAATGATACAAAGAACAATCCAACAACATTGTCCATCTCATTGTTTGGAAGATCACGATTTGAATTCATTGAGGTCTACTTCAAGAACCAATACGGCACACTCCTATCAACTGATTCCAACTCCATTATAGTGATGGCCAAATGTGTATTTGATTGTTAGTATCATTCATCCACTAACTACTCAATCAAACAATCAAACTAACTCATTCAACCAATTAGCCACACATGGCGAGATCATCAAGTCATTTGGAAACAGCTTCATATTCTTTATCAATAATGAGGTTGTTTCAGCACAGTCACCAAGTGCTTTGATCAGTCTATCCCATCGATCACATGCTATTATGACTTATAATCTATTCCACCAGTGTTTCGGCTCGACCATCATATCAACATCATTCTCATCAAACATATCAATCACACTTGGATACTTCAAGACCAACCTTATGACTACCAGTGTCCTAGAAGGCAACAACTACTACAACTACTACATCCATAAGTCCATCTTCTATAACAACACTGGTATATATGTATGTATCATCAATCGGACCATTCCACTCGCTCCATCCCTCACTCAATCCATTCATTCAATCAATCAAATCAATGTAGCAAGGTGCCGTGTTCTCACAAGATAGCACTGGACGTTTGATATTGGACAATTCGAGGATATTGAACAACACTGGCCCGACAGGTCCATTCGTTTATACATCAAGAACAGTCAATCGAAAGTATTGTAATACTTTTTTGGGTGATCTGACCATCGCCAACAACGTAGCGTTACAGTCTGGCGCCGTCAACTACCACGCCACCAACGATATATGTCCCTTTCGTTGTGACTTTTGCGCCATCATTGGAAACCAATCACCCTACGCCAAGGACTTTTCCAGCGAGTATCACAACTTCTCCGTGGACATGCCCAACGTCATCGATACGCCTGGCTTCATCAAAGCCACCATCTTTGCCTACGACCGCTACAACAACCTTTACAAGGGCACCAACGACGTCATCTTCTCGCTGACCTCTGACTGCCCCAACCTCAACATCACGAGTGGAGTGACCAGCGTCGGCCTCACACCATCGGGTCGCGCCGACATGTACAACATCGAGTTGTCGGGCATCCCCAACACGACGTGCCATCTCAAGTTCTGGTCGGACCCCAATGGCACGGGCGGCTACGTCTACAAGGCCATCTGGTTCAGGAACTGCGCAGTCGGCAAGACACCATTCTACGCCGAGGGTAGGATGTACTGCGTGACCAGGGAGAAGGTGGCCAAGGTAGCCATCATCATTGTAGCAGTAATCTCTGGCGTACTGCTACTACTACTGCTCGCATCACTTGTTCTCACGATATTATATCGCAAGAATGCATTGATCGTCAACTCCAACCCGGTATTCTTGCTCGTAGTGTTGTTTGGATGCTTTGTCCTGGTTGTGGCGTGTCCGCTAGCCTACATGGAAGCGAACGTTGGATGTGCCATCACACGAGAGGTACTCATACCGCTTGGCAACTTCTTCATTATCATCCCAATCGTTATCAAGCAGTATAGGATATGGCGCATCAGGAAGCAACTCAACTTCCAAAAGAAGTCACTGGTATGTTATTGCATGGATAGCTCACCCACGCAAATCAATCATTGACTGACATACAATCATCACTTTAGATCTCAACCAAGTACTTACTCATCAGGTTAGGAATATTGATGATCGTTCCAGTTGTATGTTACACAAGTTCCTCCACTCAATCAATCATGGAATCATTCCAACAACTGACTCAATCACTCAATCAATATTTAGGCCATTATTGTTGCAGAGTTGGCAGTTCAAAAGGCCAGGGTCCATGAACATATTGACCTAGACAACTTCAAAGTATTCAAGAGTTGCAACAACACTGATATATACTTTTACATTGGCTTCCATATTGGTTATCTCGTATGTATACATACATACTTTGTCAATGTCCATGCATGGATGTCCATCACTCACATCCACCCTTCCACATCTAGGCCGTACTATACATTGTGTCCAGTCTCATCATATTCCTCAACAGGGACTTCCTGTCCACGCCTGGAACATTCAATGAACCCAAGTTCCTTGGCATCCTTGTAAGATATATATTAGCCATGACCCTCATCCAATTAATTGATCACTCACTGACTCAATCAAACAAATGATAGATATATAACAACTTCCTAGTACTTGTTGTATTCACGTCATTGCGATTTTCATTCCTCTATGCTCCAACCAGTACATTCTTGGTGATCACAATCACAACTCAGATCATAGTACTCAGTACCATCTTCCTACTCTACTTTCCAAAGTTCTACTTCATCTTCCGAAAGGATAGAGTTGTACTATCTGTAAGTTAATGTGAGGTAGGAGTTGAATGACACCTGTCTAACTAATGATGGATGATAAATATAGATGATCAAGTTCATTGAGGAACAAGAGACGATATTACAGAGGAATAGGGAGATACTAAAGTTCTATGAGATGTACTGCAATCAGGAGGGTGATATCAACTTTGGCCCGAGTCATCATATCTTCACACCTGATACACCAAGTCCAATACTTGCCAACAATGATAATCATGCTGCTGTTCAAGATTCCGATGATGATGTTCATTATGGAATAACCAATCAAGGAGATGATCAAGGAGAGAGTAGTGGAAGTGGAAGTGGAAGTGGAAGCGGCAATGGTCATGGGGACGATGTGACAGGCTCGTCCAAGCTACCACCCATCACATTGTACAACGAGAACATTCAGTATGGGCTACCAATGGTAAAGATGACACCAGACACAGAGACCACCAGGCTCAACACTCCATTGGACAATGCAATTGCCGCCAACACTTCATCCTTGCAGCAACAACAACCTACCAGTCCCAATGTCCGAAGGAGTGGCAGTCGTCGACGACATGGACTCACCCCACTCTCGAGCTCACAGGAGAGCACTGCGCCAGGACATTCAACTTCCCAGATTAGATCAAGATCAGCTCCAACCTCACCAATTGGTCGGACGTCCTCACAACAACAACTTCAGAATCCAATTCAAGCTTCAGCTTTGGCACCAACAACAACAGCTTCAGCGACAAACATTGTTGTACAACAACAACAGGAGGAGGACGACGAAGACGAAGATGATCAAGAAAAGGATATCTTTGAGTCTTTTAATCAACAGACGTTCTTCCATAGCTTGGTGGAGAAGAGGAAAAAGAAGTAGTGGCAACAGCATCAGATAAATGAGCGGGTTGAGATCCATCTGCCCATCAACCAAGTCCAGTGTGCGAGTGCGCCATCATCCAAACGAGTGTCAAGTTTTCCAAGCGACACACACTACAAGCTCACTCATGTGGGGGGTCATGTCAGAGGCGAAACGAATCAGCTGATTTGATTGATTGATTCGAGACGATCAACCCACCCCACACCACACTCTCCGACCTCACCAACAAAACTTGACCTTCATGTTTGCGTCCGTTACTTCCCAATTTATGATGGGGCACCAATCTCAACCAATATCCAATCAACTGATTGGTGACACAATGCAATGAACGTGGCTGGCCGTCATAGTCCAGCCAGCCCCATTAACAGCCCCAACAATGTGATACATAGATAGTACTATCCATCTAACATCTCTCTCAGAGCCACTGTGTCATTCTCATCTCGGCTCAGACTTATAAGGACTACCACATAAGGTCACACCCGCCTCTCAACAACAACATTCACCAATCAATCAGCTGCTTGATCGACTTCCCTGAGTTGATTGTTGGGTAGAGTTACTGGGGGGGTGGTGGACCAACAGTCTGTCAATCATTCATCTCCTCCAACAGTCGGAGGGAGCTCACTACTACCACTGATCCACCTTAGAATCACCTGTGTTTGTTGTCCAAGACATACCATCAATCCAACAATACATCATTGTTGTTGTTACCATCCTACATTCAATCAATCATTCAATCAATATATGTACAACTACTTAATAATAATATAACACAATCAAACAATGACGTCAACTTCAACATCAACAGCATCAACATCAATATTATATACTATACTTAGCATCATTGTCATACTACAGATTACATCTACAAATGCCCTTGGGACACTCACACTTCTAGAAGGCACGCCAACAATGTCGGTAGAATGCCAATCTTTAAAGTTACACTTTATAGCTCTATCATCATTATCCATAAATCTACAACGTATACCAACAAACAGTGATGATTATACCAATGTAATTGTGCAGCCTGTCGACAAGGGTGATGTACACTACGAGTTTCCTGTGACAGGCCGCTACAACGTATCATTGCTGGACAATAATGGGTCTGTTCTGTGGCAGGACGTGGCCAACGTTGATGCATGCGGACATCCAGCCAAGGGTGCGCCATCCAAGAAAGTGACCATCCTAATCATCGTGTTGGTGGGACTGCTGGTGGGATTCAGTCTGATAGGTCTGGCCATTCTCAATCACATCTACAAGAGACGCTCGAGAAACGTCGACAAACGCCTGTCGTCGTCGTCCAAGTCGGCGCCAAGAGCCGGCTCACAGTGGTCCAAGTACTTGGGCATATTCAACAGTTACAACAACAGTAGTAGTACCAAGAGCAATGACAGCAGTCTGAACAACAGCAGTATGGACATCAACAATGACAGCGTTAACGAAGACATGAACACCAGCATCAGTATCAACGACAAGGACAACAACTTCAACAACAATGATCGAGTACTTTAAGAAGTCGCAGTCGCAGACATCACAATGAGTGTTTCATCACATGTAGTACGAGTATGTGATGGGATGTGTCCTCTGGCGGCTGGCTGGCTGGCTGGCTGGCTGGCATGGCTACAACATCAAGTTGAGCGAGCGAGTGAGAGAGTGGTCCGGATTGTCCCACAATATATAATATCAATCAAACCAATCCATTCTCAACCATTCCATCTAGATGATGATGAGATGGTGTATATATACATACGAATAAATACGAATAAGAACAAGTCATTCATTGATTGATTGACTTCCACACAACACATCCTCATTCATTCATTGGCCATCAACAATCCAGAAGTGCTACAAGATGGTGGATGTGGACCGTCAACTGTTTATTAGGAGAGGGGCCTTTTGCAGCTGGAGTCCATGTCCGCGCCATAGGAATAGCATCCAGATGGACAAACAAACATCGGCCTTGGAGCACTAAAAAGACCATAACATTCATAGAGAGTATATTTCTTGATTCTGAAGATTGTGCAGTGAGTTGTTAACAGTGACATTGAATATTCGTTAAAGTTAACTTACGGATCGGAGGAGTACGGGCAAGTGGATGGGAAGTCAGATCCACACCGATTAAAGGAGTTGAAACAATGGCAGGTGACCTCGGAGGGAGGTAGCTTGCAATAGCTGGTGGTGGACTTGGCCTTGCATCCATTTGTACAATTCTGGGAGATCACTGGTGGATAACCATATTGCATGCATTGATAAATGGCATTTGGCTTGGCAGAACAACTTGGAGGCAACTCTGGACTGCAGTACCGATCCATGTCTCTACATTTGCAATCAAAAGAGATACCCTTCTTTAAAGTTGAACAATGTGCATTGCCAAAGATGTACAAAACAACAACTAGAATTGTAATAACGTTAAATTTGATATTCATTATTTGTGATGAATGATGTTATATAACATAAACAGTATCATCTTGTTTCTGCTGATGCAGAATACTTTGGTAACTTCAGACTTCAACTTGGTAGAAGTTACAGATCAATTCTACACAGAATGGTAGAGTGATCATTCAATTCAAAGCCCATGATCCAATTGATGAGGGAAATGGTTTTGAAACTTGCAAGCGCATGAGTCCTCTGTCAATTCCAACGAACTTAAAATTGAACAACAGAGAGAGTTAAGATGTGATTCATTATACCTACACAGAGTATGGGATGTACTTCATTCTGACTTGTATCTGTTTCACAAGGTATACGATATACAGATAAAGAATGAATGACTATTAGTCAACTTGATCCACAAAGCAAAATTTTGCAAAGGGGTGAATACACTCCCTTCTTCAATCTTTCATTCAATTAAGCAATTACTTTGTTGTAATAATAATATAATATATCTTGATAGATAGATATTAGGATAGATAGAGAGATGTTTCAAAGGAAACCAGGCTTGAGAATCAACTTGAGCAGTATCAGTGGTACTAATACCAATGCTGATACAGGTAATACTTATGGCACCAATAGCAACAATGTTGCCTCAGTCGTACAGGTCAACAACAATCCAAACTATATGAATATACAACCAGAACATAACAAACCATTCTCATTGTATGTTCACTAAGTACTAGTCATTAATTGAATGAATGATTGATTACTGACCCGATGACTGATGTTCATTCATTCATTCAAACAGAACAAACAGTGGAACGTTTAGAGAAGGTGACCTTGCGATTAATAAGAGAGGTCTGTTGATTAAGGGTGAATCACCAAAGAGTACATATATGGAGAGGCGACCAAATAGATATCCAGGTCTGTCTGGAGGTTCAAGAAAGACAACATCAACAACAGAGGATACAACAATGGATATGGATATAGATGATAATAATAGTAACGACAACAACAACAATTACAATAGTAGTACAAGTATGAGCACGAGCAACACGAGGAGTAACAACAACAGCAATAGCAGTAGTACCAGCAGCAGCAGCAGTAGTAGCAGTAACACGAATAACTACAACTACAACAGTAGTAGTATGCAACCAAATTATGATATTCAATCATTCCAATTGAAGGATCTCAAGATTATAAAGGTATTGGGCAGGGGACAGGGAGGCGTCGTCAAGCTTGCCTATCACGAGCCTTCAAAGTCATACGTGGCACTCAAGGTGATGCCACTGGACATCCAAGAGAACGTGCGCAAGCAGATCATCCTCGAGCTCAAGACACTGTACAAGACGCACTGTCCTCACATTGTATCATTCTACGACGCCTTCTACAGCGAGGGCTCCATTCAGATTGCCCTGGAGTTTATGGACGGTGGCTCGCTCACCGACCTGCTACAGCGCGTCAAGGTGATCCCCGAGCCCGTGCTGGCCAAGCTGACGCTCAACGTGCTGCAGGGATTGTTCTACCTGCACAAGGAGGTGCATCTCATTCATCGCGACATCAAGCCATCAAACATCCTGCTCAATCGCAAGGGCGAGGCAAAGATCTCGGACTTTGGCGTGAGCAGCCAGCGCCAGGACACGATGTCCAAGGCCGTCACTTGGGTGGGCACCGTTGTGTACATGTCGCCCGAGCGCATCAGTGGCAAGTCCTACTCGTACGACTCGGACATTTGGAGTCTGGGTCTGACCATTCTCGAGTGTGCGCTGGGCCGCTACCCTTACATTCGCGACGACAACAATGGAACGATGCTCACTGTCGAGAGTATGGGACTCAACTTCTGGACTCTGCTGGACTTTATCATCAAAGAGCCCGTTCCATTCCTTCCGCCAGACAGATTCTCCGTTGAGTTTTGTTCATTCATATCAGATTGTTTACAAAAGGAGCCAGAGGAAAGGCCTTCCGCTGCGTCACTATTGGTAAGTAGTCGTCATCAGCATGTGCCGGATCACAACTGATTAACTAACATCATCACACTTCCAGCGTCATCCATTTATCAAGAAGTATCAGAATGATGACATTAACTTGATGTCATGGATATCAAGCAATCTTCAATCATAACATTGGATGTGACCATCCATCGTTGTTGTCATTGTCGTTGTTGTTGGTTGATGTTGTAGATGGAACGAACTCAATAATATAACATATTTGTAGTAATTCAAACTGACTGATAGATTGATTGGATTGATTGGATTGAATGATTGAATGAGCCAATGCTCGAATACTTCGTGTCCACAGATTACTTATGTGATCAACAAGTAGGAGTATGCATGCATCTAGTTATTATAACGTCGCTTGTTTGACTTCGCTGTTTATTACTTATCGCTTGGCTCGCTCGCGCGCATGTGTGTGTGAGACTTGATTGAATGATACTACGATACGCATTACGTGATCGTTTAGTCGACAGAGTTGATGTTGGTCTCTTCCTCCTCGTCCTCCTTCTTGCCAGTGGCAGTAGCATTGCTCTCCTCGTTGGTGTCCATTCTGTCCTCTGGGAGCTTGGCATCCTCGAGGTCCTCATCGTCTTCGCCCTCGTAATCCTCCATGCCTGGCATTCCCATCATGTTGCCCATACCGCCCATGCCTCCCATGCCGCCCATGCCTCCCATGCCGCTCATCAGTTCGCTGAGGCCGCCCATGCCGCCGCCCATGCCACCCATGCCAGAGAACTGGCTTGGATCGAATCCACCGCCGCCGCCGCCGCCTCCGCGCTCCTCCTCGTCCTCGTCCAGGTCGTCCTCGTCCTTCCAGGTGCTCCAATCGATTGACACGAAGCGAGACTTGGCCTTGTTGGCAAGCAGATGGTTCCAGTAGCCTTCCTCCTTCTTATCGACGAGGAACACTGGGTTTCTGGTTTTGATGTTGGTGGCGCAGCTCTCGGGCACGACCTCCTTGAACAGATCGAACTCGACGACGTAGTTCTTGTCGCCAGAAGTGCCTGAGAACGAGAAGTGAGTCGCTGTGAAATTGACCTTAACATTGGTGCATGGCATATCGATTGTAATCAAGAGCTTGTCTGGGCGCTCTGACCATTGTACGTTTGGATGTATACTATAATTTGATTGATTGATTGATTGATTGATTCACATAAAGTTAATTTTAAATCGTTCAGTTTGATGTTGTGTAATTGATATTTACCTCATGTTTATATATATATATATATATTTATATTATTATTATCTGATATATAAGTTATATGACTCGTTGTTGTTATGAACAATAACTTCAGATAATTTCAAGTTTGTTTGACTTCATGTATTCAAAAAGTGAACAGAAATCTCAACTCCAAATCTAGGGTAGTTTTCATCCAGTTCTACACACTCATCTTGTGTGAAGATTGAGGTGTAGCCATGCTATGGGTACAAGGTCATTATGTTTGTCAATTACAATTTAGTAATAGTGATAGAGATAGAGACAGAGATAGTAGATATATATGAACAACAGTAGTTGATGATGATCATCATCATGAATTAATGATTGATTGAAGGTTCATCCCAAGCAAGTATTCAATCTAGATCAAATCGCGAGCATTCAAGTATATCCCTATCTGAATAATCAGAGACTAATAGTAGTATTAGTAGTTGTTGTTGAATAAGTAAGTCAACTCTTATCTTAAAAGTCAAAGTGCAGTGTGAACGGTTTCATTCCTGTTGGGTGAAGGTCTTCTTGGACTTACAATTAATTAATCTGAGCTTATAATTAGTTTTTGTATTTGCACACATTCAGTGAATTCAAAACCTTAGGAGGACCCAAGTCAAGCCCCCATTACTACAATGCAACGAATCACACACGGATCTATGGTCCGAATTTGGAAGGTATCAATGGTAATTCTGTGTGTTTGCCAGTGATGTTGTGTTGTTGGATAGAGTGGTCGCGACCTTGTATTGAATTAGACTTGACCCCACGACAAGGCACTGATTTAAATCACGCCTGGGGGGTAATGTTAGTACGTCACTTATTACTTCTCGATCCCCCAACAACAAAGTAATATAAATGCTACCATGGTGTGTCATTCAATCTCAAGTCATTAATCATTCACTCTATCTCTATCTCTAAATAACTTTAAAGATAACTTATTGTAAATAATAATAATATTCAATCATGGAGTATCAAAATAATAATCATAATAATAGTGGTGATGATAAACAACAACAACAACAACATATAATAATAGACTCATCATCAAATAATGGTGAAAAGATAAATCGTCATCAAAGACAACTTAGTAAAGATATTACTACCATCCAACAACAACAACAACAATTAGAGAAAGAGAAAGAGATTGAGAAATATAATAATTATATTAATAATAATAATAATCAATGTAATAATTGTAATGGAAATATCAACATCATCAACAGACTCAACAACAATAAGGATAAGGGAACAACAGATGAAGTATATAATCCACAATTATATTATAAATTACCAATGTTCTCAATGGGCCTAAGACGAAGATATAGAATATGGATGTATCTGTTTGATTGGACATTCACAATTGTGTCACTGATGACAGGTGCATTCCTATTCTATTTTGTTCCGGTTCGTGGACGTCTGTTCACTTTAAACGATCCTGATATATCATATCCGCTGGTCCAAGAACTGGTCAGCTTCCCCGTGCTACTGGCCATCTCCTACATACTACCGCTCTTTGTTATCGTGGTGACCGTCAGCTGTTACCATCGCAAGTGGCACGACCTACATCACTCTGCCCTAGGCCTCACACAGACCTGGGCACTCACCTTGCTGCTGGTAGCAGTGATCAAATGCTTCATCGGAGGCATTCGTCCAAACTTCCTCGTTCGATGTAAACCAACCACCGAGTCAATAGCCAGAGCTACACCAGTTGGTTATAATCATATATATTATTCCAAAGAGATATGCACTGGCGAGCTTTACGACGTTAACGATGCAATGGCTTCGTTCCCCTCGGGACACGCAGGACTGTCAGCCTGTGGACTAGTATTCCTGGCATTGTTTCTACATGCACGTCTAAAGACATTCAACAATCGTGGTCATCTAGCATTTTACTTCCTAATACTGTCATGTATAAGTGGATCGATGTTGATAGGAGTCAGTAGAATAGTGGATTACAGACATACCTTTGCCAATGTATTCCTGGGATGGTGTCTGGGCATTGTATGCGCTCTATCAATGTACCGACTCAACTTCCTATCAGTGTTTGGCAATGACAATCATGTACCTGTTGCAGACTATTGGTATTGGCATCATTGGAGAAAGACTCATTGCAACAACAACAATAATAACTGCGATGGTATACCAATGACAAATGTCGATGTTATAAGTAGTGGAGTAGGTGATAAAGATAACAATAAAGTATGAACATATATGTATAATTAAAATCAAACAAAGAAACGAATGATTTACAATTTATGGGACAAAAACGACAAACCAGGGCTTGATCAGATTCACTTATTCATTCATTCATTCAATCATTTACTACTCACTTCATACCTATATAAATAATGTTGTCAAGATTACCAACAACTTCGTTATTGGGACGAACGATCTTCCAATTGATCAATAGTGGCTCGTGTCAATACAGCACAAACACATCGACTGCGACAAAGACTACAACTACAGCATCAGCCACAGCTACAGCTACATCCACAGCGAAAAAGGAGTATGCAGGCAGACTTGCATCCACACATGCATACAGCTCATTGGAAACACCTGTATCAAAGTTGTACAAGGGTGATGTGCTCCTCGAAGGAAGTACGTACATGATCGATCAATCAATCAATCACATTCACATGTTTGTCGTGAGGCTAACAATCGCTCACCATTCAAACAAAAGTTAAACATGATGGAACATCATTAAGATGGTATAAACATGTTGGATATAGCTATGATGCAGAGAAGGGTGGTTACCTACCCTTGTTGGATAACAGAGCAATGAAGACACCGATGGGCACTCAATTCGTTGTGCCAAACAGAGAGCTGGCCATTGCAATCGCTGCAGAGTGGTGGTGTCAAGAGAAGTACATCAAGCCGTCAAGACTGCCACTGACAGCAACAGCCGCAACATGTCTTGATCTCAATGCCAAGGAGAGAGAAAAGTCAATTAACGAGTTGATTGGACATCTTGCCACGGACCCAGTGTGCAACAGAGACCCTGAAGAGTCCAAGTTGAAGACTCTTCAGAATGAATCATACGACAACATCTTGAGCTGGGCATCAGAGTACTATGGCATCCCCTTCTATCTCTCCTTTGGTCTAGACATCTCCAAGCATCCACCTGCACTCCTCAAGGTATGTTTGATTGATTGATCGAGTGTGATTGGCAAACCCGAGATTCTAACTCATCCTCCCACCCAACCCCACCTGGAATCATTCCGATCAATCAATCAATCATCTGATCACTTTCCTCCACCCACAGATAATCAAGGAACATTTGGCATCGTTGAGCAATTGGCAACTACTATGTCTGCAGTTGATTACATCAAGCACCAAGTCATTCTTGGTAACATTGGCATTGTATTATGGTCATGTTCGTCTGGACAACTTATACAAGGTCGTTGCATTGGAGGAGGAGTATCAATCGGACATCTGGGGTAAGATCCCATTCGGTCATGATCTGGCCGAGATGGAGACATGCAATGAGATCGCTCCAGCACTCTTTGTTCTTCGATCGATCCCACCCATCCCTTTGCCCAAGAGTGCGTCGACCACCTCAGCAGCCAAGGCCCCCAAGGCCGCACCAAAGTCGGTTACTTCAACCCCAAAGAAGTAACAAACTAAAGAAAGAAAGAAAATTGGACGCGACTCGACGCGACACGATACGCTTGAGGATCATTGGATTATACGTTAGAGAGGCATGGCATTGCTTCAAGATGTATTGTTCTGGTTGGTGATGGATGATCATCCATCACACAATCTATATAATATATACAATGATTTGTCAATCAATCAATCACGAAGCAAAGTCTATCTTGAGCTTGCGTATCTGTCGATAGAAGGACTTGAGCTTGGTTGGATTGGACGCCAGTTGTGCTCCAAAGTTGTCCCTGATTTTGCAGAGGAGGGCGCTGCTCTGCTCGGCCTGATTGAGTAGTTGGTCGATGGCTGACACCCACATCGATGTCTGGAGAGACGCTCGCAGCTTGGACGCGTCCAGGTGCCACTGGCCCTCAGAGTCTTGAGTCAAATCGCCTTCATCCAACTGATTGCCATCGCTAACTATAAAGTACAAAGTCTGTGCCACGCCCAGATAGTCAATGTCGTGACTCCAGTAGGGTCCGCGTGAGGCAAGCACTGCAGGCAGAGCGGTGCCACAGTCGGCGGGGAGGTCATCGCGCGATGCTGTGTATCTCACCTGGTTGCCGTAGAGCTGCAGGTCGATGGACAGAGAGAAGCTGCCCAGTTTGAGACCAATGCGACGCCAGTTGGTGTTGTCAGGCGTCCACTCAGTCTGGTCGGGTGCGGCATCGTCATCTCCACCAAAAGTGACAAACATGTTGGACGGGCTGATGTTGGAGTGAATGATATCGGCCTGGTGCATGGTCTCGACCGTGCGCAGCAGCTCAATCGCCAGGAACATCTTGAGAGGCTCTTCCATCGTCACGCGGTCCTGCTTCATCTTGTTGAGCATGTTGTGGAGCGAGCCGTGTGGCAAGTACTGGAGGATGGCCACGGTTGCCTGGCGATAGTGATGCATCGAGTAGAACTCAAGGAAGCGGTCGCTGGCTGCCAGATGGCTGTCCTGACCCAGGCGACCAAGCAGCTGCACGTAGATGTAGTATGCCCAAACAACGGCGGGGCTTTGCACCTTGGCCGCGATCTCGCCGTCGGTACTGCTCTCTGCCTTGTATACGGTAGTCGTGTCGCTCTTGAATAGTGTCTTGGCGATGTGCAACGTGTTGTCCTTGAGCGCGAGGATGTTGTTGTCGTCAAAAGTTGGCAAGGTCTGTGAGGAGTTCTCGACGAACGACTCAAAGTTCTCAAAGTGCTGTACGACCATCATGTCCAACGTCTCTCTGCTCTCGGCCTTGAATGGCTCAGCGACACCGCTGTCTGAGATCAAGTTGAACTCCATTGGCTCGTCCTCCACTACTTGTTGTTGGGGCTGCCA